AAACTAAAAGGAGTCACTTGAAAATCCTGAAATATAATTATAGACGACAGCTGCTACTGTAGAGACTACTTCATTCTTTATCAAGTGCGGAGCCACTTTATGGATAGATTCAACTATCTTTCTGCCCCAGAAACACTATCAGAAGAGATACATGTACATAACAACAACTGTACAGGAAGATTTGTATTAGCTATTCATGGGCATTTACACAGCAAGCAAAAACCCTAGGACTAGGATTTTTCTCACATTCCAGAGTTTTTTGTTGATACTCAATTACCCATGCACATGATGAAAAAGCAGAAAAACCCACCGTTTGAATGATTTTTAAAAATAAGATGCTGGCTTAAACCTGCTATGCTAAATGTTCACTTTCAATACACATGTGAATTATTCCAGTTTTTGCTCATGACTCTTGTCGCTTCTGTGCCACGTATGCAGAGCATCAACGAGTGGCGCATCCGCACAAATACATTTTCATGGGTTTCTCCACTAGTTCAATACACCAGTTTACAGTTGTGTGCGCCATTTTAAACAAAGCTAATGACCTAGGAGTCATGTATTTATGCGTAAATTAAGATTGCGCCCATGCAAATAATGATGACATCACTGCCTGCGCGCTGCGTTGTGCGCGCACATCATCATTTGCATGGGCGCAATTTTAATTTACGCATAAATACCAGAGGTCAGAGGTTATTGGCCCCAATTTTTGGGCCAATGACCCGAGGTCAACTGTCTGCGCATGCGCACTGATACAACTGTAAACTGGTGTATTGTAGTTTTAAAAAAAACAATTGTTTATCAAAAATGATTTCTCTCCAGTGTGAATGGGCCTATGTATTGTAACAGATGATATCCAGGGGTGGTGTCCTGAATTTAACTACAATATGTTATCATTTATTTTAATAGTGAGAAGTAATGTACAAAGGACGAGTCATTGATTAATGTCTGCTCTCTATATCTACACTTCAAATAGACATCTGTGCATGAAACAGTGAAGGGTGTTTATTTGAATTTGCTATGACAATTGAAACACCTCTTTTAAGAATTTAAACAACAAAACATAGGGATAAAAATTTGTTTCAAATTCAAAATCTTAAATGGAGATTCATAAAATTGTTCACAACAAATGGATATTTGCTTGCCAAGGATATTGGAATTTGTTTACTCTCATTTTTCTTGTTCAATATATTTTTTTCAACAAAGAAATAATATTAACAAGACAAATGTGACTGCGTCTCCTATATGCCCTTGCCTTAAATTCAGTAAAGGGAAGGGATGGAATTATTTGTTTGTTTTTAATATTTATTTTGTTTTTTATTATAATTCATTTGCTAACCCAAGGAGTAAAGAAACTTGGGGGAAAAGATGTACACTGTATGAGCTCAGTCAATTGTAGCCCGGTACTCCTGTAGCATTGAAAATGATCCCACTCTCAAATGGGTATGTAGAGTTATGAATGGGATGACAGCCCTGGAATCTCCCATACATCACCATTCAGCATCTCAATTTCTTTCTACACGTAAATACACAGAGCCCATTTCTTAGTTGCAGGCACAAACTCATGTCACTGTCAGTCATAGTGTGTTACAGTGTCTGAGCTGTGAGACTAAGCAGATTGTGCATGGTCTACTGCGCACCATAGGCTTTGCACTTTGTGTAGCTGCTTCTGACATATCCAGATACCAACAGATTTAGACTCTGCTTAAGACTTCATCAATTCGTGTTTGAGTGTCAAATTAGAGTCTGAATTTGCAGACTACCCTTTTCTGACCCCCATGCATTCAGATGTCCCCATAGATCTTAGCTTTGCCGTAAGGGCTTTTCCTTAAACTCTTCTGTCTCTTTATCTCCTTTTATTTAGAGCTTGATGCTGTGAAGATCAATTTGGGTAGCTCTCAACTTCAATCATCGCTTTCAATTTAATGAAATAATGACCAAAGAATTCATGAATAGCCTGGATTTTGTTATGTTGATAAAAGAACTATTAAAGATGTCAAATGCCAACAATACTACAAGTATTAGCTGTATTTTCATTTTGTGTTTCTTATATAAAAATAGCTTTCTAGACAATCAGACAACAGAAGTTCTTTCAAGCATGACAATTGATAGAAAAATAATCTAAAAATAAATTTCAACCACAGAGCAATCAGCAGACTGTTCTAGGCTTGCCTACAACATACCTCTCGGCTCAGCATATGCCCAACTCACACAAGGAGATGTGATACATACATTATGAATATTTCCTAAATATATCCTATTTGTGTTTACATTTTACAATACCTTTTCATGGTTCTAGGACAATTACCTCCTGGACAATCACCCCCAGGAATAATTTTTCGGGGGGGGGGGGGGGGGGGGGGGGGGGGGGGGGGGGAGGGGGAGAGGGGGATTGTCCAAGGGGTAATTGTCCCGATACACCTTTTCACAGAGGGAATATTCTAATCCTTATAATAATAGATACACAGATTGTCCAATTAGAAGTTACTCTCATGGCATTAACTTTAAAAGGCCTACATCCGGAATACTGGCGCAAATATTCAAAATCACACTACAGTTAAACCAGTCTATAAGGACCACCCAAGGGAGACAAGGAAAGGGGTCTTTGGCTGCGTTCATGCTTAAATTTTGAAGGCAGAATGAGCGATCTGAAACGCTCATCGTAAACGCTCATCGTGATCGCAGTTCCACGATGTAGTGTTCATGCTTACTTCTCTGGCTCCCCCAGGCAATTCTCAGTGTGTGGCCTTAATTGGTCTTCCAGCTGGATTCGCAAACCTTCACTGTGCATGCTACGTAGACCCACTAGAGGTCAGTGCGTTGACCCCATTTAAACGCGTTTACAAATTGTAAACGCATCTTTTTGTGAGTTTACGATCGGCGATCGTGATCGCCGTTTTTTCGGTGATTCTACAAAAGTGAGCTAAGACGCAACCGTGTTTTAAACTAAACGCGTAACAGATGCCTGATTCTTGCCGTCAAAATCAAGCATGAACGCGCCCATAATGTACAGGTTCCTTTAGTACTTGTTTCAACGAGAAACCATTTTCAAGGGAAACAAAAAATATGGTCTTTGAAGACAGGTGGTCTTTCTATACACATGGTCACTAAATAAAGCAGGTTTAACTACATCTTCTAGACCGTAATTCTAACAAAAGGTACATTAACAAACATATCTATTGTGCATGCTACTAATGAGCATCTTCTAAGTATTGCCCAAATCAAATTTTACAAAGATAGCTGCGGTGTGAATGCTACCTAGAACACTAAAACATAGATTGAAAGGTCACTGAAGATAATCTGATTCTATTGTGCATGCTACTAATGAGCATCTCCTGAGTACTGCACAAATCAAATTTCACAAAGATAGCTGCGGTGTGAATGCTACCAAGGATAATCAGAGAGGTCATCATCACCGAGGGCCATTTACAATGCTACACCTAGAACCCTAAGATGTAGGTTGAAAGGTCACTAAAGATAAACTGATTCTATTGTGCATGCTACTAATGAGCATCTCCCGAGTACTGCACAAATCAAATTTCACAAAGATAGCTGCGGTGTGAATGCTACCAAGGTTAATCAGAGAGGTCATCATCACTGAGGGCCATTTACAACAACCCTACACCTAGAACCCTAAGACGTAGGTTGAAAGGTCACTGAAGATAATCTGATTCTATTGTGCATGCTACTAATGAGCATCTCCCGAGTACTGCACAAATCAAATTTCACAAAGATAGCTGCGGTGTGAATGCTACCAAGGATAATCAGAGAGGTCATCATCACCGAGGGCCATTTACAACAACGCTATACCTAGAACCCTAAGACGTAGATTGAAAGGTCACTGAAGATAAACACTGTCTAAATATCAGTACCCGGTACATCAAATCACTCCTCTCTCACATACCAAAACAAACTCGCTATGTCTTGAATTATCGGCAGTGACATTTAATTCACTGGTTGGGGGTTATAAATGGCTTTGTTTTTCTGTGCGCGCTGAGGCCCCTCATCTATTTATGTAGCTAGAGTACACGTACCTAGTGTAAACAACTGATTCTATATGCAGCATGTTCAGTTATCATACAGAAACTAATACAGTTAACAACTAAATTATTCACACCCTTACCAAGTTTCGTTAATTTTTTTTGGGGTATGTGAAAAATTGATTTGTGCCGATTTGGCTTTTGAGAATGTGACATATTAAATGAATAAATGTTACATCTAAAGTTCTCAACAAAAGCCAAAATCAAATATAACAGAAGAATACCCCCCCCCCCAAAAAAAAAGACTTTATGTTTCTTTATCAAATAGGCTTTCAAAATTGATTTACAGCTGCCAAATAAGTCACATCTTTGAATTTCATCATGTAATAGCTACATGTACATGTACAACTTGTCTGGGAAGCATTTCACTCTATTGTATCTTACAATTTAACTGCATAGTGCAACATGTTATGGCACTTGAACTAAATCAATTTGAAAATGAGACCACAAGTTGGTAAACAATATGACCAAAAAGAAAAAAGAAAAAGGAAAAAGGAAGTATAAAGAGAAATTATCAGTGTGTCCAAAACCCATTATCAACTGCTGGTCGTCTAATAAAAAAAAAAATTCTAAATAACCAACCTCAACAGTTAACATGGGCTTTTCTGAAAGGTACAATGTGACATTTTCATACTTATAACTACCGGTAGTTGAATTGCTTTATTAATTTGTCTTGGACTGTAAAAGAAAGAATCCCTATCATTTCAAAAATATATACTGTGTCACCAAGTTTTTAATTGAAAAATAGTGATTGCATCCCCCCTTTTTTGTAAGAGAAAGTTTGTATTGTACATATTTAAACTGAAATTTTACAGGTGTATTGCACAGCAAGGATGTACTGTCTGTAGAATTGAAATGATACAAGAAATGAACAAGGCAGCCAAAAACAAAGGCATAAGTCATTTCTCCCATGATTATGAATAGCTTTACACATGTGTCGCTGTAGCATTTAGTCGTACTCACCCTAAAACGGAAGTCCTCGTACCATTTGGGGTTTAGAGTCTGTATGGATAGAACAAATGGGAAATACATTATATTTATAACATGTCTTTGTAATCTCACAGTCTATAATGATCTTTCAATATCTACATTTTGATCATAATATACAATAACAATATTTCATACAAATAAAGAAACAATTTTGTAAATCGATTAATATGTCACCCCCCCCCCCTCGAATCCCAAGTGGCATACAAAAGTACATGACTCAAAACCTGTTCCCCCTGCCTTTTTTAATATTTTAGAAACCCACGAAAGGTACATGAACCTAAACAATGTGCCCTTATCCGTCTGCTTTGTTTGGTTTTCTGACTTTTGGCTCCCTTCCATATCCGGCATCCTATAGCCCTGCATCCTATTGGTACTTCATAGATAAGTAATTTATTGAAAACCAACCCTTTTCCACAAACAAAGTGGGGCTTGAGATGATCATGTCTAACAGGACATAAATATACATTTCGGGCAATTACTATGTATACATAGAAATACAGAAGTGCCTCTTTGAGTTATTGTGTAGAATGGAAAATGGAAATGATGTGAATTCAGTGGTTCACATTAATGTGTTTTATCCCCATTGCCCAATGTTAAGTAGGAAAGAACAGGTGACCACACATGTATGACCTATTTGATCAGGTAATCCTGGATGAATTCCCTGATTTTTCCGACTGATGGAGCTTCAAAAATTGAGCGATCATCATTTAAACCTACTTCCAAGTTTTAAATGGCTTAATAGCCAATCAGACTGCGGATAAACGCTCTTGAATCCGTTATTATCAGACCTATTACATCCCACTTGAGACAGTTTCCTGACCATTACTACTCACTGTGTACATGTTGTAGATTTGTAAATGGGGGAATCCCCTGCAATTACATGTAGCTTACCTTCTTAATTGTCCTTGTCTGGACAGTTGATATATTGCCTTCCTCCCTGTCTCCTCTGAACAACTTTATCCTCACATATGGATCACTACATTGGAATAAAATATAAATCATATTAAAAAGGTATACATTCTCGTTTCTTTTCGACCAAAATGATATTTTGGCAATAATAAAGAATAATACAAAATAATCATAATCCTTCATGAAGGAATCAGCAAAAAATAATGTTACCGATATCATTAGAACAGGAGCTCTGGGGTTCCCTAATCAAATGATGAGAAAAAGAGTGAACAAGGTGAGAAAAAAAAAGGGGAGAGGGGTAAAGGCCCTAAAGCAGGCCTTAAATTTCAATACTTTTAGGGCAAGGTCACTTTTCTGTAGGGCACAACAAATCTCCAAGGCCAATCAAAAGGGCATCCACGGCCATGGCCTTGGATTAATTTAAGCCCTGCTAAAGGGAACATAAAAAGATGATGTAATGCCTTCCAACACCCTTTCATTTCACACACCAGTGACTAGAGCCCTCCCCCTCCCCCTATTTCACTACGAATGTCAAATGGGGTCATAAGGTCAAACATGTAAGGTGAAGAACTGCTGGTCCATCATGTCGCACAGGTAGGTTACAAACATTCACCTTTACTCTGAAAGCTAGAAACCTGATCACACAAATGATCCCACTCATTGAGACCTTGCACTTATTGCAATCTGCAAAAGTTTCTGGTTTTGTACAACGGAAGGATTTTTCTATTTCCTTCTGGCTTAATCACATTGCATATTTGTAATATTTATCCTAGACAAATATCAACATTTTGCTTCATGTTCAACTCGATTCAAGCTCCCGATGATCGGACATTTGCTCTGATAAATTGGATTTTAGCCTTAGAATAGGTTTAGGTTCAGCATTATGGTTATGTATAGTGCTGGGTCCAGGGTTGAAATGCTTTAATTAAAATAAAAGTTTTAAACAAACTTATTATTATTATGAACTACATGTACACAGTACCTGAAGCTTTAATGCATATTTTAAAGCACTGGCCTGATTTTAATCACCAAATCACTTTTAATTACTTGTGCTTATTTATTTTTGAAATAAATATTTCAGTTTCGATTTGAGGCCCTGAAAAAAAAATCAGTAAATTGTAATATGAGTGAGTATACCATACACTCACGTACTGTACATGTAACATTAAAAATTTAAAATGCCTTTACAATGACGAAAGCAGGGCTCCCACTTAGCCGAGTTGGAGCCCCGAGTTGTAGCGAGCTAGCGCGATCTTATGGCAAGCCGTTTTATCATTAAAACATATTTCTTGATATCAAGAATTAATTTTACGTTGTAAAGCAATGGTAATTCTTGATATCAATAATTCGGTTTTGTGATATCAAGAAATATGTTTTAATGATAAAACGGCTTGCCATAATGCCATAAGATCGCGCCAGCTCGCTACAACTCGGCTAAGTGGGAGCCCTGCTTTACACTCAGCATTACATGTCAGCCCACTCAAAATAAATATATGCATCTGCTTTGTTTTGACATACATGTATATCCCAGAATTCAATGACCCTGCGATGGATTTTAAATTTGATAAAATTAGACATTTAGAACAGACTGAAATCTAAGCTGGATAATGGCCCAGAATATACATACATGTAAGTACTGTATGTAGGAAAATTTATTTTCATTTCAAATTGACCTCTTGGCAACTTCAATCAATATTTCAGCAAATGGACAACAATGAGGATTTTAGCATAATCTTAAGTGATAAAAACATAGTACATGTACATGTAGGTATGATTTTGCTTAATATAAATTAGGCTTACCTAGATAGGAGAAGTTTTGATTAACAATAACAGGATATTGGGCTGAATCTTTATCCCAAGAAATCAAAATTAAATTTTCTTCTTTTTTTGGGGGGGGGGGGGGGGGGGGGAGGGGGGGGGCACAGAGTACAACTTTGGGGGTGTTAATATGTACATCTATGTCTCCAAGCCCGTTACAGTCGAGCCCTAAAGGAACATAGTCGAGGTGTGCAATTTTTTACAAACTGATTACATATGATTATTTTTTATTAATGAATACAATCATCCTCTTAAAGTCCCACTGTCTTACTTGTAGCTACTTGCTCCCTCTATATAGAAAACTTCCCCAATCGTTGCCTGTTGGTCCCCCATGATCCTCTTTTTCTTATGTTAATTGAGAGCTGAGTTAATGAGAAAGCCACCTGACAGTGACCTCGCTGTGTGGTCTAATCCCTTCTGGCCCAGTAGTATTGACGGTCTTTAAAACTGACAAGCTGATATCACACAGCTATCACATGAATGATTTTACTGAACTGACTTCCCTATAAACTCAGCATGAATGTATGATAATAGTGAAACAACAAAAATATAAATTAGAATTCACATACAGACCATGTAAGCAGTGTACTAATTAATATTACAAGATCATGGTTCATGTACATGACAACCTCACTTCCTCAACCCTGACCAACTTTTCGAGTTGAATGTATGCCAAAGATCCAGTTACATGCATCTTTTATCTCAAATTGTGTAAAATTAAGTAGATGTAGAATCCTGTAGTTATGTAACAAACAAAAAAAATAAATAAATAATGAGTATCACACAAAACTGTTTTGTTCTCTCGCTTGCAATATATGCAGAGAACTACATGTATCATAAATTATAGTGAACAAAAATGACAATAACAAACATAAGATCATGATTACTTCTACATCAATGTACTGGTAATCACAATCTTGATCAGTCAAAAAAAGGAAATATCAAACAAATAAAATCTGTATGTCTTATGGCTCACAACAGACAAAGCTACAGCTCCCTGTGGTACTAAAATATATAATCTATGTGGCTGCCAATACTGTCAAAAGCTAAATCATCATACATACCTTGCACCAAATATATCCTTTTTAGCTAGGTCTTTTCCTTCTATTACTCTCACTTTCAAGATCCGAGTAGTTCCAGGGGCCTCCCCCTATAAAAAAAAGAGGAACAAATAAGAGCATTTGATCAAGAACTATAATATGGTGGTCCAGAAACAAAAATTCAAACATGTAAATTGGATCATGGAAGGAGTAAACAAAGCACAAAATGTACTTTGTGGACAGGCTGCACAGCTTTTCAAGGGCTCTAGGGACTAGGGTTCTTAGATGCACTCTGGTGCAATCAGATCCATAATTTGAAGCATTTTTTCAAATAAATTTTTCAACTGTTCATTTCATAATTTTTTTTGTTAAGAATGAATATAGATAAACTTGAGTTCTGGTCATGCCATTGCATTGTGAAAGAAAAGGTGTGGAATGGATCAGAAACAGTTGATCATGTAGCATGTACATGTAAGTATTGGTGTGCACTGCAAGGTTCTGGAGTCATCAAAATCATAATAAATTTGGCCGAGTCTTGGTAAAGTAACAAGCATTGTACACAGAAAGCTATATATGGGACAACACACATGGTGTCAGGGCTAGTACTACCTTGATTTCCTTGTCTTTTTATGCTCATTACTCAGCCAGTATACATTTTCTTCAAAAATTGTTTGGCACATGTCATTTATTTGTAATTTTAAACTTCCAGTGTAAGTTTCTTTTGATTCTGTGAGAATTGTTCTTTTTTTTTACCAGAACTGGAGTTTATCTTTAAGTTTAAGGGTGGCTGATTTTCAAACCTGTACAATCAAAATTCAGACACATGTATCCGATTTTCAAACCTGTAAAATTTCTATTCCTACCTTGTTACTTGTTTAAACCCCTTGTGGACCACCCTGCTATTATTAGAAAACATATTTTTGCTTAGAACATTTTTGTAAAGCCGGGCTAATACAAGTTTGGACATTTTGATGTTGTTGTTCAGTAGGAGTTCAGCAATGTTTTCATACGTACAGTATTGCGTACTATGGTACCCTGCAAGCAGACAATTTTTGCAAACAAGAAACTTTATCCAAATGCAAATATTTCATGTTGTGATTCAATCTAGACCTATTCAATATTTAGCGGCGTTGAAGTTATGCAAATCTCTACCACTTGTAAAATTAACAAAAATGTTAAGGGGAGGTGTCGTGGTATAGTGGCTCATTCACTTGACTCTCAATTCAAGGGTCAGGTTCGAATCCTACCCTGGCACTAATGTCCTGGCTTTGGCATGACATTAATCCACTTTTGCCACTCTCTACCCAGGTATAAATGTGCCATAGTCTAGTTAGCGCTACATAATTGGCTGCCAGCTAAGACCAGGGTAATACTTTTCAAGCTTGCTTGCATGTAAATAATACTCTTTGATCTGTTTTGGATTGAACTCTATGCAAACATTTTGGGGCTCTTTTATGACTCATCAGTAAGACAAAATATGAATGTATGATGCTCATCTAATTTTGACAAACAATCTTGACTTGGCTTGCACTGCACTCAGCACTGCAGTTTAATTTTCAACTCAACTTCAGACTGACAGAGTTCAATATTAGTATCACTATCACTCAGTATCACTATCAGGTGAACATGGTGAAGTTGAGGAAGTTTGCCTAGATCTACAACACACTGAACCACACATACACTTCTTTGGTTTTGAGGTTGAGCAGAAGTCAGTGGACATGCATAATCTAGTATACGACAGCACTTTGCATTGCATGCAGCATTGGACATGATCCCCCGAGCCCGTCCGCCAATACCCTGTTGTGTCTGGCACCTCAGCCGCAGCGCTGGACGAGTTAGACCTGTGTGCGGTGGGCTAGATATCTACGCGCGTTGACTACCGGAATTTCATTGCGAAGGCATATAAACTTATCTAAGCTACGGATTTTGCAATAAAAAGCCATATATATTTCTCTATACAGTACATCATGAACTTACCTGAATTTCGGGGAGACCATATATTGTTGCCATGTACAAATAGTATCTGTTGCAAGTATGTTGATATTTTTGACAATCTTTTTTTCCGTTCGTCCCACCTTCGCCGATTCTATAAATAAACCGAAGAAATATCAAGAGCGCTGGCCCGCCCTCATCGACAAGGTCCCTGATATCATAATTAGAGACAAAATAGACACCACATCACAGCAGAACCCAATGAATTTGGAAAAGAAAATGAATGAAAATTTTGAATTATTAAAATGCACTAATTGTAATACAACATAAAGGATAGATAATTATAAAAATAAAACTAAGATGATGCATGTGAGTATGTAATTGTGTTAATTATATTGGCCAGCCTCAGAGGGGCTAGCTTTAGGCTCCGAGGCTTGGCCGATGGCGCGCGCCTCGAGTATTGCGAAATCGGATGAGTCAACGTCATCATGAATATATGAAAGCTCTGTAAATTTCCCGGGAAATTTCCATTTACTTTGATTTTTATTACTTTACTTTATATTAATCCAGCGATGCTTTAGGACAATGCCTATTCATCGATCGTAGATGTCTCCTTCAGTGATTATACATTATTCTTTAGGTCAATTTAACCAATCAGCCAACTTTGTTGCCTCCAAACGTCATTTTCTTCTGTCTCGCTCTGATTTCGAGTTCTTTGTAATATTACACTAAGCAAAACAAAAACAATTCAAACTAACAACAAAACTACAATGGTGAAATTGTTATTATTAGTTGTAGTATTTGTTTGCATGCAACCGTCTGTCTAGAGAGACAAATGAAGTTTTGATTTATAAAGTCTGTCTGGTTGAAGTATACTTGCATCTCGCGGCTGTACCAGGGAGGTGTTTTAATTTGTACAGTCCTTTTCTTGAGAGACACACCTTCTGTCAATAGATGCAGGTGACAGTTTAATATGCTTTGCCGTTATGGTCCTAAATCAGCTTATGTAAGCATTTTATGTCTATTTCCTTCTTTTTTCCTTCAATTTGTCTTTCTATCGCTCATCTGCATACCCATTTTGCCATTGCTCGTAATCCTTTATGTCCCTCTAATTGCAGGCATCCTTGAACCGTAATAATGGTCTCCTCACATTACTACTACTATTCTCCTACTCCTACTCCTACTGCTACTGCTACTGCTATTAGCCTGCGTACTCATACTACTAGTCAGAGGCGACGCTCCCGGGGGAAGGGGCACAGTGCTCCACGGTACCCCAAAAGTGCACCTTTTACTTTGACAACAAGTGTCCTTGTTAATTTTTAAAAGTACCGCTTCCCTTTTCCACCTCTGATAAATGCTCCTTTTATTTTGACACGTACCCCTTTTCCTTTGACAAGTTGCCCATTTTCCTTTGCAATAAGTGTCCATTTTCCATTCTCATAAGTGCCCTAATTCTTCATCTCTAGTAAGTGCTCCTTTTCAGGTACGAGAAGCGCCACTTTTAACTTTTGATAAGCACCCCTTCAACCTCTGATAATTACCCTTTTGACTATTTGAGAGGTGCCCCTTTTGCTTTGACAAGTGCCCATTTTTCTTTGTAAGAAGTGCCCCTTCCCTTTGTAATTACTACCCCTTTTTAACTCGGATAAGCCACCTTATAGTTTCACGCGTGCCCCTTTCCTTTCTAATAAGAGCCCTATGATAAGTGGCCCCGGTAAAAAAGACCCTCTTCTCCTTCTCATAAATGCCCCCTTTCACCTATTAAAATAGTTAATTTTCATTCTCATAAGTGCCCCTTTTAATCTCTTGTAAATGACCCTATTCAATTCTGAGATATACTCGTTTTACGTTGACAAGTACCCCTTCCCCTCCTGATAAGTGCTCTTTTCATATAACTTAGAGCCACTAGCCTACTCTCTTCTCATAAAAGCCCTTACACCTCCGATGAATGCCCCTATTAAAATTTGATTGGTGCCTCTATTCCTTTAACAACATTTCCCTTTATTATTAGTGCCCCTTTTCACCTCTGATTAATACCCTTTTAACAATGATAGCCCCTTTTCCTTTCTAATCAGGTATCCCTTTTTCATAAATGCTCCTTTTCACTTTTTATAAATGCCCCTATCAAAATCTGATGGGTGCCTCTTTTCCGTCGACAAATGCCCATTTCACATCCCCATAAGTGCCTTTTTCATCCCTGGTGAGTGCCAGGATTGGTTTTTCCTCCTTATAAGATGTAATTTTTTCGCACTGCGACCTCACAAATTCCTCGCTCGCAAATGAATTTTCAGACCATTACACCCAACTGCAAAGTGTGATGCTTAAGCAATATCTTATGATGTATAAAGAGAAACAAAATATGAAATCATCCCTGATAATGTAATCACAATAAAAGGGGTATATACCAATCTCTAAAAAATTGTATATTTTCCTTTGAAGGTGCCCTTTTTTCTCCAGAAAGGGCCCTTTTTGTTGGTCCCCCCTCACTTTGGAATTCGCTCCGCCGCCTCTGCTACTCGTGCTTTTTTTTGTGTCTGTAATATTAAAATCGGACAGTGAAAATCCCACTGGTGAAAACCCGTCGGTGTCAGGACTGTCATTTCAGCATTTTGTTTTGGTAATAAGATCATACATCAGTGGCACTCACACCATGCAGAGCTAGGATGGACTACGGTCAGTCAGGCGCGTACGCAAGGGGGGGGGGGGGGTGGGGGTTAACTCCCCCTTTGCGATTTTTTATTTTTTTATTTTTTTTATATGTCCTCTTACCCCCCCCCCCCCCCCGCGCTTATTCAGCGGCTGAGCCGTTGCGAAATTTAAAAAAAAAAAAAAAAAATGTCCTCTTACCCCCCCCCCCCCTCCAGCTTATTCAGCGGTCGGCTGAGTCGTTGCGAAAATTTCGGCCCGATTTAAAAATGTTAACCCCCCCCCCCTTGAAAAAAACTCCTGTGTACGCTACTGCGCGGTCAGTCATATTAAAGCTTATCTGCCGTAGTTTACAGGAGGGATTAGACCGCTCTGCAAGGTCACTGGACATGTGGTTATCTCATCAACTCAGCTCTCAGTTAACATAAGAAAAAGAGGATCATGGGGGACCAATGGTCACCGATTCTGCATTTTTTGTTATATAGAGGGCGCAAGTAGCTACCAGTAGTGCAGTGGGCCTTTAAGATTTGACAACTACAGTTACCTAAACAAAATATATTCAGAGAAATAGACTAAAAACACAAACTTAATGATTATTTTATTAAACTGCGTTTGAACTCTTTCATAATCGCTCCTTTTTTTTGTAAACATAAAACACAATAAAAACCTCTTCCATAATGTTTGCGTATTACACATTTTACGTGCAGTTGTTTTTTAATGTTTTATAATGCTCATCTCCATACTATATCCACGTAGAGGCAAGAGTCCAACTATTGTTTGATCACCTAAGCGTGCTTTTCTATCCCATCATGCAGTTTCAGAGTTCACTTTGCATATCCGGTTTCAACCATGGAAGCTATACACCATGCGAAAAACCTTCTCCGGAAGGAGCTGAAGAAACGGCTGAAATCTCTTTCTGAGCCAGAGAAAGTCAGACAGTCTCTTTATATAACTAAAAAGGTAAGTAAATTGATGTACTTTGCTGAAATTTCGGGAAAGAGGCATGTATTTTACATGAGAGTTGTAGCAGACGACGCATTGTGATGCTTCGGTCCCAGCTGCTGCAAATCATGACATGTGTCCAGCATTTACAGGCGACCCCTCACTCTTTCACAATCTCTCTCTCAGTTTCATACTTGACCTCCATGTTAAACGTTCCACTACATATATGTGATGCCACCTTTAAACCTGCCTATCCTTTTTATATGTGTACTACCAACACCTGCACAAACTGCAGTTCTCCAAACTGGAGGAAGCAAAGCCAAGAAGAAGAAGCTAGACTACGTCACTCCAGCAAAGCATAGAGAGTCATAGACAGCAATAACCATCTGATTTGGGTCATTTCTTTAATAAAACTGACATTTGTTGTCATTCCCCAATACAGATGGCAACCCAGAGATCTCGTACCGTGGGGGTAGCTATAGCCAACAATGGCAGCTTTTTGTGTCAAAAAAATTTCTCCCCGATTTTCTTTATTTAGATCTATAATTTTCTGATTTCTAAATCAGATGTAAATTAGGTCGGTATGTCATTTGTCCTAATTACAGTTATCAAAATTTGATAACTTAATATTAAATGTATAATTTACCGACTTACTTATATGAATTATCCAATTTGTATTTCCGAACTGTGAAACGGTACGTTCATGCATTCGAAATATTACCCGGCGGCCGATATATTTCCGGTTCCACCTACCAAAACATAGCCAAATGGCCAATCAGAGCACTCGTTTCGTGGGAGTTCGTTGGTCAAGCTGGGCCGACTCGTACGTAGCTACGGTAGCTATTGGACGTTCGAAAAGAAAAAATGAATATTCATCAACTAAAACCAAGACGGATAATGTTGACGACGAGACTTTCTCGGATTAATCATTAATTTAGGATCTAAATGAGCAAGCTATCGTAAGTCAAATAAGCTATATATATGTTATTTTTAATTAGACTCTAAATTATTGTCATATTGCAGCATGTATGAGGATGTAAAGAGTGAAAATCTCGTTGCATATCTCATTCATCGCGGTCCGGTCGAACCGAACCATTTGTTCCGTACAGTGCCTCACAGAAAGAGGTCCCCAGACTTCAGTCTCTATAATCGGAGGTCTAGTGGAGCCAGACGTAGTCTCAGTGGAACAACCGACGATTAGAGAGACTGAAGCTTTCGGTCTAAGAGAGTCAATGCTAATGCATATTCGACTACATGTAGTACAAGTTGTAGGGATGTTACAAAAAAAATTAAATCTCAGAATTCAAGCTCTTGCTTTATGCCATTAGACAGAGCTTGATAAGACCTTTTATTTGATGCCTCATTCATCGTAATAGCCCCAGTAATAAGAAAGTTATGCCAATTTTAAACGCCTGGAAATCATGTATTTAATTGCTTTGTTTTCCTTTGTTTTTAAATCAAAAGTTGTGATCTCAAATGTGACCAAAAGATTCCATTTCATTACATAAAATCGCCCCAAAATGTATGTAAATACACAAAAACCGCTAATCGGGCCATCATTTTTGCATGACATTTTCACATTCCTCATCCAACAAAACATATTTCTAATCGATAGATTTTGCTGAAATTTCACCAAAAGCAAATTCACATGTTAACCAATCATCCTAGATACTTTTTTTCAAATCCTGTAGGTGGGATCAGGGTACAGAATGGCACTAAACACGGATCTTGTGAAACAGTGCAGCAAAACAAACTGCCGAAAACATAAATCATAAAAAATTTAGTATGAAATGAAAGATAACAATGTCATTCTTCTCATCCAATATAAATCATGAAACAAAAATCTAATCAGCCCATCAAAAGATCACATTTACCTAGGCTATCCAAATTGGTCTCCAATAGTGCATAACAGCCCCATGGCAGAAACCTTCATGGCGAAAGCACACACATTGTAACATACCTACAAGTTGAATTGAAATTGAAGCTCGGATCGTAAGACGGCTATAAACTACGTAGTCAAAAAACATATACACACATAAATGTACCACAGAGAATGGCGCGTATACTCTATATTCAATATGTTGTGGCAGATCGAGCGATCAAAATATTTTTAGTTAATTTACAAGTAGATTCTACATGTATTAAAATGGTTAAGTTGTATGGACAAAACAGAAAAAGATCACATTCACACTGTTTCATTTGTTCAACTCCAAACAAACCAGGGGAAGGAACATCTGATGAAAGAATAATCAAGCTTGACTTAGATCTTGTTCTCTGTGTAGAAGTCCCTCTTTTTTTGTATTAACCCATTCATTTTCAGGAAATTGTGAACAATCTCTAGTAAGTAGTAAACATATTTGTTTTTTTACAACGTCTATTGTTGGGTTGTTGTTCATATATTGCTTCCCAAATATGTGGTAGTTATTTTCTCAATTTCTATCGGTCAATGTTTTCATTTTCCAAGACGGAGGAAATCCCGTGTCTGTATCATCTGAGCAAGTTCAAGAACAGAACGATGTACATTTGTTTAATATTTTCAAATACATGTTTGTAATATTCATGTTTGTTTTTAAGTACAAGTATGTTTTTGGCTGGATGGGTCTTATGAAATTGTCTCCATATTTCAGTTGATATGTGATAAATGTTTTGTTTGATATAATTGTACTTAAGCTTAGACAGAGTCACTTTTCTGTTTCGATATACAGTGTACATATATCTTTATATTATAAAATATAGTACACGTTATCAAAACAAGAACAACTATATAAAAACACAATATCACTTTATAAATTGTAAAGTAGTAATGTGTTTTAATATAGTTGTTCTTGTGTTTTGATATAGTTGTAGCTAGATTTACTTATAATTTAAAAATAGTTATATGTATATTTTCATGTATTTATGTTTTGACATAGCAGTTTTGCCTATGTTACAGGAAGTGTCCTTCTTTTTTGTCTTGTAGTGTCACTTATGTTTTGATAAAAGCTAAACTTTTAGCTGTATTGTTAAACGCACAGAGAGACTTCCTAGTCTATTTTGTGCTTTTAAAGTTCATACTTTATATTATTACCTATGTTTTTATATGATTGTATTTACATGTATATAGCGGATGGCTCACCCTTATACAACAAAAGCTAGAGAATATGAGTCTACCTGACTATGAAGAAGAAGGTGTATTTATGTTTTTACGTTAACATGTGTTTTAATTATGTATTGTTCTTGTACTTGCATTGATGTAGTTATTTATGCTTTGATTTATTTACTTTCCAATACGTCGATCTTAATAATATTTTACTTGATGATAATGTCTTTTCACAGCTGGAAGGGCACTTATTCTGTGTGAAATTGTATGCCTTAATGCACTTCTGGCACCAAACATATAATAGAGTTATACACTTGTACTTATATTATTGTATAGTTGATGGAACACCCTGCTTACCAGAAAAGCCAGCGGATATCAGTCTACCTCGCCATGAAGAAGGAAGAAGTGGACACCGATGGAATCCTCCGGAAGATGTTCTCCCAGAACAAGCTATGCTACGTCCCTCAGTACATCGGACCCAAGATGAACATGATGAAGATGTCTTCCATGGAGGACTATGAGGCTCTCCCGGAGACAAAATGGAAGATCAAGCAGCCGGCCGATGACGATGTGAGAGAAGATGCGCTGAAGACAGGTAAGATGGTCTCTGGCTCATGAAGTATGGCTCATTTTTAAAGTGAAATCTACCAGAATGCTATTGGCAATTACTTCTTTTAATTTAATTTTCGTGAGAGGTAATTCACTGACTGTGAGAGAAGATGTGCCAAAAAAAGGTAAGATAATCTCTGGCTCACAAGGTATGGCTCATCTTCCAGAATGCTATCAGCTTGGCAACACAATGTCAAGTATTCTCTTTTAATTTTATTTTTGTGAGAGGTAATTCACCCACTGGTTACTTCCATATTATCCATGCTTCCCAATTTAGGGTATATGATTCATGTGATTCATTACCCTTTTACAATTTGCAAAACAAAATGATACCATAAAATGAAATATGTAGAATTTAGCGATTGATAGGAAGAAATATAAGGTACCGGTAAGTGTGTTCAAAACATGTTTCTTAGAATTTATGTAAACCCAATCATTTTGTCCTGCATTAGGGATAAAAAATGAAAAGGGTACACACTACTTCTTATAAAGAAAATATGTCAAAGACACTTTTACAATTTTCATTCTTATTCACCCTGATTGTTCCTATGTGCCGTGGCGGGACTTGAACCGCAAATCATGGGTTCCACCTTCTGGTGATGTATCTACTAGATCCATGACACCTTTAAATGATCATACTTTTTACATGATAATAATAATAATAATAGTTTGTTCTTACATATTGCATTTCGGAACTGCAGGTCCTCTCAAAGTGCTCTGCGGATATATATGATAGTAACTGTATCAGCACTGGCCTCCACAAACCAAAGTCAGATTAGAAAAGTGAAAGCATAAGTTATGTTACATAATTCATTTATTCATTCTTATTTCTTTTAGATTAGTCTGGAACTTTTCAATAATTTAAATAGCAACTCCACGTGTTCTGCACAAAGTAAGAATTTATTGAAACAAACCTTCAGCTTCTCGTAAATACAATTTGCAATGGAGGCCACCTGTATGTAGCAAAGTCCAACTATAGCTATAAAAATATAAGCCCAAGTCAAATATCACTATCATATAAACATGTATTCTTTACTTTTTGTCAATATTTAGGAGGGTTGGATCTGATTATTATTCCCGGCCTTGGATTCAGCAAAGAAGGGCATCGCCTTGGGAGAGGGAAGGGGTACTATGACATCTACCAGAACCGATGTGTGGAGGAGACGGGCGTCAAACCAGTCACCATCGCGTTAGCCTTCAAGGAACAGATCTGCGAGAGTATTCCCATCACCGAGAATGATGTCACAATAGACTATGTACTGTATGGAGACATGGATGACTGATTAGTATCATGAAGCTTCAAGGTATAATAGACCAGTTCACGGTTAGCACATGTCCCAAAAGGACCCAAATGACCCTGAATATCCACAAATCTTCAAAAAATGAAGAGGTCCCATTTTGTACATTTTGAAATGATCACTCCTGCAGCGATGGAGGTGCTACATAAATAGCCTTTGTTTCCCTTTTTCAAAGAATACTTCCATCAGTGTATCATGGAGTGCATTGCTTGTGCATAAATGAATAATGATACCATAAGTTTCATGAGCACGTATCCAGTATTTAGTCTCCGTGTATTTCACAATTTTTTCTGCAATGACCTATATCTGCTCATGCTCAGACTGCAACCGTGAACTGGCTTATTGAAGGTATAATCTTAGAGTATTATGATTACTGAAATTCAAAGAGAGATGAAGGGTGGCTCAGGTTTAAAAAATAAAAATGATAACAGAAATCTTCCCCTTGGTCACTATCACTAAATTTTATTTCCCTCCTGAATGAGGGAAAAGACTTTGGGAAGTAGATCAATTATGCATAATTATTTTCACGAAAAAAAGGATTTGTAAAGAATTTTGCAATGATCTACTGGTTTTGAATTAATAATCTACCTTTATGAATATTTCGTTTAGATGCTATCATGATGAGGAATGTAAAAATGGTGATATATTTTATTGTTTTTGCAATCTTATGCATATGAATGAAGAAATTAATGAAGTTGGGCAGGTCCTAGGTATTCTGTCCCATACATCACAAACTAAATCTCAAATTGTAAGAGGGTAGCTCTGCAATAGCTTGGATAAGGGCACTGTTTCATAAAATCTGTTATCCATAACAAATGATCAATTTCTAGGACAAATTTGCTCTCAGCAATTTTCTTTTCTTTTCAGAGTGTGTGATATTATTGCTAAAGGTTGGAAGTAGACCACTTTATATTAGTACAAGTGAAGTATGGAATAAAACCGTAAGTAATTAGATAAGAAAAAAGAAACTTTAACACTAAATATTATTTCACATTTACATGTGTGTAACATGATGTGCCTTTAAGGAGACTGCCAATGTTATATACTAGAAATTTATGTCATATATAGCTAGGACGAGAGCAATAATTCTGTTCATGATACTTATATCTTATATATGAATAATATCAATGTTGAAGAGTAATTTGTAGAGCTAATTGCAGTCTGATGTTCAATTGGTAGAGGAAGCTTACCAAGACTAGAGGCTCAACAACCTTGTATTGGTTGAAAACTTGAAAGTCAACTTCTTTCAGCAATAATCGCTATCATAATGTCTATTAGTCCGATGAAAGAATTTAAAGTTTCGTTAAATATCTAAAGAAGTTATCTTAAAAGCCTCTTGTACTAAAGGCAACTTGTGATTAAGATGCAACTTCAGAAATCAAACCCAGTCCTAACTACATGTAGTTGAAAGTCAAGTTGTGTTTAATTACTGGTGCCATGTGCATACAAAACTTTACAAATTCCAAGCCAAGTCCTAAATTTAAGATTCTGCATTAGACGAAAATCAACTTGTGTTTAATTTTGGACAACTGTTATGTAAGATGCTCTATATCTCTTGACTGAAATTTATGAGCAGGGGTAGATTAGAATTAAAATTACGGTTTCAATGATAGACTTTTGAATACTGGTATTTTTATGTATGTAATAACAGAGGATGGATGAAGTTTAATGTCATGTTTTATTACAATATTAAATGCAATAAAGTTGAAATACTATAAGAAACACTCGTTATGAAACACATGCTCATCAAAATGATCATGTTTATATGGTTTTATTCATCATGTAATGTACAAGAATATGAGGTTCTCTGAGATTGCATTTACATAACCATATTCAAAGTAATGAAAATATTTGAATAAAACAGTCAGGAATGATGAACTTTCATCGTGACCAACATTGTTAGCCAAAAATTTGCCACATGAATATGCAAAGATTTTACAAACTACCCACACTCTAAGAGAGTTATTTGCTTATCTGCAAGGATAGGGGATATGATAGCAAGAGAGAGAGAGAGAGAGAAATTAAGAGGGGGAAATAGAGAGATTGAGAGGGGGAGAGAGAGGGAGAGGGGAGGGAGAGAGAGAGAAAAAGAAAGAGGGGAGACAGAGGGAGAGAGAAATAGAGAAAGAGAGAGAGAGAGAGAGAGAGAGAGAGATATATATGGAGGGAAAACAAGGGTGAGACAATAGAGTGGCACAAGGTAATAGCAAACAAGGCACTCTACTTAAACAATTTGAAAGACAATGCTATTTCATAATGGAAGTGGGATGTATTTTGCTGCATGCTGCATTGTTAAAAAAATAGATAAAAAGTGAACCTATGTAAAAGATACAAATACAATAAGATTCATACAATAGGCTTGCGGATGTAAGATTCATGTTTTCAATTTAAGCAAAACATGTATTACAATATAACCATGAAACCCTTTCATGCTATAACATAACCACTCGAATATGACAGGTTGATTGCAAAATATTTTTATTTTAGTTATATCTGCTAAAGAATACTACATAACCTATTTCGGCTAAAATGGAAAGACTTCATATGAAAGACCATGCAATAAAATCTGTACTTTCTTTTCATCAGGTATGCTTGTCAAATAGAATAATTAAAGAAAATCTGGTTGTTGATTTCACTATGAACATGACTGACAAAGAAATCGGACAAAGTATACAGTTCCTCGGGTAAACAAAGAAACATCCCTTCACTGCTATTATGTAAAAATGTGCAGAAGAGGTGTGACATGCATATTCACTTTTTACATAATAGCAGTAAAGCGATGTTCCTTTGTCTACCTGAGGAACTGTATATTTTGTCCGCTTTCTTTGTCCGTTATATTCATAGTTTTTATAGAGTACCAAAGTGTGACGTCATACTGGGCAAGTTGTCAAGGTTACTGGTTTCAAACAATTTTGTGCTAAACAATGGTGTGGGGTTCACACCAGGCATACATACTGAATTTGCCTTGCTCCAGACCGTTGCTTGAATGATTTCGCGGTGAACCTCATGCACAGGCTCTTATGTTTAGAACCAGTTACCTGAACGACGAGCGAATATGACATCAGCACTTCGGTACTTCATAAGGCTCAATACTATTTTCGGAATGTACAACTTACATATAAATTATAGCAGAATACCGTTGTGTAGCTAAAGAAGAATGATCATTCCCCCTCTTTAACGTCTAGTTGTACATATTGTATTCAGTACTGAAGTAATGATGCTGTCGATGTTATCACTAAATTGCTCTTATAATAATGCTAATTTCCGGTTTAGATGTTACTGTTCAAAGTGATTATCAATTAACTATAATCCCTCTCATATACATATAATATATGTAGGTGCGTAGGTAATTTCCATTTTATTTGATCCGATAAAATTAATTTACTAAAGACATTGTGTTGAACTGTTACAACGATAAAATAGGTGAATTCAATGTGAAAGTTTTAAAAAAGAAGACAAGTTTTATGCAACTTGAATTGTTGTGGTAAGTAAATAGTACAGAAGACGGGGAAAAGATTAAACGCATCCTTTGTAAAGCAAGGAAAAATCTTAAGGACTGACTTATATATTTAAAACCCCTCACAAATGCATTACATTTTAGAATTCCATGATAATTTAAGGCAGTGAAATTTAGGAGGTTCTACCGATAAAAAAAAATACATTGTACATAATTTACCATATTATTATCCCCGATTTCTTTCAAAAAGACAGACAAACAAATCATTAATTCATTTGATTTGTTAAAATTGTCCTATAACACCTAATCACAAGAAGTAAAATAATATCCATATTTTGTGTATATTATTTAGTTTATTTACCAATGATAATATTGGCGAAAGGAGAAAGGTGTTTGACATACTTCTGCAGCTTTATTTTCATCAAGAGATATATTTGAATTAAAATATCTTTCTTTGTTAAGATGACAGAGTAAAAATTTTACAAAGATAAATTCCGGAGAGGTTTACCAATACATATATCATAATTACAATGGAATCATTGTATTGACAATCACGTATTTATGTATTTTTTGGAATACTTCTAGCATTACTGTTTTCTACAAAAAGCACCGTTTCTAAAGTAAATGTTATGTATGGAAGATTTTTATTTCCTCGATAAGTATTACAATCAGTATTACGTAGTGTCGTAGTATAAATTGAGATGTCTGATAATATGCCTATAACACGATCGCTACTCTATGTACTTTAGACAAATCAACCGTAAGTCAATTGCAGTGGCCTTGTTCGTCATCTATAGAAATGTTCGAACATTACATTAACGTATTAAGTAATTCAAGCATGATTTCTAATTTTATATTTTACAATGGGATATTGAAATTGTCCTTGAGTTTTTTGTTGAAAATAGTTGCGTTCGTGTTTTTTATCATAATTTATATCAAAATAAAATAAAAATGTTTGTTATTCAAACAATCAAAGTACTGGGGGCCTTTTTAAATGACATTGCAGCGTAGGGCCGAGGTTCAGCAATCATACTTTCAATCAGTTTAATTGCAAGGTTAACCGTGCCATACAAAATAGGCTTACTATAAGTTTATAGGTTTATAGCTTTTGTACTCTCTGGTACAAAGACAAAGTTCAATTCTGCACGACAATGTCAATGATCGCAATCGATTTATGTCATTCCAGAGACCGAAGATCTCCGAATTTCAACGATTGTTCTATCTTGCTTCTGACTCTTGCATCCAGTTTAACAATATCACGTTTATAACAGAATAGAATTGCCATACGAGGTTATTTCTTTCCATTTTCAGTCTCTCCTTTCGCATTCAGTCAAAACTCTTCTGCAGAGTATTTAGGAGAAAATGAATCCAAGGTCCAAGATTCGAATTACGAGTTCATTTTTGGCAACCTGACGCTACGCCCATCACGTGACCACTACATGATCATCTGGCCAGGAAGACGACGATGAGGATGATTACGAGTGCGAAGACGAGAAAAGCAATGATGGCGAGGAGGATGCATCGCCACCACCGTCGAATCCGCGCTTGTCTCATCACGTGTTCGACCTCTGCCTTGTCGATAGGTCGAGGTGTGATAGGCTCCAGGCCGGTGACTGATTGACGGGGCGTCATGAACGGACTCGCCGAAGGGATGGTTGGGGGAAGGTAACTTCGCGGTAATGTGTTCTATGGAAGAAGAAACAAAAAGCATTATCAAGAATCAACATGGAGTCTCCGCTTTGAGCATGCGCAAGATAACTATCAAAATGCAAGTAAAATATTTTGATAAATGATCGGGGAAGTGCCGAATTCGAATGATTTCTTTTATCCAATTTATGATAGAATTAAGTTCGTTTGCGTTATTGTTTTCAACTATATATTGATTAAGTCTTGTAATAGAATGAACAAGATTGACTTAAACCCGTCATATACACACTATAAGAATTTACCCTTTTTTCGTTACATTTAAATGTTGTATTCTTAAAATATCACAGCACGCTTTTTCCATTTCATAATGTTAACGATCAGAGTGATGTTTACATAGTTGATTACAAATTCATATTTCCCTATCTAAAGTCATATATTCATGAGAAAAAGATCTTCTAAGTTCTTTCACTGAAACTATCAGACTATATTATCATGACTAAAGGAGGTTCTTCATAATCTATTTCAGGGGTAAGAAATTCAAAATCTACCAACCTTCTGTACTCTTGCAGGCATGACTTTTCCATGAGTTGTCTATTAAATGGAAGAGAACAAATCAATGGTATTCCATTTTAAACTTAGTGCCTCAAATAAATTATATAGCTTCGCCGAGTTATTTTGCGTTTCTAACATGCAGATCATATCATCTTCGGCTTTATTAGAATAAATATTGTTTTCTTTGCCTATATCGTACAGAATTTTTTGCATACAAGGTCAAGCATTATACATTCAAACAATGAACATTTATACCGTCATCATCATGTGACTTAAATAACTTTTTGTCTCAGATGAACGTCAATGGTACCTATAAAAATTTCTTCAATTCAATCATGGAATGATTTAACTGTTCGGTAAAATATTTGGTTGCTCTGTACATCTGAGATAATGAGCACAAAATGATTCCATAATACAAATTGGTAATAAACTTAAAAGTGAATGAATCAGACTGTGATTTCTCTTTTTCAAAGATGGATATAATTAAAAGACATTTTAATGGAAACTCCCTATGCGTATTCAACAGATTTCAAGACACTAATGAAAACCAACAACACTTAATGTTTGCCTTATTTTTGTGGTATTTGCACGTTATCAATGTTTGCCTCATGGAAGTTTAAATTTCTACTTTTTTTTGAAATGTTGACTCACCACCTGATCCGCCGGGCCTCCTGCACTACTCTTAGGGGGTCCATCACGGTCACCCCTCAGCTGAAAGTTACCCCCGTACGCGATGGGAGGGGGGCTAGGTCCACCCATCGGGTCCCCCATAGGCACGTTCTGAGAGTCAAACAGATATGCGAAAAGAGTCATTGTATCGTCCAAACACAATCTCGTTGATCCAAATAAGTAAATTCACAATCTCGTATGAATATTGGAACAGTACTAACTCACAAAGTATCAGTTCAAATATCAGTTCTCCAACTTCAACTCACCAGGGCCCTTCCTGAACTCACTTACGTTCAGTGTTGAAATGAAGATACTTCCACTCTTCGTAATTACCCTTCCTCTTTATATTTGGGTGCAAGTGCACGGGAGACAAGGGGAGCTTGAACGGATGTTATACCTGTTATTGAACTGATTACTCATGTTATCTCCTACGAATTGAAAGAACGTATTGTAATCGCATTGAATCCGTTTCAAGAGCTCGTTACGAACAGGATATGGATGCCCTTTGTAGAGATGGCGTTTGAAAGACTTTCAGAATTCAGTCGCTTTTGAAGACACTTTAAAATCTTACATGAATGACCTTGCGTCTCTTCGTGTTTGATCCTCTTTATATTTGGGTAAAAGTGCATTGGAGACAAGATGTGCTTGAATAGATGTATACCTTTTATTGAACTGAAATAACCCATGAAATCTCCTACTAATTGACAGCACGTATTGTAATCGCATTGATTCCATTTCAAGAACTCGTTATGCAGACAGTGCACAGCTGGATGCCCTTCTGAGAGATGGTGTCTGAAGGACTTTTAGTAGCTTTTGAAGACATTTTAAAATCGAACATGGACGACCTTGCGTTTATTTGTGTCTTCAACAAAGTGGCATTGCATTAAACAAACGTGGACAATAATTGGTTTGATTCGTCGATCTTATTGATTTTTCTATTGATTTATTGGGAGATATTCATACCAAAGTACAATATAATATAAAAGTGGTTGAAACAATACACACAATAATAACACTGTGATTTATCATTGCAAATTACTTTAAACACACCACTGTAAGAAATTTGTATATTTTAAAGTCATTGTGAAACTGTGGGTCTCTCTTGAAAGGCCAATGACCTACACGGTTCTTTCCATTTTCATTCATTAACAACAAATATTCAGTTACTTATAATCGTGTGTTAATCTTTTTTGAAAGTCTGCAATGTTAGGACTGTTCATCGTGTTTTGCGCCTGTTATCTCTTCCAATGACATGTGTAAAGTAAAACTTAAAGTTGGAAAAGATCATTAGAACCTTCTAAGTAAAGAGACCAACCTGCGAAACTGTATGGACAGAACCGTTCGGTTGTTGATTCAACCTCGTCACACTCCCGTTCGTCGTCGAACCCGACTCGCTCCCTAATCGTTTTCTTCTCAGCTCGCTGGCGTTGACCTCTACCGTACCGTTCTTATCGTAGAGAGGGTTGACTCTCATAGGCGTCTTCGTTGACGCAGTCGTATCGCCGAAGACCGATGCCATTTTCGCGTCGGCGACATCTTTCTCGCTGAGTTTATTGAGCTGGACTCGCTGTTCAGAGTAAAAAAGATAATGAAAGTTTAAGGTATAATGCAAAAGATTAGGAATTTCATCGTTAACCATTGTTTTTTGTTAAATCTATGACCAAGTTCGTATAAACAGCATTGATATCTGATATTTGCAATATAAGACCGACGTTGCCGTTCTCATGAGATGGTAGCCTACTATGCGCCAGTTCGTCATTCTCTCATACTGGAATATTCACATAGTCATCTATTTTGATTACACATTTTCCTACTCACATTTTTTCGTCATTCTATAATCATGGTTTCGACAAGAACCTTTGAGAGACAGAAGGGAGTTAACTTGTATTTCTTTAATGCAGAATAAATGTCCTTTTGGCTTTCAGCAGAGGTAATAAAAAAGAGGAGATATTCCAGTTGTGATATACCACAGGCTTATATTATATACAAAAGTGTGCCACTCAGCCTTTCATACGTATGTTTGGAGCCAGAAGGGCAATATTATTAACTAATATAACTATAACACAGAGTTAACGCCCTTCTACCTCTGAGCAGGCGTGACGTCACGATCAAGCTTTTATTTTCCTAAGCACAAATCATCTGTATGCTTAATTGCATACGTACATATTACCATGATATTTTGTTATCCAAACATCTAAATACATGTATGTCCACATATTTTTTCGACAACGACTGCATGGGCGAATGAAATCGTGATTTCTTCTTTGCATTCAGTTGTAGTTCAAGTGTATATCATATTGTAACATCTCATACTGATAAATAGGAAAAGCGTTGTATGCTTTAATTTACTGTCAATAGATAATTTATACACGGTTAACTAGATAACAAAGATTATGCTTGTACACGAAGAGGTTCAGTAACGTATGTAGCCAAATTATCAACACAGCAATTCTAACGACCCAATTTCTTCTATACATGAACGTTGGGTCATGAATACAACAAAAGAGGGTCAAGGGCAAAGCAAAATGAAATTCATTTTTTTTTCTCATCAAAATTTATTCACTGTATATTATTTCGCTCAAGTCGTTTTCATGAATAGATTGGTATTCCGACCGCGCCTTGCACGGCAACATTACAATAACGTGTTTCCCTAATTGCCTTGAACCTTATCATAATACACAACGCCTAAATATGTACTGAGAGTGCTGAAGATTTTCTATTGCGAAAAGGAATATCTGGATGACACATGTCCTAGAAAATGTTTAATTTTCTTGTTTTGCTAAAATTGTGTAAGAATACGGTAATTGAAGTCACGGGTATCTCCATCATGGCATTCACTTCAAGTTATATTTTATCCTATTGTACATTACCGTCCACGTCAAAATATCTTATTTTCCAAACTGGTAGAGATTGGATCGGACAAGCATCAAGCAGAATTATACTTTTAATGTTCATGTATGTTCAATTTTATGATCCTTTGCAACTTACGAGGCACAGAAATGACCAAATACCTTGGGTGTGCTCAACAATCAACTTAAAGTTTACAGTTTAATTTCATAATAATAAAAGTTCATACAATATAAATTAATGATGAGATACAGAGGACATAAAATTGTTTCAGTATACTCCCGATTTTGACAGCGGTTTCCAAACTGTTCCACCTGGTATGTCAAATGAAAATTGTGGAGGTGTCATGGTAATAGTGGTTCGATGACTATCAATCCAAGAGTTGAGGGTTCGAATTCAAGCCCGGCACTACCGTCCTATGGACATAATTATATTGATCCACATTGCCACTCTATACCAGGTATAAATGGGCACCTGGCAATTGATAGGGTTTTGTTAATTGCAGGGCCCGCAAGAAGAGCAGTTCTAATACTGGTGTGGCTCCCCTGGGTAAACAAGATCGAATTATTATTATTAATATTATTACTACTGTTGTTGTTTTTATTGAAAGACTATATAATTGTCAATTGCCAAGAAAGTGATTTGATGACGTGGCGCCTATTTTACTATACACGGCTCAACGAATTCTACTGGCAGAAACCCTACAAGTTCAAACTGTTATCATTCCCTCCATGTCTGAAATGCCACGTAAACCATGATGATATTCATTGCCGCTACATAGTTTGAAATTTGAATTAATATTATTTCAACCAACTAAGTAAGATGAATTAATAAATATTTCCCCCAATACTCAATTTAAAAGAAACGACAACAACATTAACAATCCTATCTGTCTTTGATAAAAAAAGTGGAAGATTGCGTTAACTTTATAACATGAATGTGATCCATCGCAAAGAATTACAATTCAATGATTCCATCGCCTTCTACCATCCTAAAAACCCACAAATTATACTCACAAATAAATCACACCCCTTTAATTGACTCGCACTCAGAAAATCATAAAATCCTGTCGATAGGTAGGCCGTCGTTCGTCATTAATGTGTAGATGTCCAAAATACAATAATTTTCATGAAATATATTCCATGGTGGGAGATTATTTGAGTGGTGAGACGTTTAACACGCTGCATACAAAATGACGTAGTATACTGACAGAGGGAAGAAGGTATATACAGAAGGGTGCTGGGAGAGTATATATAGATGCGGGGCGGTAGTAATATTATGTAAATCCTTGTTGCAGGACACTTACGATGAGAAAATAGTCAAACATTGCTTAGCTCTCTAAGAATGCTACTTCTGTTTAAAGATATACTTGAATTCTCGTTAAAAAAAAAGGAAAATGAATGCTCACAGAATCAAATGAAACTTACACTGAATGTTCAAGATTACAAATAAATGTAATTTGCCAAACAATTTTGGTAGAAAATGTATACGGGCTGAGTAATGAGCATAGAAGGATAAGGAAATCAAGGTAATTAGTAGGCCCGACACCATTTGTGTAGTCCCATATACATCTTTCTGTGCACAGTGCTTGTTACTTTACCAAGACTGGGCCAAATTCATTATGATTTTGATGACTCCAGAACCTTGCAGTACACACCGGTACTTGCATGCTACATGTCTTGATCAACTTTTTCTGATCCATTCCCCACCTTTTTTCACAATGCAATCTCATGACCAGAACTCAATTTTATCTTTGAAAGATTGTTTAGTCTTCTTTTGTGATCCATCTCGGTCAAACGTCAAACCGTGCCACGTAAAGTTACGTAAGATGCACTTACTTCAAAGAGTATGTCATGAATATCTTATTAGCCAAGACACAATAAATTGATTTGATACCTTATGGCTATAAAATTAATTTGTATATAGGTAGAGAATAGAGGGGCCATTCCAGTAGATCGACGACCCACGAGTTTGAAAAAGCAAAGTAAAATACAAAATAAAAAAAAGTGGCTAGAAAGGCCCACGAGACCGACATTTTTGGACTATGGCCGAAATAGACAGGCCTATTTATCTCGCGATAAACAAACTTACATTGATATTTTTCTCAAAACCTACGATGATTAGTAGGCCTACATTAGTCAATCAAATTAAATATCACTTTCGGAGGAAAACGACCGGGAAATAATTATGTCCACTTTGAGTTCTATCACAATTTAATCCTTTATAACAAATCACAGTAGATGGAAGTAATATTCTTACTGGTTTAGGTATTATTATAATGATACTGTAGGATCGTTACCCATAACATGGATGTAATAATAATGCTACAGCATTTGTGATGCGACATCGATCTAGTAAACTATTCTTAGGCGCAGAGGGAGATTATAACCCTGGCTTTAGCACGGCTGCCATTATAACTCGATCTTAGGACGAATAACAAATACTTCTTCATTTTAGTAGCAAATTTATAAGAGGAAAAGAAAGGATTCCTGAACGAAAATCACGCCTACCGCTGTCAGGTGGCATGTAAATAATAGATTTTCCGTTATGAAAACGTATAGCGAGGTGTTAACGTTAAAAATCACTGGTTTTAAGACGCGATGGCATAAAGACTGTGTATTCTAATTTCCATCTGATGAAAGGACTCAAAGTTTTAGAAATACATGTAATATTAGGAACGAGAAAAATATCAACTCCTTATATCCATTTTTGGTTGTTGATTATATTGCCATAAAAAGGGTTTTGCAGAGCGGAAAGAACGGGATATATATTTGAAAATTTATGAACATTTTACTGGTGTTCATTTCGAGCCAATTTGTTGAATGTCAAGCATGTTTTCATGTACACATTGTACATTTTTGAGGTAAATGTTGTGACAATAATCACTTTGATTCCTAAATAAACGAAGTTTAAAAAAGGCAAATAATTATTATGGAAATGAAAACTCATTTGAAATGTATGATGCCAAGTGGTGACTTTTCTCATGAAAATAATTGTAACTAGCGACCAAGAATTTACAAATGCGGTTTAAGAAAACAGCAATTTGTGACACTTCAGTTGAAAAGATAATACCACAAAGGGCCTATAGCCCTCTTTATTTAAGAATTGTGTGATACTCCGTGCGTTACATAACCAGACACCGTAGCTTTTGAAAAAAAGGATATATAGCCTCTTCGAAGCTCAATGGAATGGAGCGCTCTTTTGTTGGATACAATACTCTTTTCTCCTCCTATCTATTTTCATTAGCGACCACTACAATTACAAAAGTGGGTGGATGTCGTGTGAAGTTGGAGGAAACAACGGGGGTTCGAGTGCGGACTGAAAGACATACTGAAACACTTACGAGCCGAAATGCATGAGTTGGCTTAAATAGGTAAAATCTGTTGCTATTATAGTTTAATGAAAAAGGAGAAGAATGGTTCACAGAAAGAGAAATTTCAATGACTATCATCATAATTATTATGACTATGAGTCATAATACAATATCCAACAAATACTAGTTACTTCAGCCTTTTCAATAACATCATTGCCATCAGAATTTATTAGCAATTCCCTTGCTACGCCGTTGTATGTGCATGAACTTAATTATTTGTTTTAATTCCAGAGAGATCCCTTCTTCAAATATCAGAATTGTAACAATATCTTCGGTAAAACTACAATATTCTCACATTATGTGTTTAACACACCTGTCTGTCCATGTCTGCACCTCGACAACATCATTCATTTTTTCTACTTGGATTTCAGTCCTTATTTTATGGAACAAAATATCAGTATAATTATATCAATTAAGCCTCCTTAAAAAGGGGATGAGTTGATAATGGTTAAGTCGTATTCGTGCTTCTGAGTCATAAAATCTGGTTTGATGTAGAAATTAGGAAAAGAGAAGGTGGTCTTGATTTAGTGACATAGCATGATAGTTTGCTACATGTATTGTATGAAAGGCATCAAAATAGTTTTAAATCCTTCGATGATTTAGTTTACATATTTGACTACCCAGCTGAGCTAATAATACTGATACGCTCTGCTTCACCACAATCAGAAGAAACAAATATGCAACGTAAAAGATCGATTTCTGGTCAGAATTTTCAGAATCATACACAGATCCACTGTTCTATTTGTTCTGAAAATGCTGTCATCATGAGGTCATGTTTGCGTGTGTGACTTCTCCAAAAAGCTGCACCTCTTTTTCATTGATTTCTTTTTGGAGACTTGGCAGGTCCTAAATTTATTTTGAAAACCGAAGGTATTCTAATGATGTTGGTTTACCCATGTTCTCAAATATATTTGGAATGTGATCTTTATTTGCTTTGGGTAACAGTAATATTCAAAGAGACATTCTGTAACCGACCACATTCTTTAACCTGTTTGAATGTCGAAACTTAGAGAGAAAAAAGTATAGACATGCTTAAAGATCAATATAGATTCAGATTAGCTCCAAATGCTCTCCTCAAAACTCGAGTAGAGTTACAGGAAATTTGTACAAAACAATAATGAAAAAATATCTTCTATTATATCATGAGCAAAATTATCTGATCGGCTTAGTTTACATGTAGCCACAATTTTTTTGTTGATATGGCCTAGAAAATAGTAGAATGGGATGCTATTTTCGTCATCCCGGGGAAGGACACTTTGTATTAGAATAATTTTGGCTAAGGACATGCATTTGCATGATTGGTGGTTATCCTATTAAAGTGGTAGTTGTCCGGGATGGCAGTCCAAGGTGAACGGTTGTCCTATAATTATTTGCAAAGCCATATTAACAGGACTGAGCATACACGGGTCGAGCTGTTTACATCTGCCCATAAAATTAGTGGTACATGTACCTTTGAGACCAAATAACAAAAATAACGTGTTTTTCGTCCGGACTTTAAAAAAGGAGAAGGCAGGGCATTACTATTTACTATTTTGCATATTTTTCCCCCAAGATGGCTGCCATGCTAAATATAGCTAACAAAGCCTATTTATTCACAGATATCGTGGTATGTTAGCATACTGATGCAATGTATGACAAAACAAATGATTTGTACCACTTTATTTAAACAAAATGTATATCACAGTTTTTTAAATTCTTTTTTCTGAATAGTACATAGTAAAAAAAAAAAGGAGGCGTGCGGGGACGAGAAACACTTCATAGACTTACCACTATGGCCTAATGCACCACGACAGTAAATTGCCCTGACGCTTCTCGACCTAGCATAATAGCATTTACTAATAGCATCTATACGTTACATTGTTAGTTGGTATATAAGACACGGAGGTCATGCCTGTATATCTAGAACTCCAGCATTACAAGACACCCAAGAACGTCAAGGGCATTATCATTATCATTATCTTTCCACAGGTCGATGCTAATGTATTGGACCGTGTGGGATATTGATTCTGAAAAGATCTATCAATGGTCGATTTATTTTGAATAAGAAGGGTGCGGCAATGGCGGCTTCGGAGAATATAGGACAAGGCATGCAGTATTATCTCATCACCACAACCCTTACAGGCATAAATTCGGTTTATATTTTGCGATGGAAATTATGTATGTACATGCATAACATATTACTTAAAGGTAGTGTAGCCCTTTTGCAGCCAACATCAAAGTCACTTTCTCAATTAAAACGCAAATAAAAAGATTATCTTTTAGAAACTGAAAAGTAAAAATACACATAAGTAATCTTGCCTTATATTGTTCTTTTGTATGTATTTTAATGTAATTGTAACATAATATATATATACTATTTTAAATAATTGGGAATCAACCACTGATTGGCTTTTCAGCCTTTGCTGATTCCCCCACATCCTCATATTTTACAAAATGTTGTTTTGATATGATTTTTGTGTGTGTGTGCGTTTGTCGAAACGTTTTTTTATGTAAGTTATCGTCCCATTTTATGTAACCACGTACTTTATGTAAATTTACAAAATGCATATTTTCTTTACTGTGTAATTTGCAATGTTTTAATATGTATTTGCTGTTTTTTTCAATGTGATGTGCAAAAAAAACTTGAAACTTAAAAAATGTATAGGTTTTTACATTCAAATAGAATTTAGATTAATTTCACTATTAATTTGGAGAACCAAGTGTTATCTGAAGTACATAAAAGAAAGAAATTATTTGTTTAGATGATATAAAAAGTTCATAATCATGAATGTGAAATTGTGTTGAAGGGCAGCAATCTTACCACAGCTGTAGTTCCCACGGATGGGGCCGAGACCTTTCTGCTCTCACTTCTCTTTCGGTAAGCCCTTCTGACACCAGCATCGGCATCAGATACCAAGCCCGCCTCCTCCTCGGCTCCTGCCATTGTTTCTTTGATCAGTCTCTCATCAAACAAAATTAGATAATTACTGTATCGCCAAGAAAGGTGTCTTCAGAAAATAGCGTGTGGGTGGCTTACTGGGTTTTGCCGTCGCGTGTCAATCAGGAATGGATATTTACGTTTGGGGACCGAATTTAACGTCACCATCTAAAAGACGTGGCTAAATTAGTTTTGAACCGTGGTCCTTCAGTCCTTTCGCTGTTCTTTGAAATGTGTCTGCTTTGTCTGTCGCCTTTAAATTCTGGTAGCAATTTCACATGATTTCTTCAGATCGCCTCTAACCTGGTTCAAAAGTACTTCAGAAGCAGATAAAGATGGCGAGATTCAATTTGTGCAGTGTTCACTTTTCCTCCGATTATCATACGGCATAAATACATTGAAGATGGAAGCCTTCGAGTTCTGTTGACTATATGTGTAAGCCTAAATGATGTTTGATCCTGCAGTTATGAGAGATTATAAGAAATTAAAGTATAGACCATGATTTATGCTCTGTTTCGGGAAATAAAGGGGTCAGAATTTAAAGAACACTCAACGCAAATTACATTTTGTATTTTACTGGTGCTGATCATTACAATTATATATATTTTGTCTGACCACGTATTTTTTACCATTGTGACAATTATTAATTATGTTCAAAGTGTAATACAAAATGGCTTAAAATCTTAAAATATATTTACTTTTTCCCGTTCAATACAATTAAATGACATTCAATTAAGGTTTACTCATCCATTCTTAAAAAGTAACATACTCATCATGCAACATGAAGAGCATCAGATGCTGGGTAAATGTTACATGCGGTTATAACATAGAAGCCATAAACAGCATCTTTAAACGAAATATGTGTATTAAAATACGTCTAGGCTTTAAAAAAAAATGCTAAGAATACTTACATGAATAACATCATACGAGTTCCTCATTGATTTCCATCAATTTATCAATAAAAACATCGATTTTTTGTTCATTCGAATACATACCAAATTACAGCATGTGACATCTCGCTCAACGCCCCCTTCCGTGCGTGGCGCCTACAGTGAATGCTGTACCGTTCAACACCACCACGATGATGGGTGAGATGGGGCCTGGCGCTGGCGCCGGTTCCGCTGATACCTTCGCGATGTTATACGCTCTGTCAACAGGTGTTTTTATACAGAGTATTATCCAGACAGGATGTTATACATACTGCAGACGGTAAATAACAGAAAGTATAATTTGTGATATTATCAAAATAAGATATAATGAGATGCAAATATGACTATTACAGCGATTTATAACACTAGTTGCTAACATCATTTACACCGAGTTTCGTGAGCATTGTATATATTAAATGTGTTTACGATAACGTAATCGACATACATGTAGTATGATGTATTGCAAATGATGCAAATATAAAACACATACATGTACTTGGTTACATATGATATTGATAAAATAACTAACAATATTGTTATGGTTGCTAACATTATTTACATATATATATATAGTTTCACGCGGCATTACGTTGAAAGTTTTCACGGTAACATAACGTCTGAGCAAATAAATATAACTTGACAACACAATATATCTAAACACATTCCATTTGTCGTATTTCTCCTAAAGCACGTTATCTTCAAAGTTCGTACCATCATCACATGTGTTTATATAATATACCAAAAAGATGAAATTTTACCATTTTGCTTGTTGTTGAGATGGAGGGAAATCGTCTGATTGATGTGTATATTCAAATAGTGAAGATATGATATGACTCGTAAACCGCTGCTTTCTCTTTCCTTTAGCCGGCGTTCGTGACAATTGCTCTTTAGTTATGGCCCGATGGAGCTTTGAACGGCGACAATAAACGACTGCAGAATGCTCGCATGCCACATATCTCTCCCAGCCAGTTTCCTCGCATGCCTGGCTTGATCAGTTCAAGGATTGCTACATGCAGGCAACAGGCTTGTAAGCTCCTGATCGCACCTTTCAGAGCGCTGGCATTGTTGCGACATGAATAGCGCAGCTTCTGTCAAATTATGAACAAGCGGTGGGTTCTTTTGTTATGTAGATGTGTAACAGGCATTCATACAGCCCGATATAAAATCAGTCCACCACCGCTGCAATGTAATGTGTTTATAATATTACGACGTCAAAGAAATGGAATTGAAACGTTCCCACATATTTTCTCATCACTTCTGTCCTCCGTTGATCAGTCCCCGCATCAGCTTGGATAGGCATATACAGTAAATATGAGAACAAAAAGAAATGATTGAGAGGCCGATTGCCATTTTCATCTTTCACCCTTAATTCATGATTCTATTTTCCCCAACCCCAATGGTATAATATGCCAGAAATATAGGTCAAATAGAGGTCTTTATGAGATTGGACGCACCTTTTTAGCCTTGATCCTTTTTTTTCAGTCTGGGATCAGTGACCTATAGCTAATTCCTCAGTTATTCCCGAAACTGAACAAAAAAATGAAAGCGATTCTTGGATATTTGGCGGGGTGTGGGCAGGAGGGGGGGGGGGGGGGGGGGGGGGGGGGGGGGATATCCATATAATAAAACTGTCGCCCATTAAGCTGGAATAATTTTTCTCTACCTTTATCATTAAATGTTTGTGACAATATGATTTATTCTTGACAAACTTTATATAATCTCAGAGCTTTATTGATCAATCTCTATGACCCTTTAAATTTATCAATAAAATTCGGAGAGGATATATTTTTGTTTTTTGTTTGTTTTAACTGGCCGCTGTAAACTTTATTTTTCAAGAATAAATCATTATGAATTTATGAAAAGAAGTAAGGAAAAATTATTCAAATGTTATGGGCAACGGTACGTGTCGGACATATTTGTTCATGTGTCGTCTTTTGGCTTCGGTGTCACCGAGTAATTTTAGAACTAAACAAGCTTAGCCAGACGGGGGAAAATAGCGTCAGCCAATTGTAAATAAAAAAAATTAACAACAGAGAGAATGTTCATAATGTTCATAATGCATGCCCCGATGCACTTGACGAAGTTGGTATACGTGGCACCACAAGAATATTATAGTGTACCTGTTAGAGACCATCCAGAAGGGAACTGTTACATCAAATCAAGCTGAGCAGATAACACCAGACATGAATAAAGAACCATGGAGAAAGCCAGGTATATCTACAATGCCAGTTGAATGTAGTTACCTGTCGTTACCTGTAGTTACCTGTAGTTACCTGTATAGTTACCTGCCTTCACGAGCTCAAATTTAAGACGTATAGTCCTATAATGCCCACCTTCTTTCATTCAAAATCCACTGCACGTGATATCGATATCATGTCTTACATTTGCAGATATCTATCTTAACATGGAAAACAGATAGCTTTGCTGTCTGCTTAGTACTTTAGTCAAACATGTATAGTGTCATACATGTTCTTAATAATCATACGTGTTGTACTACCGTCTTGGGGAGCATGTTCCAGCGGCCAATGTACTCAGATGAAAATCTGTATCCTGATATAATGTGTGTTTTGGCAAGATCTGAAGAAACTACTGATTCTGGAAATGTCTTTCCTCTTTGAAACAAATATACAGAAAACTCACGAATACAAAGAAAGAAAGTACACTCCTCTAATTTCTGATATTGCAATTACAAGTATATACTCTGTACAATACTTGGCTATCGAGGTTGGCTCCCGGGGTTTTATCTCTTTGGAAACTATGTAACGACTGAGAACTTACAAAGTTTTTTTCTCGGGTCAACATGTTTAAATGAGCAGTGACCTCTTCATTTGTTATTTATTGTGCAAAAGAAAAACCCAAATAGGAAACCTATACCCTTCTCCGTGTACCACGTCGCTAATGTGATTGTAGTAGACCAGGAGCCAGTAAACATGCCCATTATCTTTAATACAAATGTACGTTCCTTTAAAGCCTATCTGCATGAGTTTGGCCAGGAGGGATTAGACCTCCCTGCGTGGTCACTGACAGGTGGTTACCTCATTAACTCAGCCCTCATTTAATTCAAGAAAAAGAGGATCACAGAGGACCAACGAGTACCGCTTAGGCATTGTTTGCTATATAGAGGGCGCAAGTAGCCACAAGTAGTGAAGTATATGGTTGGTGGGGGTCTAAATACTAAGGGGACAGGGTCAGGATATGAATTACGAATCGTCTGGATTACCCCTGATTGTATGAAAAATGTGAAATTCGCTACTTTTCAATATTTTTTCAAAAATTTATTTCATTTATCACATAACGTGGCTACCTCATCTGTATATCTACCTATTGATTAAAAAAAGAAGCTATTTTTAATGATTTTTATCTTTTAACATTTACTACCCTGCATGGACCAATCAGGTCAAGTCCCGAGCTTTGCTTATTTCTCTACTTTCTTTGAATGCCTTTGTTATAATGTATCTATTCCTTTATTGCTGGAGCATCAAAAAAGTGATGTACGAACAGGAAAATTATTGTTAACTGCAATCATAATATTATATCAAAGAATAACACTTTTTTTAATGATCAAGTAACGAAGAGGAATGTTCAGGTGTTCAGTTAAGTGCTAGTGTGATGTATGGTATCGGTCTTGCTGGTGTGTTATTGATGGGGTATACATAGCGGGGGGCGGGTAGAGGGAGTATGATTCACAGGCGGGTCTCGAAGGGGGTGTTTAATAATTTTAAAAAAAAGAAAAAAGAAGGGGGTGAAGAACCTTTACGGTCCTTGACGATTATAACTCACGATCCAGGGCGAACTGCATTAGTAAAAATTTGGTTTCAGTTAACAGTACACATGGACATATTCTGAAGCGAAGTTCCCATGATCTTTGTTCAGGATTTCGTATAGCGCCCTCAATATTAAGACAAAGTGCAGAATATATATACATGTAGCATTTAATCAAAGATTCAACATTGGAAGAAAATCCTTGATCAAGTTGGTTTTACGCCCCAAATAAAGTGAGAAGTCTGAATGATATGCATGAATGTTTTTTAGTTGATTGGAAGATAACGGAAAGGGATATGTATGAAAGAGCGAGAGAGAGAGAGAGAGAGAGAGAGACGGCAAAGTGAAAGAGAATTGCAGAGACAGGAAAATAACAGAGAGGGAGATAGCTAGATAGGATTGTTGGCAAAGCACCAGAGGTGGCCCTCCGGGGGGGGGGGGGGGTACAGTGCACCACACTTTTTCAAGCACCCGAAAAGTACCCCTTTTTAACTTTTTAAGAAGTGCCCCTCTTTACATAGGAATAGTGCCCCTTTTACTTTGAAAAGTGCCCCTATTAATTTGTAAAAGTGCCCCTTTCCCTTTTCAACTTTGATAAGTGCCCCTTTTATTTAGACACGTGCCCCTTTTCCTTCAAAAAGTTCCCATTTTCCTTTGCAACAAGTGTCTATTTTCCATTCTCATAAGTGCCCGTTTTAATCTCTAGTAAGTGCCCCTAGTTAGGTACGAGAAGTGCCTCTTTTCACTTTTGATAAGTCCCCCTTCACCTTTTAATAACTACCCCCATTTTTACTCGGAAAAGCTCACCTTATATTTGTGCCCTTTTCCTTTCTAATAAGTGCCACTTTTCTTAATGATAAGTGCCCCATTAAAAAAAGCCCCTTCCCCTTCGTATAAGTGCCCCTTCTCTGGTAAATGACCCTTTTCAGGTACAAGAAGTTACTATTTTGGACTTCAGATAAGTGCCCCCTTCACCTCCGATAAATGCTCCTTTAAAACTGGATCGGTGCCAATTTTCTTTTAACTATTCACATTTTCCTTTATTACAAGTGCCCCTTTTTCATTCACATAAGTGCCCCTTTTCATATCTGGTCATTGCCCCTTTTCAGGTGCAACCTCTGATAATTTCCGTTATAACAATATATAATAATATCATATAATTGCCCCTATCAAAATCTGATCGGAGCCCCTTTTCTGTCGACAAATGCCCATTTCCTATTCTCATGACTGACTTTTTTCATCCCTGGTAAGTGCCTCTTTTTGAGGGTGTAAGAATTGCCCCATTTTCACCTCTGATAATTACTCTTTGTACTTTGGCACATGCTCCTTTTCTTTCCTGATAAGTGTCCCCTAGTTCTCTCATCATTAAACGCACCCTAGCTAATTTCAAGCGACTAAGAACAATTTTCCCCCAAAGCTCGGTCGCTACGCTCGAACGCATCTATAGATGATATACTTATGTTACTTATCAAAGGTTTTTCAGTCTTCTGTTATGAGAATGTGCTTATAACTCCATTATGATTGGTTTTTTCCTCTATATAAGATGAAGTTTTTCGCACTGCGACCTCATACATCTTATATTTTTTCCTCGCTCGCTTCGGTCGCTCGCAAACATTTTTTTTAGAAAATCAAACCCAACTGCAAAGCATGATGCTAAAGAAATATCTTGTATGGTGTATAAAGTGAAACAAATATTGAAATCATCCCTGATAATTGTAATTACAATGTAGGGGTATACCAATGTTTAAAAAATTGTATATTTTCGCTTTGAGATTTCCCTTTGTAGGTGCCCTTTTTTTTTCCAGAAAGTGCCCTTTTTTCTTGGTGCCCCCCCCCCACTTTTTATATAGAGTACCGAAGTATGAACGTTATATTCACTCGCTCGTCGTCCACGGCAGCGTGTCACGAAATCGTCATGTACAAGTTCACCGATATCCCATTGACATACGTGAATTATAAGTTTAACACGCGTTTCAATGGGATATCGGTGAACTTGTGCTATTTCACAGAACGATGCCCAGGTTAATTTCTGTTCTAAACAACAGAGCCTGCGCATGAGGTTCACCGCAAAATCAGTCAAGCAACGGGCTGGAGCAGGGTAAATTTGGGCTGGTGTGATCACCACACCATTGTTTAGTACAAAATTGTTTAGAACCAGCCACCTTGACTACTTTGGCATTGTGATGTCACACTTTGGTACTCCATTGCAGTGCTAAAAATCACTTGAGCGTTGTATTTTTCTTCTTTTAGGTATTCTATTTTGATTCCTGAATCATAATGATGTTCGCGCGCTCTCTCCCTCTCTCTCTCTTTCTTCCACTCTCTGATTTCCTCATTCTCTATGGTACGCGTGCACGTAAGCGGGTCATTCACGAGTACATATTAAGCAGAGGCGCCATAGGTATTGCACGTGAAATATGGCGTCGCCTGCTCGTGAAAAACTGGTGTGGAGTGGAAAACTATGGATATCGTGTCTCTTCGTTTTGTTCTTCCTAAGCTTCATACAATGCGGTAAGTCTCAATTGAGTGTCTTGGATTGAGGGCTGATGAATTTATATCTGTTGACTGAATTATTTCAATTGATATTGATATCACCAAGCCTTAACTGGCTCCTATAGACATGCGTGGAGAGGTATATGTAAACAAACCCTAAAATGCGGTATGAGAGTACAACGCATTTACATGTCATGATTATAATACATAATAATACAGAATACATGACATTATTATCCTTAAGAAGAGTACTAATTTCTTCAGCTGTCCTATACCTGAATACAAAAAAATTAACATGTGTACTCTGTAGAGGTGTTGAACTATTTCCTTTCTGAAAAGGGCATACAAAAACATGATGGAATTCATCAACAGACTCATGCATATCACAACATGGGCATTCAATACTAATTTCATTAAAAGCTTCTTTGAATCAGTAATTATTATTTGGTAAACGGTGCGACCTACATCTAACACGGCTCAATGTTATTATATCTTTTTTACTTAGCGAAATTAAATACCTTTCAAACAGACAGTCATTTTTAAAGATCCTATAATTTGGGCATACACTTTTGACCAAATTGTTGCCATCACATCTTGTTTTGAAATATCGTTTAATCTCAACTTCAGAGTGCTCAGTGTCCAACTATTGCTAAATCCTTTCCCTTGCTTTAGCCAAACAATACAGCATGGCTCAATATTTTCCTTCAATACAAGATAACCACTTGAAAGTAGACATGTCGACATTCTGACTAATTAACCTTTGCAAAAAAATAAAATTTGACTGAATATTTAGAGGGGGAACCTTTTAATATTCTTAACCAGAAACTAACCATTCGATGTTATATCCGATAATGGTTTAGTAGAAAAATACGTTTTTAATCTTCTTATTACACCTAGCTTTCGTTTCACCTTTAATGGTTCGTCCTGAGAATTGAGATGATTTAGTACACCCGTTGTAGATTCATTCAATAGTTAAATTGAATGATCTTAAAATCTTGAAGATCTAATGAGGTGACTATATTGGGCTAGCGACAGAATAATGGTATTGTATCTGCCTTTTGTTTCTTTTGAAGTTGCAATAGAGGGAGAAGTCCGCCTTGTTAATGGTCCCACTTCACACGAAGGTCGGGTTGAGATATACCACAATGGCACGTGGGGGACTGTATGTGATGACTACTGGGATAACGCGGAGGCTAAGGTAGTTTGTCGACAGCTTGGATACTCGGGCGATATTGGTGCAGCCAGAACTCTTGCTACATATGGAGAAGGATCTGGCCCGATATTACTTGATGATGTCGCCTGTTCAGGATCTGAATCCAGGTTGACTGATTGCAGTAGCAACGGATGGGGCTACAGCAACTGCGGACATTCTGAAGATGCTGGAGTTATCTGCGAAATAAATGGTACGTCCTATAAATAAAAACGATGTTTTGGAACCCCTGTTTGCCCATCTGTCCTCTAGATAGGCGAAGTTATTGTTACACTATTTTCTTTTAAATATCTTCAAACTGTTGCAGAAAATGTTCAATTTAAAAAAAAAGCGAAATTCTTCATTGACTAAAATTCACACACTTTAAAAAACATAACGAGTTTAGGTTGGGCAGCAAAGCTTGGTTTATGGGTATTTTGGGTGGTTTCTTTTTTCAGGAAAATGTAACACCCTCTTCTCGATTGACAATAATGCCAGTTCTTACATTTTTGTAATGCATAGCTATAACTATTTTCTAATGAGGAAAGTTTGGTCCAACAGCCTTAACCCTTACTGTACTGGGCTATTTTAAGCACCTCAATGACTGGGGCAGGCCCCCCTATGATCTCAGCCGTCGAATGTCCGATGAACATAACAATTTACATTTTTGTAGATATTTACGTAAGGAACATGATGGTATAATTTGTGAGAGCGCATATATTATTATAACATACCTCTTCCTGCTGAGATGGGGTGAAATTGACCCGGCTGTCGGGTCTGTTTCAGGGGATCTCGGGGCTAAATCCGACAACTACGGTCAGGTTTATAACCTTTTCGTCAATGAGGGGTACAATTTTACTGGAAAATCGGGGTGAATCTTTTGGGACAGCCTCAGACTAGTAGACTAAATTGTATCTGCGTTCTATTTCTTTTGAAAGCTGGATCACAAGGAGACGTTCGCCTTGTTGACGGTCCAACTGAGAGTGAAGGTCGGGTTGAGATCTACCACAATGGTCTGTGGGGTACAGTATGCGATGATTATTGGTATGACGCTGCTGCGATAGTAGTTTGTCGACAGCTCGGATACTCAGACAATGCTGGCCAAGCCAGGAGTGGTGGTACATACGGACAAGGATCTGGCCCGATATACCTTGATGATGTTGACTGTTCGAGTTGGGAATCCAGGTTGGAGGATTGCGGTAATCGTGGATGGGGCACCCACGATTGCGATCATTCTCAAGATGCTGGAGTTGCCTGCGATATTAATGGTTCGTCCTAAGCGATACGATATATTAGAACCTCCATTTGTAGATACATGTTTATTTTCCCTCTGTAAAGGTGAAATTTTGGCTCCAATACTTTTGAAAAATAACTTGAAAGCTGTCGCAGAGAGCTTTAAATATCTTCATACAGAAATTCTTCTTTGACTGATATGCATCCTCTTTCTTAACCTAAACGAGACCATTTTCGGGCAGCAAAGTTTGATTTAAGGGTACTTTGGCCTTTCCATTTTTCAGGAGAGTAAAATGCCCTCTTCCTGATGGATAATGTTATCAGTTCTTATATTCTTTTATTAATGGTCCTCTGCTTAGAGAGGAAAGAAATTGACCTTAATTTTTTAGGAAGTATCTGACATGCCATCCCAGAGAAAACTGTGTCGACTCTTTTTGTGTGTGTTTTGCAATGTTTAGTCATACTTCCTCCTGCTGTCAAAGTCTGGTAATTGGGGTAAATCGGGTGAAATTGACTTGGATTTTTGGTCTGTTCCTGGGGATCTCTGAGCTAACCCCAAATGCTACGGTCAAGATTAAAACCTTTTCGTCATTGAGGAGTCAAATTGTATGGGTATAATGGGATGATTATTTTGGGACAGCCTCAGACTAGAAGTAAAGTAGCTGCATTTTATTTATTTTGAAAGATGAAACAGGAGACTTACGCCTTGTTGACGGTTCCACTGCAGACCAAGGTCGGGTTGAGATCTACTCCAGTGGTGTGTGGGGGACAGTATGTGGTGACTTTTGGGATGACTCTAATGCGAAGGTAGTTTGTCGACAGCTTGGATACTCAGGCAATATTGGTGACGCCAGGAGTGGCGGTACATACGGACAAGGATCTGGCCCGATATACCTTGATGATGTTGGCTGTACGGGATCTGAATCCAGGTTGACTGATTGCAGTAATGGTGGATGGGGCAGCAACAACTGCGGACATTCTCAAGATGCTGGAGTTTATTGCAAAGGTAGGTCGCGAGCACTCAAACATTATTAATGCGCCCTAATTTCTATCATATACAAATTATCTCTGTTTGTAGATACAATTTCCCACTTTATCGGCGCAATTTTTGTTCAAATATTCTTTGACATATCTTCGAAACGTTTGCAGAGAGCTTCAATTATTTTCATAATTTTGTTGTTGTTGACTGATTCGCAACTCTACCTGTCCCTTAACGAGAGCGTTTTTGGGGGCAGCAAAGCTAGTTTTAAGGGTACTTTTGCATTTTTATATTCAGGAGAGTGCCCACTTCTCGATAGACAATATCGCCAGTTCCTACATCTTTGTATTTTTTAAAATCATATTTATGCTAACATTAGCTCCAAGGGGTTTACGAGAAAGAAAAAAAAATGACTTTAATTTTTAAAGGGGCATCTGACATCGAATCCCAAAGGAAATTTTATCGTTTTTTTTTGGTTGTGTTTTGTAACGTACCAAGACAATTTCCCCTCCGGAAAATTACCCCCCCCGGAAAATAAGCCCCTGACGACAACCACCCCAAGAGGACAATTACTCCCCCGAAAGACACCCCGATGACAATCACCCCAGGACGATTAGCCCCTGGACAATTAGCCCCTGGACAATACCCATCACACGAGGATAATTACATCCACCCCTAAAATGACCCCTAGGACACTTACCCCCGAAAATACCCCCCCCCCCCCTGTTTATTAAAGGGGAGGTTCACTCTGATAATAGGTTGGTTATAATGAAAGCAGATTTTTTTTCGGGGGGGTTTGTCCTCGGGGGTTATTGTCCACGGGCGGTAATTGTCATAGGCTGTCATTGCCCGGGGGTAATTGTCCTAGGGGATGACTGTCTTCGGAGAGTAACTTCCCGGGAGATAATTATCCTTGGGGGGTAATTGTCCCGCTGATAATTGTCCGGGGGATGGTTGCCCAGGGGTTAATTGTCCTAGAACCTTTTGTAAAGCTCAGATAAACTACTTCTTGTTGACAAAGTTTGGAGGATAGATTGGGTGAAATTGACTCAGCTTTGATGGGGTCTGTTTTGGGGGATTTGGAGGCTCAACCCGACGTATAGGGTCAGGCTCATATCATTTTCGTCAACGAGGGGTAACATTTTACGGGTAATATGGGGTGACTATTACGGGTCAGCCTCCGACTAGTAGTCTTAAATCTACTTTTTATTTCTATTCGAAAGCTGGAACGGAGGGAGAAGTTCGCCTTGTTAACGGTCTCACTGCAAATCAAGGTCGGGTTGAGATCTACTACAATGGACAATGGGGGACAGTCTGTGATGACATGTGGGATGACCTTGACGCGAGGGTCGTTTGTCGACAGCTTGGATACTCAGGCAATGTTGGTGTAGCCAGGGTTGGTGGTAAATACGGACGAGGATCTGACCCGATATATCTTGATGACGTCGGCTGCTCGGGATCTGAATCCAGGTTGACTGATTGCAGTAATGGTGGATGGGGCATCCACAGCTGCGGACATTCTGAAGATGCTGGAGTTATCTGCGATATTAATGGTACGTCCTATCAAGCAATACGATAATTTAGAACCCCCTTTTGTTTATATATGTCTATTTTATCCTCTGTATAGGCGAAATTATTGTTCCAATATTTTTTATCATAACTTAAAAGCTGTTGCAGAGAGCTTCAAATATGGTCGAAGGAAAATTCTTCTTTGCCCGATATGCGCATTCTTTCTTAGCCTAAACGAGATCATTTTTGGGAAGCAAAGCTCAATTTAAGGGTACTGTGGCATTTTACATTTCAAGAGAGTAAAACGCCCGCTTCCCGATGGACAATATTGTTGGTTCTTATATTTGTTTAATGTACAGTCTTAATAATCTCTTTTTACATTTTGTTCTTCTGCCTGAAGAGGAAAGAAACTGGCACTAGTTTTTATGAATCCCAAAGAAAACTTGATCAACGTTTTTTTTTGTTTTTTGTAATATTCAGTCATACCAATTCCTACTGACAAAGTTTGGTGATTGGGGTGAAAGAATAATATAGTAAATGGCTGGATAACCCACTCAGCTTTCTTTACATGACAAAACTATTTATACTTAGGGTCCAGAAAATTAAATTGAAAGTAAACTCACAATTTAAACAAAAAATAAGCAGCGATTTCACTTATACTGCAGTAGTCAAATTGGAGACTTCTATAAAACTCAAAAGACATATAAAACTGAAATTACCCCGCCACACTCTTTTCCAACTAAATTGGAAAAGGCAGGCATATTTCTTTCAATATCAAAGCCAACTAGAGTTCTTCTATTCAACTATTTGCAAAAAGATGTTTAATGTATTTGATAATTTAATATCTAAAGGTAGGCCAATGTATTGACTTGGCCCTCGGTATAAAACATAGGTAAAAAAAAAAAAGAAGACAAGTAGATGGGGTGAAATCTACCCAGCTTTTTTTTTTTTTTTTTTTTTTGGGGGGGGGGGGCTCTCGGGGTTAAACCCGACGGTGGGATTGATAATCTTTTCTTCAACGAGGAGTAAATCTTACAGGTACAATGTGGTAACTACCTGTATAATGGGACAGCCTCAGACAAGTATTTTTGTAGTTGCGTTCTATTTCTTTAAACAGTTGCACAACAGGGAGAAGTCCGCCTGGTTAATGGTTCCACTGTAAACGAAGGTCGAGTTGAGATCTACTACGATGGCCTGTGGGGGACAATCTGTGATGACAATTGGGATGACTCTGATGCAACGGTAGTTTGTCGACAGCTTAGATACTCAGGCAAAGGTGGTGTAGCCAGGAGTGGTGGTACATACGGACAAGGATCTGGCCCGATAAACCTTGATAATGTCGGCTGTTCGGGATCTGAATCGAAGTTGACTGATTGCAGTAATGGCGGATGGGGCAACCACAGCTGCAGACATTCTGACGATGCTGGAGTTATCTGCCATAGTAATAGTATGTCATAATCGATACGACGTTTGTTGATAAATACATATTTTTCCATTGTATAGGAACAATTAATGTTCCAATATCTTTTTGAAAATAACTTAAAACTGTTGCAGATAGCTTTGAATATTTGTATAGCAAAATTCTTCTTTGACCGATATCCACACTCTTTCTAAACCAACCAGAGCATTTTGGGGCAGCAAAGCTAGGATAAAGTGTACTCTGGAAATTTTATTTTCAGGAGAATGTACCACCCACATCCTGTAGGACAAGATTTTCAGTGTATACATTTTTGTAATGTTAGATCTTAAATATTTCTTATGATACAATTTTCTACAAGGGCCTAAAAAGGAAAATTTGACTTTAATTTTTAGGGGACATCTGAAATCCCTTCCCAAACGAAACTTTTTCAATATATCTTTGGAGTGTGCTTGGTAATGTTCAGATATACTAAATTCTTGTTGACAAGGTTTTTGACTGGGATAGATGGGGTAAAATGAACCCGGCTTTCGAATCTGTTTCGATGAATCTCGGGGCTAAACCCGACGGCTACGGTCATACTCCTAACCTTTTCGTGAATGAGGAGTAAAATCGTGAGGGTATAATGGGACGGCCATTACGGGAGAGACTCAGAAAGTAGTCTTGTATCTTCGTTTTATTTCTTTTGAAAGATGGAACAGATGGAGACATCCGCATTGTTGACGGGTACAGCTCATATGAAGGTCGGGTCGAGATCTACCACAACGGTCTATGGGGGACAATATGTGATGACCATTGGGAGGACTTTGATGCAAGGGTAGTTTGTCGACAGCTTGGATACTCGGGCAATGTTGGTGTAGCCAGGAGTGGTGGTACATACGGACAAGGATCTGACCCGATACACCTTGATGATGTTGAATGTTTGGGATGGGAATCCAGTTTGATTGATTGCACTAAGAGCGAATGGGGCATCAACAACTGCGGACATTCTGAAGATGCTGGAGTTATCTGCGATATTAAAGGTATGTCGAAGCAAAAAGATGTTTTAGAACCCCCTTTTGTAGATACATGTCTTTTTTTCCTCTGTATAGTCGAAATTGTTGTTCTAATATTTTTGAAAATAACTGGAAATTTGTTACAGAGATCTTCAAATATCGTCAAAGGAACATTCTTCTTTATCTGATATGCACCCTCTTTCTAAACCTAAATGAGATCAATTTTTGTGCAGAAATGCTTCATTTAAGGGTACTTTGGCATTTCCATTTCCAGGAGAGTAAAACGTTCGCTTCCCGATGGACAGTATTGTACGTTCTTATATTTTTTAAATGTACAGTCGTAACTATTTAAAAAACAATTAGGTCTTCTGCCTAAAGAGGACAAAAAATTGACCTCATTTTTTAGGGAATGTCTGACATCCATCTCAAAGTAAAATCTGTCAACATTCTTTTTGATGTGTCTTTTGTAATGATAAGTCATACCGAATCCTACTGACAAAGTTTGGTGATTGAGGTTACAAAAAAATATAGTGAATCGCTGGATAACCCACCCAGCTTGTTAATATGACAAAACTGTTCATACTTAGGGTCCAGAAAATTAATTAAAATTAAACTCACAATTAATGAAAAATAATCAGCAATTCTACCTTTAGTAGTAAAATTGAAGACAACTACAAAACGCAAAAGATATCTAAAACTGAAATTACCCCATCACAACCCTTACCAACTACATTGGAATAACAGGCAGATCTCTTTAAAGATCAAAGCAAATTGGAGTTCTTCTATTCACCTATTTGCAAAAAGATATTCAATTTATTTGATAATTTAATATGTAAAGGTAGGCCATTGCATTGGCTTAGCCCTCGGTATAAAACAAACAAAAACATAGGTAAATGGGGTGAAATCTAGCCGGCTTTCGGGTCTGTTTCGGGGGCCCTCGAAGCTGGTTCTCGGAAAATTACCACCTAGGCAATTACCAGCGGGACAATTATCCCCCAAGGACAATTACCCCCCCGGAAAATTATTACCCCCCAAGGACAACCACCCTAAGGACAATTACCCCCGGAAATTACTCTATATGGCAATAAAACCCGTGGAAAATGCCCCCTTCCGAGGGCAATTAACCCCTGATTTTTTTTAGATTTTATTGAAACAAATTTGTAATCAGGGTGAACTTCCCCTTTAATGAACAGGGGTGGGGGGGGGGGGGTATTCCTAGTTTTTTACGGGACTCTTTGGTTGTCCTGGGGGTAATTGTCCTTGGGGGTGGGGTGGGTGGTTGTCCTTGGTTGTCCTAGGGCGGGGGGGGGGGGATGTCCACAGGGCTTAATGTCCATGGAGGGTTATTGTCCGCGGGGGTAATTTTCCGGGGGTAATTTGTGCTCGGGGGTAATTGTCCTAGGGGGTAGTGAACCGAGGGGTATTTTCCTGGGGGTAAATGTCCTGATACGCTCGGGGCTAAACCCGACAGCTATGGTCCTACTGATCGTCTTTTCGTCAACGAGGGGTCAAAGCTCTCGGTATAATGTGTTGACTATAATTGGACAGTGTCTGACTAGTATTGTTGTATCTGCGTTCTATTTCTTGTTATAGTTGGAATAGAGGGAGAAGTCCGCCTTGCTAATGGTTCCACTGCAAACGAAGGTCGGGTTGAGATCTACTACGATAGTCAATGGGGAACAGTATGTGATGACTTTTGGGATGATTCTGATGCGACAGTAGTTTGTCGACAGCTTGGATACTCGGGTGGTGAAGCCAGGTTTCTTGCTACTTACGGACAAGGATCTGGCCCGATATACCTTGATGATGTCGAATGTTCGGGATTTGAATCTCGGTTGATTGATTGCAGTATTAACGGGCTGGGCAACCACAACTGCGGACATTCTCAAGATGCTGGAGTTTTCTGCTATATTAATGGTACGTCCAAAACGATACGATGTTTTAGAACCCCTGTTTGTTGATACATGTATATTTTTGTCATTGTATGGGCGAAATTATTGCTCCAGTATGTTTTTTAAATATCTTCAAAACTGTTGCCGAAAACTGCAAATATTTATATACTATTAGCAAGATTCTTTTTTTGACAGATATGCTCACTCTTTATATGCTTTAACCAGAGCATTTTTTTGGCAACAATAATAGATTAAAGGATACTCGGACTATTTATTTTTCAGGAGAGTGTACCACCCACATCCTGTGGGACAATATTTTTAGTGCGTACGTTTTGTAATGTTAAATCATAACTATTTCCAATGATACCATTTTTTCTACAATACCTAAAAGGAAAATTTGACTTCAATTTGAAGGGGGCATCTGAAATCCCTTCCCAAACGAAACTTGTCACTTCATTCCGGGAGTGTGTTTGGTAATGTTCAGATGTTGACAAAGTTTTGTGACTGGGATAGATGGGGTAAATGAACCCGGCTTTCGCGTCTGTTTCGATTGATCTCTGGGTTAAAACCGAGGGCCACGGTCAGGCTCATAACCTTTTCGTCAATTAGGGGGGGGGGGGGGGGGGTGGGTGGGGGGGGGGGGGGAGGGATAAATCTTACGGATATAATGTGGTGACCATTACGAAGGAGGCACAGACTAGTAGTCCTGAATCTGCTTTTTATTACTTTTTGAAAGCTGGAACGGAGGGAGAAGTCCGCCTTGTTGACGGTTCCACTGCAAACGAAGGTAGGGTTGAGATCTACCACAACCATCTGTGGGGGACAATCTGTGATGACTATTGGGAGGACTCTGATGCGAGGGTAGTTTGTCGACAGCTTGGATACTCAGGCAATGTTGGTGTAGCCAGGAGTGGTGGTACATACGGACAAGGATCTGACCCGATATACCTTAATGATGTCACCTGTTCGGGATATGAATCCAGGTTGATTGATTGCAGTATTGGCGAATGGGGCAACCACGATTACTGCGGACATTCTGAAGATGCTGGAGTTATCTGCGATATCGACGGTGAGTTCTTAACGATACGACGTTTTATAACTTCCGTTCGTAGATGTATATATAAATTTCCACTGTAATGGCGTAATTGCTGTTCCATTACACTATGAAAATATCTTTCAAACTGTTGCAGAAATCTTTTAATATCTCCACAAGAAATTTTTTCTTTGACTGACATGCACACTCTATGTAAATCTAAACCAGAGCATTTTGGGGCAGCAAAGCTTGGTTTATTTGTCAGTTACTATATTTTAGAAATGTACAATGTAGAAACTCAACTCTTCTGACAAAATTTGGTCCGTGGGTCTAAGGAAGAACATTGAAACAAGTTTTTAGGGGGCATCTGACAACCCATGGGGAAGGAAACTTAATCTGTGTTCCATGTGTGTTTTTATAATGTTCAGTCATACTACTGCTTACTGACAACGTTTGGTGTGTGAGGGAGATGGGGTGAAATCGACACGGGTTTGGGGGTCTTTTTCGGGGGTCTGATGGTAAACCCAACAGCTACGGTCAGGCTAGTAAGCTTTTTCTCAAGAGGCATCAAATCTTTCAGGTAAAATGGGGTGACTATAGTTCTGAGACTAACAGTCTTGTATCTTCGTTTTTATTTCCTTTGAAAGATGGAACAGAAGGATACGTACGCCTTGTTGACGGTTCCAGTGCAAACGAAGGACGGGTTGAGATCCACCACAATGGTCAATGGGGAACAGTCTGTGATGACTTGTGGGATGACCTCGACGCGAGGGTAGTTTGTCGACAGCTTGGATACTCAGGCAATGTTGGTGTAGCCAGAAGAGGTGGTACATACGGACAAGGATCTGGCCCGATATATCTTGATGATGTCGGCTGTTCGGGATCTGAATACATGTTTATTGATTGCAATAATACCGGATGGGGCAACAACAACTGCGGACATTCTCAAGATGCTGGAGTTTACTGCTATGATGGTACGATCTTAGTGATATAATGTTTTAGAACCCCAATTTTAGATTAGTGCATATATTTTCCACTGTATAGGCGAACCAACATTGTTCCAAAAGTCTGTTTAAAAAAGAAAATTATTACACATTGCTGCAGTGAGATTCAGATATCTTCATAGAAATGTTTTTCTTCCGTGGATAAGTCTGCTAGAAAAGATGATGAAAAACAAAACACCTGGGAATTCTACAAAGCTAAAAAGGAGGGGGAGTTGCGCGGAACTGATCCCCATCCCACCCTAAAAAGACGAGAAATGCACGGTTTATTAGGTTAAAAAAAATGAAAGCCATCTGACCAATTTCAAGATAAGATGCCAAATCAACATGAGCACCGAAAGGTGGACCTGTGGACCTACTATACAAGTAGCCACTATTATTATTATTATTATTATTATTAATATGATCAAATATGTATCCTTTCAATGTTAAACTTTTCTAGAATCTGGCATTCAAACGGCATTAAAAACCCAGCCTTTGTTGTTCTGTATCTTCGTTTCTTTTTATTTTAAAAGATGAAATAGATGGAAGAATTCGCCTTGCGGATGGTTTTATTGAAAGTCAGGGCCGAGTCGAGATTTATTACGATGGCCTGTGGGGGACAATCTGTGATGACAACTGGGATGACTCTGATGCAAGTGTAGTTTGTCGACAGCTTGGATACTCAGGCGATGTTGGTGTAGCTAGGAGTCTTGCTAGATACGGACAAGGATCCGGCCCGATATACCTTGATGATGTCGGCTGTTCGGGATCCGAATCAAGGTTGATCGATTGCAGTAATGACGGATGGGGCAACCACAACTGCGGACATTGGTACGATGTTGGAGTTAACTGCGCAGGTACGCCACAAAACAACGTGGCATAATCTCACATTATATTTACGATCATTTCCAAATTCTAGGACTACAATCTTGCACACCTGAACAGCTACCGTTGTAAAGTCCTCCCTAAGAAAATGACCCCGTCGAAAACTGTCCTGGACAATCCCAAACGACAACTATCCCTCGGATAATAAACGCCTATTCCCTCAAAACAGTTACATTCAAGGGCTTGTCTCCTTGGACAGTAACACTTTTATTTAAACCTACAGTAACCCGTCCAACGGGTTGCTGGGTTAACTTTTAAGTTTTAGGTATCCAATTGTAAGAGTAAATAACCTGAGGATCGTTGTCCTAGAGTGCTACATAGCTGTCCGGGGGTTATAGCCGGGTGTACTCTCCACCCCAATTATTGTATAGGCAGTTGTCTTATATAGAGGTTCACGTACTACAGTGGATGTTATCCGCGATAACTATTGGGGGCGGGGGATGGGGTAGAGGTTCCGGTGGGTAGATTTCCAAAGGGTAGTTGCTCTGATCTGGGGGATAGCTCTGCTAGCAGTGGCTGTCCGAAAAGGAAGTTTTCTGTGCGATAGCTGGTCCAGGGGGAAGTGTTCCGGTGATTTGGGTCCACGTGGACAGTCGTCGTGATACAATTTTGTCGATCCTGAGACATATTTCTGTTGATAGTTTATGCTGGTATTGGCACAAAATCCCATTGAAGATCTTGAAAGGGGTGGCAAGGGGGGGGGGGTAAACATCAAACGATGGGTCTGCTGCTTGCTTTTAAGGAAGTGTCTTGACGTGGTTCGAAAAGTATTATAATCTGCCACCTCTCTCATGTGTTCGAATTACTACGACGCCTCTATAACATCAATAACAACAGCAGCAACGAAATACCAATACCAATGACTGTTGAAACAAACTGGACAAAGATAGAAACTTAAGATTGGTTTTCTCTCTGATTTTATGCGCTTTGCACATTTATATTTTTGGATGTACATTCTTCTCTGCGATCATAGATATCTGCCATTTTTTACTAAAGCTCTTATGCTGCTAAATTAAATGTTTCTTTATCTGTTTTTGCAAATTGAACCATTACTATTAGTATAAATATGACGTTGAATATTGTTTCAAGGATATTCCACACTAATGCTGTCTTATTGTTTTTCTGTTCAAAGACGAAATAGAGGGAGACGTTCGCCTTATGGATGGTTTCACTCCAGACCAAGGTCGGGTTGAGATCTACTACAATGACCGATGGGGGACAATCTGTGATGACCGTTGGGATGACCTTGATGCGAGGGTAGTTTGTCGACAGCTTGGATACTCAGGCAATGTTGGTGCAGCTAGGAGGGGTGGTACATACGGACAGGGATCTGGCCCGATATATCTTGATGATGTCGGCTGTTCGGGATCTGAATCCATGCTGAGCGATTGCAGTAATACCGGATGGGGCAACCACAACTGCTTACATTATGATGATGCTGGAGTTTACTGCTATGATGGTACGATCTCAGTTATATGATGTTTTAGAACCCCAATTTTAGATTGGTGCATATGTTGTCCACTACTACAGTGTGAGTCAAAAAAAAGTTTACACCTAGAAAACTGCTAATTATTTTTAAAATCATCTATGAACAGTAATTAATTTACATCTTATGAAAGAGTGTTTTATCCCAAATCATTTGGTATCATTTTTGTGTGGTATGTGTTCACGCGTGAATGAGGTATTGTTTGCGAGAGTGCAACAATCGATTTGCGCCAAACTTCCTTGTTTGATGTTTGAATAAAACAATCGGGAATTGGGTTTTAATTCGGTCTTTGCAGATCCAAACAACATCTCTAACAACATCAATCATGTCACACATATCAAATACCGAATGTCAAATATCGACAACCATTTGTGCATGTGTGTGTGCGCGTGCGTGTGTGTGACTTTGCTTCTGCAAAAAGCATATGCAATGCATTTCATTTGATACATTCAATTCATTCTCTCACTCCGCTAATCCCAACATAATACATGCTGTAGGCATCACTTTGGCGCAAGTCGATTTTTGCACTCTCGCAAACAATGCCTCATGTTCATCCAAGCGTGAACACAAACCACACAAAAATGATACCAAATGATTTGGGATGAAACACTCTTTCATGAGATGTATAATAATTTACTGTTCATAGATGATTTTTGAAATAATTAGCAATTTTCTAGGTGTAAACTTTTTTTTGACTCACACGGTATAGGCAAACCAATATTGTTCCAAAAGTCTGTTTAAAAAAGAAAATTATTACAAATTGCTGCAGTGAGATTCAGATATTTTCATGGAATTGTTTTTCTTGGACGGATACGCACAATCTAGCTAAACCTTTTGTAATCTATCAGGTTAATTCAAATACTCTTTTCAACTCAATAAGAATATTCATGGCCACCAGACCAGGTATTCAAATTATTTTCATATTCCAGGGGTAAGGACACTAGTTACCCAAAACACAATTTTTTCCGGGGTCCCGAAATTTGGAATGATATACTAATATACATTACACTGAGCCCATCACTGAATAGTTTTAAAAGAAAATTTAAACTGTACTTATTAAAACAATACTCAATAGTGCAATAACCTATATTTTTAATGTTTATATGACAGATAAGTGTGTGTTGGTGTGCATGGGAGAGAGTGTATGTGTAAATGTAAACTATTTCCCCTTTTCCTTTCATTTATATAATTAATTTAAATAATGTACCAAGTTTCTTATACAATTACTGGAGACAGACTTTTACATAAGGCCCGGCCTTCCTGTCTAGTATCCAAATACTTTCATTAATGTACACGTTTTAAACGTTTTCCCCTTGTTCCTCATGTCTTCTCCACTTGTGTTATTCTTATGTTATGTATTGATACATTTATTATATTTTAACTTTTATATGTTTCTTTTCCTTCGTATATTTGAATGATAGTATTGAATAAAGTTAACTTGAACTTGAACTCAATCTTTGGGCCAGGTCATGTATATATAGAGAGAAGTCTTAAATACACTGCAGTATTTAAAAAAGCTGCATGTATATAATAAGAGATATAGAAGTGAAGATGACATAATAAAACAACCGTAGGAAAAACAACATTTGCGATTTTTCAGCTTTAAGCCTTTGTCAAGTAAAGACAAATTTGTGAAAAATCAGCCTTCTTCAAAACTTAAAAAATTGGCGAAACAGTTGCTACGTGCGAAAAGCTCAGAAAACAAAGAGGATAAGTCTGTAGAAAAGATGACGAATTAAAAAAAAAATTAACACCTGGGAATTCTACAAAGATAAAAAGGAGGGGGAGATGCGCGGAACTGACCCCCCCCCCCAAAAAAAGACAAGAAATGCGCGGTTTCTTAGGTTAAAAAAAAAATGAAAGCCATCTTTCCAATTTCAAGATAAGATGCATAATCCACATTCTTGATATGAACAAATATGTATCCTTTCAGTTTTAAACTTTTCTAGAATCTAGCATTCAAACGACATTAAATACCCAGCCTTTATTGTTCTGTATCTTCGTTTCTATTTAAAAAAAAAGATGATATAGATGGAAGAATTCGCCTTGCGGATGGTTTCACTGAAAATCAGGGCCGAGTCGAGATTTATTACGATGGCCTGTGGGGGACAATCTGTGATGAAAGTTGGGATGACTATGATGCAAGGGTAGTTTGTCGACAGCTTGGATACTCAGACAATGTTGGTGAAGCTAGGAGTCGTGCTACATACGGACAAGGATCTGGCTCGATATACCTTGATGATGTCGGCTGTTCGGGATCTGAATCCATGCTGAGCGATTGCAGTAATACCGGATGGGGCCACCACAACTGTGATCATTCTCTCGATGCTGGAGTTAACTGTGAAGGTACGCCACAAAACAACGTGGCATAATCTCACATTATATTTACAATCACTTCCAAATTCTAGGACAACAATCTTGCACACCCGAACAGCTACCATTGTAAAGTCCTTAAAGTAAATGACCCCGTCGAAAACTGTCCTGGAAAATACCAAACGACAACTATCCCTCGGTTAATAAACACCCATTCCCTCAAGACAGTTACATTCAAGGACATGTCTACTTGGACAGTAACTCTTTTATTTGAACCTACAGGTAACTGTCCAACGGGTTATTGGGTTAACGTGTGCAGTTATCGTGATATAATTTTGTCGATCCTGAGACATATTTATGTTGATAGTTTATGCCGGTATTGGCACAAAACCCAATGAAAGATCTTGAAAGGGGAGGATTGGGGGCGGGGGGGGGGGGGGGGGAGTAAACCTCAAATGATGGGTCTGCTGCTTGCTTTTAAGGAAGTGTCTTGCCGTGCTTCGAAAAGTATTAGAATATGCGACCTCTGTACATGTATCTCATGTGTTCGAACTACTACGACGCCTCTATAACAACAACAAACAACAGCAACAACGAAATACCACTTTAACTTCAATGACTGTTGAAACAAACTGGACAAAAAGATAAACACTTAAGAGGGGTTTTCTCTCTGATTTTATGTGCTTTGCACATTTATATTTTTTGATGTACTTTCTTCTCTGCGGTCATAAAGATATTTGCCATTTCTTACTAAAGCTCTTATGCTGCTAAATTCAATGTTTCTATATCTGATTTTGCAAATTGAACCATTACTATTAGTATAAATATGACGTTGAATATTGTTTCAAGGATCTTCCACACTAATGCTGTATTATTGTTTTTTTGTTCGAAGATGTAATAGAGGGAGACGTTCGCCTTGAGGATGGTTTCACTCCAGACCAAGGTCGGGTTGAGATCTACTACAATGACCGATGGGGGACAATCTGTGATGACCGTTGGGATGACCTTGATGCGAGGGTAGTTTGTCGACAGCTTGGATACTCAGGCAATGTTGGTGTAGCCAGAAGAGGTGGTACATACGGACTAGGATCTGGCCCGATATACCTTGATGATGTCGACTGCTCGGGATCTGAATCCAGGTTGACTGATTGCAGTAATGGTGGATGGGGCATCCACAACTGTGGACATCTTGAAGATGCTGGAGTTATCTGCGATGATGGTACGCCATAAGCAGTATGATGATTTAGAACCCCTTTTGTAATTACAAGCCTATTTTATCCTCTGTATAGGCGAATTTATTCTTCCAAGATTTTTGAATATGTCTTGACAGCATTTACAGAGAGCTTCATAGAATAATTATTATTTGAATGGTGAGCATACTCCTTTTAACCCTTTACCAGAGCATTTTTGGGCAGCAAAGCTTGGTTTAAGGGTACTTTACCCTTTTTTGTAGGAGAGTGTAACACCCGCTACCCGACGGACAATATTGTCAGTTCTTACATGTTTGTAATGTACCGTCGTAACTATTTATTAATTAACTGTGGTCCTCTGCCTGAATAAGAATGAAATTGACCTGAATGTTTAGGGAGCATCTGAGTCAGACATCCAACCATAAAGAAAATCTTATTAAGTTCTTTGTGAGTATGTTTTTAGTCATGTTCAGTCATACTCATTCCTGCTGACAAAGTTTGGGTGATTCATGTAAATGAGGTGAAATCTTCCTGGCTTTTTGTCGGGCTCTCGGGGCTAAACCGAGAGGCTACGGTCAGGCACTCAGGCTAGTAAGCTTTTTCTCAATGAAGCGTCACATCTTTCAGGTAAAATGTGGTGACTATAGTTCTGAGACTGACAGTCTTGTATCTTCGTTTTTATTTCTTTTGAAAGATGGTATGGGTGGAGTCATCCGGCTGGTTGACGGGTACAGTTCAGATGAAGGCAGGATTGAGATCTTCCATGAAGGTCAATGGGGGACAGTCTGTGATGACAGTTGGGATGACCTTGACGCGAGGGTAGTTTGTCGACAGCTTGGATACTCAGGCAATGTTGGTGAAGCCAGGAATGGTGGCATATTTCCGCAAGGATCTGGCCCGATATATTTTGATGATGTCGGCTGTTCGGGAAATGAATCCAGGTTGACTGATTGCAGTAATGGTGGATGGGGCAAGCACAACTGCGAACATTCTGAAGATGCTGGAGTTATTTGCAATATTAATGGTACGTCGTAAGCAATATGATGATTTAGAACCCTCTTTTGTAGATACAAGCCTATATTTTGCTCTGTTAAGGTAAAGCTATTCATCCAAGATTTTTGAAATTGTCTTGAAATCATTTGCTTTAAAAAGCTTTAAAAATCTTCATAGAAAAATTAATCTTTGAATGGTACGCATACTCTTTCTTAACCTAAACCAGAGCATTTTGGGGCAGACAAGCTTGGTTTAAGGGTACCTAACCCTTTTTAGGAGAGTGAAACACCCGCCTACCGAAGGACAATATTGCCATTCTAACATTTTTGTAATGTACATTCGTAAATATTTCTTAATAACCTTTGGTCACCTGCCTTAATAAAAAGAAATTGACTTAATTTTTTAAGGGAGCATCTGACATCCCATCCCAAAGAATATGTTATTAACTTGTTTGTATGAATGTGTTTAGCAATGCTCGGTCATACACATTCCTACAGACAAAGTTTGGATGATTCAGGTAAATGAGGTGAAATCTACCTGACTTTTTCGGGGGCTCTCGGGTTTATACCCGACGGCTACGGTCAGACTGATAACCTTTTTATCAATTAGGGGTCAAATCTTGAAGGTAAAATGGGATGACTATTTTGGGACAGCCTCAGACTATAAGCTATGTATCTGTGTCCAATATTTTTTTTGACAGATGAAGCAGAGGGGGAAATCCGACTGGTTGACGGATACAGTTCAAATGAAGGTAGGGTTGAGATCTTCCATGAAGGCCAATGGGGTACAGTCTGTGATGACAGTTGGGATGGCCTTGACGCGAGGGTAGTTTGTCGACAGCTTGGATACTCAGGCAATGTTGGTGAAGCCAGGAGTGGTGGCATATATCCGCAAGGATCTGGGCCGATATACCTTGATGAAAGTGGCTGTTTGGGATCTGAATACAGGTTGACCGATTGTAGGAATCGCGGATGGGGCATCCACAACTGCGAACATTCTAAAGATGCTGGAGTTTTCTGCGATATTAATGGTACGTCTTAAGCAATATGACGATTAAAACACTTCCTTTTGTAGATACAAGCCTATATTTTCCTCTGTTAAGGTAAAATTATTCTTCCAAGATTTTCGAAATTGTCTTGAAAGCATTTGCAGAGAGCTTTAAAAATCTTCATCAAAAAATGATTCTTTGAATGGTACGCATACTCTTTCTAAACCTAAACCAGAGCATTTTGGGGCAGACAAGCTTGGTTTAAGGGTACCTAACCCTTTTGTAGGAGAGTATAACACCCGCCTCCCGATGGACAATATTGCCGTTATAACATTTTTGTAATGAACATTCGTAAATATTTCTTAATAAACTTTGGTCATCTGCCTTAATAAAAAGAAATTGACTTGATTCTTTAGGGAGCATCTGACAACCCATCCTAAAGAAAATATTATTAACTTTTTTGTATAAATGTGTTTAGTAATGTTGGGTCATACACATTCCTACTGACAAAGTGTGGATGATTCAGGTAAATAAGATGAAATCTACCTGGCTTTTTCGGGGGCTCTCGGGTTTTTACCCGACGGCTAAGGTCAGACTGATAACCTCTTTGTCAATTAGGGGTCAAATCCTGAAGTTAAAATGGGATGACTATTTTGGGACAGCCTAAGACTATAAGTTATGTATCTGTGTTCTATTTTTTTTGGACAGATGACATAGAGGGAGAAATCAGACTGGTTGACGGATACAGTTCAGATGAAGGTCGGGTTGAGATCTACCACAATGGCCTTTGGGGGACAGTATGTGATGACAGTTGGGATGGCCTTGACGCGAGGGTAGTTTGTCGACAGCTTGGATACTCGGGCAATGTTGGTGAAGCCAGGAATGGTGGCATATATCCGCAAGGATCTGGCCCGATATACCTTGATGAAAGTGGCTGTTCGGGATCTGAATCCAGGTTGGAGGATTGCGGTAACCGTGGATGGGGCATCCACAATTGCGAACATTCTAAAGATGCTGGAGTTTTCTGCGATATTAATTGTACGTCATAAGCATTATGATGATTTATAACCCCCCCCTTTTTTTTTTTTTTAGATACAAGCCTATATTTTCCTCTGTTAAGGTAAAATTATTCTTCCAAGATTTTTGAAATTGTCTTGAAAGCATTTAATCTTTTATCGATAAATTAATCTTTGAATGGTACGCAAACTCTTTCTAAACCTAAACCAGAGCATTTTGGGGCAGACAAGCTTGGTTTAAGGGTACCTAACCCTTTTTAGAAGAGTGTAACACCCGCCTCCCGATGGACAATATTGCCATTCTAACATTTTTGTAATGTACAGTCGTAAATATTTCTTAATAAACTTGGTCATCTGCCTTGATAAAAAGAAATTTACTTTTTTTAGGGGGCATCTGACATCCCATCCCAAGGAAAATGTTATTAACTTGTTTGTATGAATGTGTTTAGTAATGTTCGGTCATACTCATTCCTACTGACAAAGTTTGGGTGATTCAGGTAAATGAGATGAAATCTATCTGGTTTTTTGGAGGCTCTCGGGTTTATACCCGACGGGGTCCAATCTTGAAGGTAAAATGGGATGACTATTTTGGGACAGCCTTAGACTAGTAATCTTATATCTGAGTTCTATTTCTTTTGATAGCTGGAACAGAGGGGGAAGTTCGCCTTGTTAATGGTTCCACTGTACATCGAGGTCGGGTTGAGATCTACTACAATGGCCTTTGGGGGACAATCTGTGATGACAGTTGGGATGACCTTGACGCGAGGGTTGTTTGTCGACAGCTTGGATACTCAGGCAATGTTAGTGTAGCTTGGAGTGGTGGTACATACGGACGAGGATCTGACCCGATATACCTTGATAGTGTCGACTGTTCGGGATCTGAATCCATGCTGACTGATTGCATTAATGACGGATGGGGCAACCACGACTGCGGACATTCTGAAGATGCTGGGGTACAGTGTGACGGTAAGTTGAGAGCAATTTCGTCAAAGAGATGCCAGCTTATAATCTCTCCCGTTAACGTCTTTCAATTTATTTTCTGACCGAATTTGAAATAGAGAATTAAGTTCCTTGTTTATTATACTTCTGAACCCTCTTCGTTTCCCTAGTCAACTGCTCCTCGAATCAACTGCTCTATCTTCTCGACCAATGATAGTTCTGTCAGTTGTCCCTATGCCTTTATGCCATGTTCGTATGTATGTCTGCTAGATCTAAGATATTTCATATTGCTTAATATGATAGAACTTTGTCATGTTGAACTCTCTCCGGTTTCCTTTCAAACTACACGAGTACACTTCCTTAAATACCAATAAGAACAAACAGTAAACTATCCTTTTCAATAATGACACAAAGTTAAAAATTGAAGTCTCCCTAAGTGCTTATTTTGTTTGTGTTAAAGATTCTCCAAGAACACAGCCTGCGGTGAAAACATCTCCACGTGTCGTAAGTGTCATGGCATCTGTAGGTGTGTGCTTGTCCTTGCTGACCATACTTGCCATCATAGCCGTATGTTGGACCATCAGACAATCGAAGACCAGCTTTACACCCCCGCTATCGGAACGAGCTTTAATTCCTCTCGATTCCCTGAGTGCTCAACCTGCATGCGAGACCGATTTAGAACCAAGCGGAACAATCATTTGAAAGGTTTATGATTTATGATGTAAAGCACAGTTGATGACATACCCTCCAATTATTTTCTTATTTAAATGAAATATGAGTTATTATTGTCGTTTTTGTTTGATCGAGGGTAATTTGTAAAGAAATTGACAAAATTGCTCCTTGTCCCTTAATATGTGCTTATGTCCTAACCCTTAATTTAGCCCTCAACCCCGACTTGCAAAACGAACACTAGCATTGTATCTTGGATGAAATAAAGCATGGACTTCGAGCAAAAGTCGTCGTTTCAAAATCTGACAGATTTTGTCACACATTGCACGTTTTTCTGGGCTGGCATATATTATCTCTCTTTCATCATCAATGCCTTAAAAACACATTTTCCAAAATTATTCTATATTTAAACAAAATTCCGTTGTGATGTCTCGTAAAGGCATTCAGATGATGATATACGTACATCCACTACCTTAGACCATGCTTACATGGATTTCATGTGTATGTTTTGGGGGGATTATCTGCTTTTGCGGTGATTTTTCCTACAACATATAATTTTTGTAACATGTGCTTTGAAAAGTTAGAAAATCTTAACATAGATACAAAACTGCTTTATTATTATATTTATATTTATATTTACTGAATACACTAGACCATACTATTGTGAATATTAATAATACGTAAATATGCCAAGGTTATGTTATGTTAACATTTACCTTATAGGCCTACTGATGTGTGATTAAAATATGAAATAATATTTACGCTGACAATTTCTTTCGTTATGTACATGCAAATAACAAAAAATAATATAATACCATTCAAAAATTCAATCAGAAAATAATAAGTTCTGAGATTTTAGATATATTGATGATGATGATGAAGATGAAGATGATAAAATAATAAAAATAATATTTATAGTAATCACTATTAAACTAATAGTAATGATGATAACAAATATATAAATAATAGTAATATAACAGTAATGATGACAATAATGACAATGTTAAGAATGCTAAAAATTATTACATAAATGATTTTGATAAAAAAAACACGATTTTATTGATAATGTAATAATTACAGTAATATTAATAGCAATAATAATAATCTCCACAGCAAGTTTTTTATTAGGATAAATTATATGTATTTTATAATTCCTTATTTTCATAACTTGAAACAAAAAATGTTTGATGTTTTACTCTGTATGGTTTTATCAAGACTGAAATATAACTTTAACAATTTGTACTGAAATCGTAGTAGAGCAATATTTTATACATATTTTCTATATCGTCCTAGCAAAGTTATTTTTCATACATAATATATATATACATGTTAATACACAGATTGTCTTTTTCCAACCTGACGTTCCTAGATATGTCCCAATACGTCAACAAGTGCTATCGTATTGTATCGCGGAATTATGAATACAAATTGGCATAATAATATAATTTCATTTGACATTATAAAGGATTCAAACGCCATTAGGGCTATCGACTTGTGAGAAAAACTAAGATTATGGTTGGTACCGTATTGTGACATAGTAGCCTGGACTTGCCCGATTCTTTTTTGTTGTTTTTGTATTGGTGTTCAGGTTTTCTCTGCTTTTCTTTTCCCTTTTTCCTTCTAAACAATACAGTGTATACTTTTTAAGGGGTTGACGTTCATAAGGCTAACTGCCCTTTTGTTAACCCCATATTCCCATGAAATTTTGTTTGCTCCTTCCCTTTGTATCTTTCTTGTTATCGATCTTTTATCCGTATAACATGTTTGTATGCTTTAATGTTTTTTTTACGGTGAATGAAATAAATGAATGAAATGATTCTGTTTTAAACAGAAATATCTTATTCTCTGTATGTAGAGGAGTAGAAATCTACCCTTTTATGAGTCATATGAAGGATCACTCCGTTTCGGACTAGGATCCACTCCGAAATTATGCTGGAATCCACTCCAAGCTAGTTGTTGAATGACTCACTTGAGAGCGGATTTCCACGGCTGTAAATTCCGAGAGTAGTACAGTTATAATTATTGGGTCTTTTATGGATTTTATGGATTTGGCAAAGGATCACATGCCTTCCATCTATCTACAACTGACGAATGTAAAGTCTGTCAAGCCTGTGTTTCAAATATGCCCATGCTGGCCATGCATGTTAATATTATATTTGGGGGTAGTACAAAGGATAGGCCTATGTATTCATCTAATAATTTACAAGTTGATGTGAAACATACACAAAATGTATCAGTCTTTCAACGATGAAAAATCGTGTTGTTTTCATGTATTTACAAAGTGCTGCGTTCAATTTTACAATACGCAAATATGGTATAATGATAAATAAATATTTTGCTATTTCTGATTGTAAAAGAAATAAAACGTTTCTAATTGACTATTCCTTGTTTAATTCATGGACCATTTACTCATTATTACATGTTTACGTAAATTTAATGATATGTTTACGTACTTATCATGATCTTTTGCATGCATGCAATCCTCTCGCGGGATTTAATAGTGAGCTTTTTGATCTGGGGTGTATTTTTACATTTTTCTTGTTATCTAAAGGGGGAAAAATAATTTAAAAATTAATAAATAGGATAAAGTGCAGTTCTATTTGCTGGAATGACTTGCTTTTTCAGCGCAAAATGATCTATTAAATGACACGGAAGAGAGCATCTGAAGAAAAGAAATTAAAAAAAATATGTATATATAGGATTTATTGTAATCAAAACACATCAAAAACCAAGAGCAAACAGTCAGAAGACTGATAAAAAGTAAAATTTAAATCACATATACATAATAAAATAGCAGTAACGAATATATAAACAAGTTCAGAAGTTAAAATATCAAAGAACTAAACTATGGAGGGATTTGAGAGCAGAAGCAGGGCGTGGAACCATTTTGTTTGGTTGGTTGGTTTTATTTTCCGTATAAAACAGATACATGTTACATCAATGATGACAGACGACTGGGCGGCACTATTAAGTGCCATACAATTAATGGCTCTCTTCTTCCTAGAGGTCGATCGAGGGGGGGGGGGGGTAGTCTTAATTTTAGTGAAGTGAATGAACAAGGCCATCGAATAAGGGGCCTGTGCAGAATGTGGCCCTATCCAGACGTAATAGTGGTTACCACCCCACCCCCCCCCCTCCCCAAAGAAAAGGGGAAAAAGGGGAAAACAAAACTAACGGGGTGAAATGGAACACGCGAAAAGTGGGCCAACCCATTTAACTCGAAAGGTAATTAACCTTATATAAATGTTTAAAATCCTACATACGGCTCTCTTTAACAGACCAATCACGCCGCCATTGCTAATGACGTAAAACATATCGGCCAATCAGAAGACCGGAAATATTAGTAATTGACAAACCTGGTTTGGAAAAAAAAATACGCGGCTGGGCCCGTCGGATCCTCGTGCATCCGCGCCTGGGCGGTATCCTCCCAATACAGTCAATGAATCAAAGGCCCTTTAAAGAGGATCCACATCAGCTTCACTGTCAAATCACCATCAACACCTCCATCATTGCAGGTGATGTCTTTCCAGCTCAGATCATCTGCATTAATACCATGTTTTGATTGGATAGTGTCGGAATGATTGAATCGTTCGTTCGTGTCTCCTTAGATCAAGATAGTTAAGTAAAATTTCTTAATTAAAATTAAATTAAGTTAAATTAAGTTCTTCCATCGCCCGATTGCTGCCAGGGCTTCATCTGTACAACCCGTTCCGCTGCACTGCAAGATGTGGTCCATCGTCTTAGTCTCTCCGCAGTCGCAGAGAATATCTTCTTCATGGGCATAGCCCCATCTTGCCATATTGACCTTACACCGCCCCATTCTCGTCCGCATTCGATTTAGGCATTGTCACTCCGGCCACTACGGGCTTGGCTGATGGTGGAGGATTCTGTTCAGGTGATGGGACAGAATCGAGGAAGCTGTGTCGGGATACAAGGCGTTTGTGGGGTTGTAAGTAGCCGTATAACACGTGTCTGTCATCTGTCGTCTGCTTCATCCGTTCCTTTAGGCAGGTGTTAGTGCGTCTTTGGTTAGGGGATCCAATGCCAGCGAGGTGATATATCTTCTCAACTTTTGTTGGTTTCAGGCAGAATGCATGGACACGAAGAGATCCTTATATTTACGTTTTTATGTTTTCTTCTTTAATTTTATAATTCATCTTTATTTCATAAAACCCCATAGACAAAATTTTGTATTGTGAATTAAAAATTCAGGAAAGAGAACACATTTATTGACAAAGATAATGCTTTGTTTTCTTCTATTAAACATGGGTGTGAAAGATATCGGCATGCCTTACCCTGCATTTTTTCCACATGATTCAGACAGCAACAGATGGAAGATATGTGGCAATCAAAGGAAACAACTTACTTGTTTAAAAATGAAATTGAACAATTTGTAAACATTACTAATTGTCGAAATTCTATAAAAACAAAATCGAAAATCAGAGCAGAGAATGCATTAATCTGCAATGTATATGTGCGTGTGCGTTTCGCATGTGTGTGGGTGAATGAATGTGTGCGTATGGAATGAGGGGTAGGAGGGTTAGTGGTGCACGACTACAATGTTATGGGCGTCATGTGTGAGTGTGTGTGTGTGTGGGGGGGGGGGGGGGTTGGGGTGTTTATGTTTGTGGGTGTGTGTGTGTAGGGGGAGTGAGTGTGTATGTGTGTATGCGTGTATATGTGTGGGTGTAGATGTATGTGTGTATTTACATTTAATTTTTTAAATTCTAATTGTTAAATTTGAATGAAAAAAATAAAGTACATTATATAAAGCCAGTTTTTTATTTAATGAACAACCTGAGACCAGGTGAGTTGAATGTGGAATAATTTTTTTGGTGGATTTTTTTTTATTCCGATCGTTTTATATCAAATATTCTAATCGACTGAACCTTTTATTTTTGTCTTGTTGCTCGTTAATCAAATTATATTCTGTCATAATGAGATATAACATTTGCTTACTATCCAAATATCATTAATCCACACGTTTAATTTTTATCAAAAAACAGTAACACACGATCAAAAATAAAGACACGTGAAATTGAAAATATTGAACAGACACCTGTAAACGTTTTAATTCTTATACAATCAGAAAATAGTATAGAGATTTATTTATCCTTACACATTTGCGTATTATACACAGCAATTCGATACATCAAAATAACAAAATTTCTCATCGTTGAAAGACTGATACATTTACGTGCATAGGCCTATCCTTTGTATTTCCCCAGAGTAAATCTTGACATGCTTGGGCAAATTTGAAACACAGGCATGAAAGACTTAACATTCATCCGTTGAAGATAGATGGACACACACGATGCATTGAAAAATTAATCTATGAAAGACCTGATAATTACTACAGTGGTACTCTCGGAATGTACAGCTCTGGAAATCGAGTCATTCAACCACTAGCTTGGAGTGGATTCCAGTACAATTTTGGAGTGGATTTAACTCCAAAACGAAGTGATCCTTGATATAACTCCTAAAAGATTGGATTCCTACTCCTCTACATGAAGAGAATAAGAGCAGAATCAGAATTAAATCTAATGGTAGGGATAATTACACACTTGTAAAGCAAATTTAAGTGTTCTGTCAAATTTCTCTGGAAATTGCTATTGAATCTCATATTTCGAAGGGGTTATCATTATTTCATTATAATTATTTTTGGTATTGTTATTATTAACATTATTATAAGTAGTAAAATCATTTTCATTATCATGGTTATTATCATGATTATCATGATTATTATCATGATTCATGATTTTTATTAAAATCATTGTTATTAGTAGTAGTATCAGGAGTATCATTCCTAGGAAGAATTTAGCCAGTCTATTATTTTCTACGTTGATATATATGTATATATGTTTTTGAAACGGCAACAATATAACAGACCAAACCAAACCAATCTTTATCTTTGTTATTATTACTATCATTATTATTACTATAATTACTTTCATTATCGTCATTACTATTACAAAAATTGTTGTTACTATTTAATCACCGTCGTCATCATCATCATCAATATATCTTTAATTCAAAAAGAAAATCTTTACTAATAACATACAGTTTCCCTTACAATTTTTTCAATTATAAGTATTATAAAACACTGATTATGAACCATTCAACAATAAAACTTCACGAAAACACATTAATGGTAATAACATTTAGCAATTATTTTCTTGATATACATAAACATAACGAATGAAAGTCTCACCGTAAATATTATTTATTCACAATATTCTAGCGCAATTTTTCTACGTTTTTTACGTTATAACTTTTCAAATAAGCACATTAATAAAAGTAATATGTTGTAGGAAAAAAATTAGCGCAAAACAGGTAATAAAAAACATCACACACGAAAAATATATAAAAGGATGTTCTAAGGTAGTGTCTGTGTATCATCTGAATATATATACGAGTATTATCATGATAATATAATTCTGCCAATATTTCAAGGTTTTTCAAACTTTCAAATTTTCGAATACGCAAATTTTGTATAATATCACAGCACGGGATATTTATTTACCTCCAGGAACTATAAAACAAATAGGCATAAAGTCTGAATTATCAATTCAAAATATAATTTCATAATCTAGTCATTAGAAGTAGTACATAGAAGTAATGGAGTAATTATGAAATGTATATAGAATTCTGTGTTTCGTTCAGGATAAAAATTACAGAATAATTCTATGTCCCTATGATTAGTCTTTTTTAATTTAAAAAGGACAACATGTACGTAAATTATTTAATGTTTATCGAGACCTTGATAACCACGTTATGTAATATGACATCGCATTTCAAAAAGCAGCAAAAGCATTACTTCAATTTAATTTAATCTTATAAGTTATTGTTTGTGAATGTCTTTACGAGTAATCACAACGGAATTTGTCTATGTATAGTATAATTTTTTGGGAAATATATTTTTAGGCGTTAATTGATGTTGAAAGGGAAAAATGTTATTGCCAGCCAAAGCGCATACAAGGTCAACAAAATCTGTCAGATTTCAAAACGATAGCATTTGCTCCGTACTTTATTTAACCAAAAATACAAGGTAAGGGTTAATTTTGAATGCTGATTGAAGGTTAAATTAAAAGTTAGGACATTAGCATATTTTTGAAGGGCCAAGGAGCTATATGCCGATCCTGACAAAATTCCATCAATCAAAGATAAACAATAATTATTACTCTCATTTCATTTAAATAAGGAAACAATTGAAGGGTATATGTCATCAAATGCTTTTGCAACCTCATGAATAGTAATCTTTTCAGATAACTGTTCTGCTTGGTTGAAAATTGGTCTCACACAAAGGTAATGTCGAGCATCGGTCATGAAGCCGAAAAATACAGAGAAACTAGGATAAACGTATCCAGATGCGCTCTTGGGTAAGGGTTAGTGTCGAGTAGAAATTCGATTAATGTCGTTAACTGAGCAATTGTTGTCGGAGCTTTTACTGTAAAGCCCCTTATATTAATCCTACCGCTAAAATGACACCATACCAACTCAAATCCGATTGATTCTTGGTCATAGGAGTAATTATGAAATGCCTCGTTTTAATATAAATTTCATCATTATCATTATTATTGATATTTAATTTTTAATTTTTAATTTTTTATTTATTTATTATTTCTTTGATTAATTAATTAATTTGTTAATTAATTAATTGATTAATTAATTTATTTATTTATTTATGCATTTATTTATTATATATATATATATATATATATATATATATATATATATAAATATATAGACCCTCTCTCTCTCTCTTTATATACATATATATATATTACTTTTTTTTTGGGGGGGGGTGGGGGTGGGGGGTTGTTTTGGTTTTGGTCTAGTGTTGGTCTTGTTGGTGTGACTGGAGTATTAGTGTGTTGGTTGATTAGGCAGTGGCATACAGTTTAAGTTTGCATCGTGTGGGTATATACGCATAGTTTGTTGACACGCCACACCAGAGTTTCCATTCGATGCAGTGGCTGTTTGGATGTTGGTGCCCGCAGGGTGAGTACTCAGGGTATTGAGAGGAATCGCTGGTTCCGATGGCCTGGGTGTAACGGCCGTCTTCGATGTACTGCAGGTCCAACATACGGCTATGAAGGATAGCATGGTCAGCACGGACAAGCACACACCTACAGATGCCATGACGCTCACGACACGTGAAGATGTTTTCACCGCAGGCTGAGTTGGAGTCTGAGTTGGAGAATCTGCAAGACGAACAATAAAATAAGCAATTGGAGAAACTTCAAAAAAAAGTTCGTTATTGAAAGGATATCTTGCTATTCGTTCTTGTTTTGATGTATAGAATTGTACTCATGTTGTTTGAAAGGAAACAGAAGAGAGTTAAACTTTACATAGTTGTTCCATATTACGCATTATAAAATTTCTTAGACCTAACAGACAGATGCACGAACAGGACATAAAGGCAAATGTACAGCTGCCAGAACTATCACTCTGATCAAGAAGAGGGATGGTTAAATGGAGAAACGAAGAGGGGTTAAAAACTTAGAACTAACTTGTTACTTGTTACTTGTAGAGATAACCCCGATGGCAGCTATCATACAGCTAAACTAGGATGTCCGTGCAACGTGCTGGCATAGAGACAGTGCATGAAGTAATTCAAAACAGTGAATGATGTCTATTATTTACAATAAAACGGTGGACGTGCAAGTAAAAACCGAGACGTGGAGTCTACAGTAGCTTGGACCCAACAGGAGGAGGCAACGCTCTGATGATGGGTAGAGCAGCCTCCTGGAAGATGGTCACTGTTGGAGATATTACCGCAGCAGCTGATAGGTGGTTCCATGTCCAGATGGTGCGAGGATAGAAGGAGTACTTAAAGCTATCAATGGAAGCTGGGGGTACTGCATACTTCAGAGGGTGATCATTTCTGCCCAGATATGTAGCTGGATAATGTGAGTGGGAAAAGGCATGTTGAGTTGATGATGGCGCATCTTGTAAAACAAAGTGGACTGTGCAAGAAGCCTGCGGTTGTGAAGGGTATCCCATCCCAGTTTGTTGACAAGTGCTGTGACTGATGTTACTCTCCGGTAGTCTTGTTATACAAAACGGGCGGCAGCTCGCTGTACTTTCTCAAGACTTTGTATTGATGTCAGAGTCCGAGGGTTCCAAGCTTCACTGCCATACTCAAGTTGAGGACGAACAAGCATTGTGTAGGCTTTGGATTTGATGCTCTTGGTGCACGGTGATAGAGTTCTGCGTAGGAGGCCAAGGGTTCTATTGGCCTTCTGGGTGGTGAGTTTACATTGGGTGTTCCATTTAAGGTCATGGGTAATCGTGACACCAAGATACTTGTATTGTTTTACTCGAGGAATTGACTCATTTAGTAGGGTGTAGTCCACTGTGACGGGGTGCTTCTTGTTTGTGATTGATAATATAGCACACTTCTTGATGTTGAATCCAATCAGCCATTTAGTAGACCAGTCTGCAAGAACATGAAGATCTTCTTGCAGTATATGAGTGTCAGAGGGAGAGTCGATACGCCGGTAGATGACGCTGTCCTCTGCAAATAGACGCATTGTGGACTTGATGTTGAGTTTGATGTCATTGATGTACAGCAGGAAAAGTACAGGGCCGATGACAGAACCCTGCGGTACTCCTGAAGTAACAGGCATCCATGTTGAGCGAGCATCATTGACGACGACAGCTTGATGTCTATTCGCTAGGAGTGACATAGTCCAGCGGAGAGAGTCTCCCCTGATTCCGTAGTAATGTAGTTTGGATCTAAGGTGTGGATGTGGTACGCGATAAAACGCTTTTTGGAAGTCGAGAAAGACGATATCAGTTTGGCCTCTAGATTGAAGAGAGGATGACCAATCATCGGTAGCTGTGACAAGTTGTGTTGTTGTCGAAAGATTCTGTCTGAAACCATGCTGTTCATCAATGAGTATGTTGTTAGCTGTAAGATGTTTAGAAATGTGGCTCAGCATAATATGTTCCATCACCTTACTGCAGATACACGTCAGCGATATAGGTCTGTAGTTACCTGGGCAACATGTATCTCCTGCCTTCCCAATAAACAAAATCACGTGAAAATCACGTCAATATCAAGGTATCGACTTGAGGAGAGTTACGTTCTTCAAACACCGGACATTTACGTAAATGTGTTAATACGTTTATTGCACTAGGTCACTTAAAACACACGTACACTAAATCACGCAATTGTCACTGCAATATCACCATTATAATAACGTGATTATCCCTACCTTGGAGACCATGGTTTGGAAACCTAGTACTCCCGTGTTTTTTTGGTTATGAAATTACATCTTCATAAACGAAATTATCGCGTCACAAAAACACGTGAAGCGTTAGTGATTGTTTTCGTCAAAATATCTGCGTGAAATTCACGTGAATATTACGTCGAAGAGGAAATATATTACTGTAACCCGCGTTCAACCCGATAATTACGCAAATGTTACACAATAAATAAACCAAAATAATGACGTTCTCATCCCGTTTCTGAACATCGTGTTTTGGATCTTTCATAATAAGGCGCGCCGGAAGCAGTTTGGAATTAGAGGGGTGGGGGGGGGGGGGGGTGGTTGCAAACATCCCAGAGGAGAAAGCTAGTTGCAACTGGTCCAGTTGATGAACCAGTTAATGCCAACTGGTAACCCCGGAAATTGAAATGGGCTAAATGATCCAGTTGATCCAGACCAGTTAGAATTCAACTGGTCTAGCTGAGCCATTAGAACCATTTGGTAAAACTTCCAACCAGTTGAACGGCAACAACACTTCAATACTGGTACGTCTGTATTTCCAATGTAAAGGCATTGGTAATAAGTAGACTTACATAATTAATTAATCGAAATTTTTTCATATACTTGTATTTTATTGAAATTATTTTAGTTCTAGTTAATGTTTTCCTTATTCATGTTTAATTAAATGTAATTTATACGAAGTAGCGAAATGTCCTAATAACTGGTAATTTATATTTGTAGTATTTTCGAAATGAATTGCATATAACTAAATCATCAGTAATTAAGAAATATGCTGTAAATTCAGATAAACTGTTTAAAAAACATAGATCTGCACGCACCCCATATTCAATATGCAAATTAATTTGTGTCAGCTGGTTCAACTGGAAACATGCCAACAGTCAGCCAGCAGTCATCAACTGGTGCAACTGGAAATATGCACACAGACCGGTTATCAACTGGTGCAATGAAAAGATGCCAACAGTCAGTTATCAACTGGTGAAAATAGAAATATGCCAACAGACACGGGATTATCACCACGGAACTTAAATGGTAACTGTGAAACCATCAAGACACCCAAGAATAACTCATTTTTCACACCTGGAAATCACGGAATACCCAGCTTAGATTAATAATCCGTTTGAGTCACGAGATCATCACCGCGGAACTGCTGGCAACTTTGACTACCATTTACATAGGTGTTTTAAGACACCTAATAATTACTAATTTTTCACACCTAAATATCACGAATTCACAGCTTAGATTAGTAATCAGTTTTAGCAACGTGATCATCACCAATAAAGTTATGGTAACTTTGAAACCATTTAAAAAGGTGTTTTAAGACACCTAATAATTACTAATTTTTCACACCTAAAAGTCACTTATGCCCAGCTTAGATTAATAATCCGTTTGAGTCACGAGATCATCACCGCGGAACTGCTGGCAACTTTGACTACCATTTAAATAGGTGTTTTAAGACACCTAATAATTACTAATTTTTCACACCTAAATATCACGGATTCACAGCTTAGATTAGTAATCAGTTTTAGCTACGTGATCATAACCAAGAAAGTTATGGTAACTTTGAAACCATTTAAAGAGGTGTGTAAGACACCTCAGAATTACAAATTTAATATAACCAGAGATTCACGGACAGAACAATACGACGATTAGCCGGTGTAAGTAACGTGATTATGACCATCAATCTTGGATAACCTGTGAAACCAATCGATTAAGGTGCTTACAAGACCAAATAATTACTTATTTATCACCACCATCGGTTAACGGACAAAAAACTCGTTGCTTGGTCAAGTGGTTATTTGGTCATAAACACGTGATTTACAGAGGTACGTGGAATCACGTTACTCCAGTCGCGTGATAAATTGGTGGTTTTTAGGTTAGATGCAAACGTGAACAGGAGTACCTTTTTTGTTTAAATGAAAGCACGTGTCGATAACGTTTAAATTTAGTTCAAAAGGCACCATACTTTAAAATCACTTAAAATACACTCCCAAAAGAGGTTACTTTTTAGTGTTTTGTTTATTGGGTTATGAATAGGGGCTATAAGTGCACGTTTCCAGTCTAAAGGCACTTCTCCGGTATTGTAACTCTGTTGAAACAGAAATGACAATGCAGGGGCTATTTCGTGTGCTACCATCTTCAGAAGTCTTGGATGTATCTCATCTGGGCCACTGGCTTTGGATGGATTCAGTTGAAGCAGTTGCTTAACTACACCAGACCGGTGGATGTGGAGATGCCCTATGTAATTGTATAGGGAGGGCCGGTTTATGCAAACTTGATCCACGTTGCTCTTGGTGAAGGTAGAATAAAAGTAATTATTCAAACATTCAGCCTTGTCCTTGTTTGTGATATGGAGCTTGTTATCATTTCTCAAGGGTGGTATACCAAAGTTTTCAGATCGACGCTGTTTTACATATGACCAGAAAGCCTTGGGGTTCGCATATAGGCTCTCACCTATTATGTTGCAGACGTAATTGTGATGAGCTTGGCGGACACGTTTGGTCAGTTCGTTTCGAAGCTGCCTGTAGGCCTTCCAATTGGATGCACTAGGCTGACTTCGTGCCCTCTTCAACAAACGATCCCGCTTCCTCATTTGCTTTTTGAGGGAAATGGTGATCCATGGCAAGTTGGGTCTGGCTCTTGACATCTTGGATGGGATGAATTCATCCTTGCACTTGTTGATGAGTGATGTGATACAGGTCCAGTTTTCATCAACTGACTTCAGCTCTGGTGAAGATGATAGAAAATCCATTGAGAATTTCGCAACAGCCTTGCGGGGTTTCTGAAGATCAGCTTTGTGGAATTGGTAGATTTTTCTTGGCGGAATGCGGCAAGTTCTTGGATTCCCCGAGATCGAAAAAGCAACGATGTTATGGTCCGATATTCCTGGATGGACACAGACATCGGACACCAGTGTTGGATTTGACGCAAGAAGAAGATCAAGTGTATTCTCAGATACAGGGCGGGTTACTTCATTAACAAACTGGAGAAGAGAGTTCTCTAGCAGGATATCAAGGAGGAGTTGGTGGATGCTAGTGCGATTGCTGTTTTTAACAATGAATTCCTTCCAATTGATATCTGGTAGGTTAAAGTCCCCGCCGATTATAATAGTTGGATGATTGCGTCGGTGTCTAGACATCAATGTGGCAATTGAGTTGCGTAGTTCTTCGAGTCCTTGTTCTCGGCCAGAAGGAGGGCGGTAATAGCTTGCAATGAAGAGAGGCTTGGCATTTGTGAATTGAAGGTGACACCATACTAGCTCGCAGTCTGTGTCAAACTCTGGACAATTTGACACGATGAGGGAGTTGTAAACAGCTACAAAAACTCCTCCGCCATGTTCATTTCTGTCCTTTCGAAAAACATTGTAAGAGCTAGGAAAGACGCTATATGTCGGGCAGGTGCCGTCTAGCCTCGATTCACAACCAAGTATGATATCAGGTTTGTGGTGATCGATCAGAGCCTGAAAGTGGGACTGTTTCGTAAAACTCTTGAGGCCATTGCAGTAAATTATGACTGCTTTCAATGCCTTCCTTCTATTTTCCTTGGTGAAGAGAACTGTAGGGGTGGTGCCTTGTCAGTGGGAGTGGAGGCTTGAGGACCACTTGCAACATCAACCTCGCTTGCATCGTCATGGAGAGCTGAGTAGCGGTTAGGACTAGTGAAATCAGCATCCAGAAGGAAAGATGATAATTCTGCATTGATGCTGTTACACTTACAGCATATCCATGAAAAACTGCTAAGACGGGTGAGAACACTGTACGAAGAAGCCGAGATGCCTACACATGAGATGTGACACCAGGCATCACAATTGTCACACAATATTGCTTTATCATTGACAGAGACATCCGACTTGCAGATAGCGCATGTAGGAGTGTCCGGACCTGGGTTGGGCTCAACTTGCCCACTGAGAAGTAGTAAGATGGCCAGGTGGCTGGTGGAACGAATGTTGAGGACACATGAAGAGTTACTGCGCTTCTGCTGGAATCTGAGAAAAAAGCAGAGGCTGCGTACACCTGCATGACTAAAATCACGAGAGCTGAAGTTAGGCAATATCAGAAGATGTTCCTGCTGATCTGGAAATCGTGTAGCACCTTCTTCAATGACGTATGTCTTCACAAGCACGTGCATAGAAGACATAAGGACAAGTAAGCTGATGAAGAGGTGATGTTCCTGCATGATGTAGGAAGCTAGGTTTCAGAGACAAACAGCTCGATTTTGATGGACTATAGATTGGTGCAAATTTCGATAAAATGCTAGAGACTATAAAACAGGATAACAACTGAGAAAAAGCTGGTTTGGTCTCACTTGAATTGAGTTGAATTTGTGAATGTAGGTTTTACAAAGTCCAGCAAAAATAACTGGAAAATAACTGGAGATAAAACAACTGGATTGGTCTTACTTTATCTTGGATGGTTAAGAAATCTAGATGCTTGTAATAAAATATCCACAGATCATGATGAGTGATAATGAAAAGTTGACTAGAAGACTGGGTTGATGTGTGTGTAGTTGTTCCTAAGTCCAGCAAGAATCTCAATGCATGGGACCACACTGTAGAACTTATACTGGGCCCCCTAGACCAAGCTTGAAAACTGATGAAAATATCACTTGAAGTAGGGTGTTACATGAAGATCAAAATGATGATAGGGCGCGCATGACAAATAACTTAAAGATTATAGTAAAAAGTGAGATTTAATTTGGTAATGACAGGAGTACATGCACCACACTATGCCAACACTATGCACTAACATAGACAAAGAGCTTCATTCTCAAAGTCGATCAGAAAAATAAAAGATGTTATGGGAGAGATTATATGCCGGCATCTCTTTGAAGACTTTGCTCTGAACTTACCCTCACACTGTACTCCAGCATCTTCAGAATGTATACAGTTGTGGTCGCCCCATTCGCTTTTACTGCAATCAATCAACCTGGATTCAGATCCCGCACATCCGACGTTATCAAGGTATATCGGGTCAGATCCTTGTCCGTATATACCACCACTCCTGGCTACACCACCGTTGCCTGAGTATCCAAGCTGTCGACAAACTACACTCGCGTCAAGGTCATCCCAACTGTCATCACAGACTGTTCCCCATTGACCTTCATGGAAGATCTCAACCCTGCCTTCATCTGAACTGTACCCGTCAACCAGCCGGATTTCTCCCTCTATGTCATCTTTAAAAACAAAGGAAACGAAGGTATAAGAACTCTCGTATGAGGCTGTCCCGAAATATCCATTTTACCCGTAAGATTTGACTCTTCACTGCCAAAAAGGTTATATTAAGCTCGAACGTAGTCGTCGTATTTAGCCCGAGAGTACCCAGAACAAACCCCAAAGCCAGGTCGACATAATGCCATGTACCTCAATCACCAAACTTTGTCAGTAGAAATTAATAGGAATGAACATTAGTAAACACACACGGACACAAATTTCCTGGGTATTGCATGTCAGATTCCCCCTGGAAACTGGCATCAATTTTTCCTATTAGGCCCAAGGACCACATTTTGTCATGGGAAAAGTTGCGACTATGCATTAGAAAAGCATAATAACCGAAAACTATATCACGTTTTGCTTCCCGCCATATGGCTCTGGCTTAGGTTTAGATACATTTAGTGATTAAGTCAAAGAAGTAGTTTCCCATGAGGATATTTGGAGCTCTCGGCAACAGTTTTGAAGATATTTTCAAAGAATATTGGAGAAAAAAAACTCGTCTATACATTAAAAATGTACATAGAAAAACAAAAGCTCGCGACCTACCTCCACAGGAGATTCCAGCATCTTCAGAATGTCCGCAGTTGGTGTTGCCCCATCCGCGATTACTGCAATCAGTCAACCTGGATTCATGTCCCAAACAGCCGACATCATCAAGGTATATCGGGTCAGATCCTTGTCCGTATGTACCACCACTCCTGGCTACACCAATATTGCCCGAGTATCCAAGCTGTCGACAAACTACCCTCGCGTCAAGGTCATCCCAACTGTCATCACAGACTGTCCCCCATTGAAAATCATGGAAGATCTCAACCCTGCCTTTATAGGAGCTGAACCCATCATTTGCATCAACCAGCCGGATGTCTCCATCTATTTCATCTGTAAAAATAAATGGAACGAAGGTATAGGACTTCTACCGTGTGAGTCAAAAAAAAATATACACCCAGAAAATTGCTAATTTAAATTTTTTTTATCTATGAACAATACATTATTATACATCTCATGAAAGAGTGTTTCATCCCAAATCATTTGGTATCATTATTGTGTGGTATGTGTCCACGCTTGGATAAACAGGAGGCATTGTTTGCGAGAGTTCAAAAATCGACTTGCGCCAATTAGTGGTGCATACAGCATGTGTATTATGTTGGGATTCGCGGAGTGAGAGAATGAATTGAATGTCTCAAATGAAAACTGCATATGCTTTTTGCAGAAGCAAAGTCACACACACACAAACACGCGCGCACAAATGTTCTTTGATATTCTATATTTGATATGTGTGGCATGATTAATTTTGTTAGGGATGTTGGATCTGCAAAGGCCGAATTAATACCTAAACCCCAATTGTTTTATTCAAACATCACATAAGCAACTTTGCCGCAGGTCGATTTTTGCACTCTCGCAAACAATGCCTCCTGTTCATCCAAGCGTGACCACAAACCACATTTAATGATATTAAATGATTAAATTTACTGTTCATAGATGATTTTTAAAATAATTAGCAAATTTCTAGGTGTAAACTTTTTTTTTTGACTCACACTGTAGTAAAAGCTGTCACGGAATAGTCACCATATTTTACCCGTAAGATGTGATCCCTAATTGCCAAAAAGGTTATAAGCTCGACCGTAGTCGTCGGGTTTAGCCCAGACAGTCCCATTTCATGTACCTCAATCACCATTTTTGTTACTAGAAAGTAATATGAATGAGCATTACTAAACAAACACGCACCCACACACATAAACAAAAATCAGACAATATATTGGATGTCAGATTCCCCTCGAAACTGGTATCCAGTTTCTTTTTAGGCCCATAAACCACATTTGGCCATGAAAAGTTTGTGCATATACATTACAAAAACATAAAAGCTGAAAAATAAAAAACACTCTTGCTTCCTGCCATATGCCCTGGTTTAGGTTAAGATAGAATGTGCGATTAAGTCAAAGAAGAAATTTCCCATGAAGATATTTGAAGTTCCATGCAACAGTTTTGAAGATATTTTTAAAGAATACTGGAATAATAAGTTTGCCTATACATTGAAAAAACGTACATGGATATACAAACGTTGGTATTTTGTATCTACAAGGAAAGGTGCTGTAAATAAATATGATTGCTCGCGACCTACCTCCACAGAAAACTCCAGCATCTTCATAATGTCCGCAGTCGTGGTTGCCCCATCCGGGATTACTGCAATATCTCAACCTGGATTCATATCCCGAACAGCCGACATCATCAAGGTATATGGGGTCAGATCCTTGTCCGTATGTACCACCACTCCTGGCTACGCCAACATTGCCTGAGTATCCAAGCTGTCGACAAACTACACTCGCGTCAATGTCATCCCAACTGTCATCACAGACTGTCCCCCATTGGTAATCATGGAAGATCTCAACCCTGCCTTCATCTGAACTTAACCCACCATTTGCATCAACCAGCCTTATGTCTCCATCTATTTCATCTGTCAAAATAAATGAAACGAAGGTATAAGATTTGACCCCTCATTGCCAAAAATGTTGTAAGCTCGACCGTAATCGTCGGGCTTATGCCCGAGAGTCCCCCAAAATAAACCCCGAAGCCGGGACGATTTCCTGCCATTACCTGAATTACCAAACTTTGTCAGTAGAAAGTAATAGGAATTTACATTACTAAACACACAAACACACAAAAACAGACAACATTTTTTCGGTAAGGGATGTCCGATGTCCCCTATAATCAGGTATCGATTTTTTTCTTTTTAGGCCCAAAGACCACATTTTGTCATGAGAAAAGTTTCGACCATACATTACAAATACATAAGAACTGAAAAATCAATCACGCGTTGCTGCCCTCAAATTAATGTTCTGGATTAGGTTAAGATAGGCTAAGTCCACTCCAAAAAAAGAATTGCTTTTGGTAGATGCAGAAAAACAAGAGAAATAGAGCCAGCAAATTGAGTAAAATCGGATAACTAATAAGGAAATTATGAATTTTTGAAAAAGGATGAAAAAATATGGAAAAATTGAAATCAATACACAAATTGCCAAACAAATTGCCAATTTGGTTATTAGTTTGTGACGTCACTGCCTCACTATTTATCGATTGCTTATTTTTGTCCCATTAATTTCCCTTTTTATCCCCCAAAACTGGATTTTCTCATGCCTTTGCCCAGGTTATATGATTTGTATGATATTGCGAGCATGACATTTGACAACATATTCTATGAACTTTGAAGAACTGATACTAGTTTCTGAATATTGTAAATTCATAATCATTAATTTTCATATATTAAATAGTTTATAAAAATTCACATTTTTCATGATTTAACTGAACAAAATAACTCTATATTTAGCGTATCCACACAAACACATACCACTTTCAATTTAACTTGGATGCTGGTGTGAGGAAATAAATTTATTAAGGGGAAAATGGAAAATTGATATTATGAATATAAAGAAAACAATTAGTGGATAATGAGGCAATGACGTCACAGACTCATGAGTGAGTTGCAAAATTGTTATGTGATTTTCAAACTTTTTCATGTCATTAATAACTCATAATTTTCTGATTAGTTATCCGATTTTGCTCATTTTTTTTATTGGCTTGTCTGATTTGTCTGCGTCTATCGAAAATTAGTTATTTTGGGAGCGGACTGGCCCTTTAAGTTGAAGAAGAAGCCCCCCCCCCCCATGAAGATATTTGGAGCTCTAGCTCTCTGCATCAGTTTTGAAGATATTTACAAAAAATATTAATATAAAAAGTTCACCTATACATTCGAAAAATGTACATTTATTTTCAAGGTTTTTTTTTTTGCATCTACAAGAAAAGGCGCTGTTTAAGGTACTATGTTCCATTTGCAGGCCCAAAAATGAGAAGGTTATATTCCAACGGCATTTGAAAGATATTACTAATTTAGAACTTCCCCCCCCCCAAAAAAAAAGGGGGCTTGAATATGTCTTTAAGTGGGAAAATAACGACTATTAGTTTTCGAATCGACTTAAGAGCCATAGAGCCAGTAAGTATTAGTCTGATTTTCAGACCATTGTACCGAATAGTCGTACGTTTTATGCTGCGCAAAGATTCAATCAGTTTCATTTTTGCCATTACAAAAAGTGGGTTATTGATGTAGACAAATGGTCATGTACCCTTTACAGCTCATTTTATGTATGTCATTACCAAAGAAGAAAAAAGCCAGTCAGTCACTCAATAGTGTATGACAATGAAGTCTAGCAAGTAAACGGGTTTCCTTGCATTATTTGGATATTAGGACACTGCTAACGTTTACATTTCACAGATAGGACATTCATGACATATTCATAATTCATAGAAAATTCTACAGAGTTTGATGTTGGCTGCAAAAGGGACTTCGTATATTTAAAGCCTATCTGCACTAGTTAAGCCAGGAGGAATTAGACTTCCCTAGCTGCATGGTCACTGACAGGTGCTTATCTCATCAAATCAGCTCTCAATTAAAATAAGAAAAAGGGGATCATTGGGGACTAACGGGTACCGCTTAGGCATTGTTTGCTATATAGAGGGCGTTGAAGTACCTACAAGGTGTCAGAGCCATCTATCCACAGAGTTTGTCCAACCCGGTTCGAGTTGGTTACAATTTGGCGACTACTGCTTTGTACGGCGAGCACAAAACAAAAGAATATACGCCATTAGTTTGAACATATTTGTGGCTTACACCAAGTAAACTATTGAAATTTCTCCCAGGAAGCATTACATTTATTTAAAAAATAAAAATAAAAATAAATAAATATACGCCATGTTGTTAACCAGTGAAACCAAGTTGGCCAACCTCGCCTAATCAATGGTACTGCAAGTAGTGCAGTCCTGCTTTAATAAATATGAGTGCTCGCGACCTACCTCCACAGTAAACTCCAGCATCTTCATCATGACCGCAGTAATAGGTGCCCCAACTGGTAATACCACAATCGGTCAACCTGGATTCATATCCCGAACAGGCGACATAATACAGGTATACCGGGTCAGATCCTTCTCCGTATGTACCACCACTCCTGGCTTCACCAACATTGCCTGAGTATCCAAGCTGTCGACAAACTACCCTCGCGTCAAGGTCATCCCACAAGTCATCACATACTGTCCCCCACTGGCCATCATGGTAAATCTCAACCCGACCTTGGTTTGCAGTGGGACCGTCAACAAGGCGGACCTCTCCCTCTGTTCCAGCATTCAAAAGAAAAAAAAAAACGGGTGTTTAGCCTTATATGGTTATCTGACTATCTGGATGCTTATTACATATCTACACCGCTTAGCAAAACCTAAATCAAACCGACTGGCGATTCGTCAAAATTTCGACCATTTAAGGTGATTGTGATTTTTTATTTTATTTATGACAACCTCGTAGTTGACGGCCTGTTTTAGTCTGTTCCCCAACATTTACTACCAATCAATCCTAGGAGCATTAAAATCCCTTTTTACGTAATGAAATAATATATCAATGAAAGATAAGATTCGATCTGGTTTGTATTTTGACCTGATAATTTTAACACGGGCGCAATTCTGGAATCAGCCCCGGGCGTTATGTGAAGGGGGTAACATCACCACCCTCCCCCTTAGTTTGGACGGATGGCAAGTCTGTCCTTTGGTCCCTTCACATAATCCGTCCATAATGTTCAGAAAGCAAGTACCTTTATGTCACGCAGTGCAAGCCGCGAACCTTGACGTGGTTATTCCGGTAAAGCCCATAAATGTATAAATCCACCGCATAAATAACAACAATTATAAAAATATTGCACACGCAAATGTCAAAACATCCACAAATATAAAAACATTTCGCCCACATGTTAAACAAATTTTAATAACCATGAAATGCAAAAACATGTTTCTTACAAACTGTAAAATGTGTACATTGTCACCACATATGGCGTAGCATGGCAACGGCAATGGTAAAATTACATAATTACAACTCATAATCATAATGACGTACACGCTACTAATACTGATCGAAACGATCCTTTCACTATCTGATCATTGGAAGGTCATTACAGTGCCATTCCAAATATTACACTCTAAGCGTTTACGAAATGCATCACGGTAATTTATTCCTCGTTGTTTAGAATGTAATTAATTAGCATTAGGAAACCCCTTCTCTCTCTCTCTCTCTCTCTCTCTCTCTATGTCACAGTGCTCGAATACTATACAGCATTATCGCTCCCGCTGAGAACCCCATTGTTATATTTCCAATCAGCTACAGTATTGCCATAATAACTATGTTTCTCAGGGATGATCTTACATACTTAATTTAGAAGTTGATAATGGTAATGAGTTTTCTCCTAAAGTTGCCGTGACTTAAATTCATTATTGCATCTTTGTGTTTTCTCTTTCTATTGTATTCCATCACTGTGCTAACCTACCTGGGGGAGGCTGCTATTTACCAAGTATATTTTTGTTGTAATGATTCGATTGTTTCTATGAGGTATACATGGTATATACAGTGCGTCCCCAAAAAACGAAACCGAGAATTATCGGTGTTTTATCGTAATTTAATCACAATTTTAATTAAAAAATGACACATATTTGGAAAGCTAGATCCTCCTCTTTCATTTGATGCAACTCATATAATACATATTTCAAGCATGAGTGATTAAAATGAATTTGAAGAGAGGAAACCAAAAAATCATTTGGCGGACGGTATCTGAATTTCAAGGAGAAAATTACATTTCCAGAAAGTTGAGTTCCTGCCCTTTCATATGACACCTCAATCAGGAAAAATGAGCAAGGAATGACGTTTTCATTGGGTGCCTGCCGTAGCAACAAACAGAGTTGACAAAAGACTTAACTCCATTTCGTTGACAATCAGCCGTAGACAAAAGACTTCATCCTATGTACATTATATAGGTTTAATTCATCTGAATGCAGATATTTGTTTAATCAAAATTCTCCTATGGTGGAGTTATCTTCATAATTATTATGTCGTCACTTCTACCTCGCGATAAACATTCCATTTCATTCTTGTTATGGGGCAGGAAACAAACACAATCTACCAGACACAATTCAATTTTATGTCTCATCCCTCGGATCGTTTTTTTTTTAAAGAAGGAACTGATTTGCTGCTCGAAACCAAATATGTTAGGTTTAAATATACTATTTAGCCCTTTTAAAGGCCCATTGCACTACTTGTAGCTACTTGCGCCCTCTATATAACAAACAATGCCTAATCGGTGACCATTGGTCCCCCATGGTCCTCTTTTTCTTATGTTAACTGAGAGCTGAGTTGATGAGATAAGCACATGTCCAGTGACCTTGCAGGGCAGTCTAATCCCTCCTGTAAACTACGGCAGATAAGCTTTAAGCAGATATTTAAAAAATCAGCTCAAAAGGTAGTGATAAATCCAGAATGTATGTAATAATTCGCAATTACTCGCCTCATCTCGCACATTAGATAATTATATTCGCATCACAATACACATATAAAGTCATACCAGTCGGGTTGATGACACATTTTTTCTTTCCATTAGCAAATGCTGGTTAATGTTTCTCAGAACATCTATTTACGTTGTCTTTTTCATATTGACACACTTTAACAATTATTGTAGATTCAGCTTCTTTCTCGGCCATGTACAAATATTTGAGCAGAAATTTTCTCTCAACATTGCGAGTTCCTTCATGGCTGAACATATTTCTTGTTTAGATATTGGAACTTGCTATATTTCATCAAAACTCTGTCGGCCGGGTCACTGAAATGCATCACTTTGGACAGCAATTTTCCAACTACTACACGTGATTGTAAATTTTCCAAAGGTTGTTGGAGAAGTTTGAATCATACTCGATTATACATCATAACATATTCATGGAATTGAATTATTATTATTATTATTATTATTATTATTATTTTTTTTTTTTTGGGGGGGGGGGGGGGGGGTCGTTTTCGCTGTTGTTCTTGGTTTAATTTTGTATCAAATTTTGATATCGAGTCCTTTTAAAGTATTCAATTCTGTACGAGGCAATGATTCAGAATTAACATGATTAATGTGTTATTCTTCGAAAACAACCAATGATATTTGGATTTATGTAGAATCACATAAATGTTTTAGGGAATACGATCAATAAATTATAGATATAAATGATTTCATTCACCTGTTATGAATAATTATATTTTAATAGTCAAAATGCAAATTGCATACATTAATATTGTTGCTAGCCTCCAAGGCAGGACAAAGTTTATGGCTTGTCCTACCCAGCACCACGTAATGTATGCAATTCGCATTCTGAATATTGAAATACAATTATTCGAAACAAGATTGAAATAATTTGTAACGAGGCACTTAACAAAGATTTTGTGCAATAAATTTGATTACATGACGAAAATTGCGTTTTAAATGTTGTAGTTGGTAACCAATGGTTTGGTAACCATGACGTCAACTCCTGGTTGCCAGAGAAAAATGCATGAACTGAAATTAATCAGCCAACAGGTATATATTCACCACCCCTCAATCTAAGACATTGAATTGAGACTTACCGCATCGTATGAAGTTTGGAAAGAACAAAACGAAGAAACACGACATCCATAGTTTTCCACTCCACACCAGTTTCCCAAGAGCAGGTGACGCCATATTTCACGTCCAATACCAATGGCGCATCTGGTTAATATGTATTCGTGAACGGCCTTATGAAATATAAATGAACCGCTGTAAACGTGCACGCGTACAATACAAAAAGAGGGTACCATTGAATAGAAAAGAGGGAGAGGGAGTATGACTATGATTCACGTTCTCACTGCTTTTTTCCTCGCCCTCTCTCTCTCTCTCTCTATATATATATCTCAACGTCTCTCTCTGTTTCTTTATCTTTTTTTCTCTCTCTGTTTCTGTATCTTTTTTTTTCTCGCTCCCCCCTCTCTCTCTCTCTTACATATTTTACATTTTTTCTGTGACGTCATATCAACTCAAAAATATTCCTGCTTTTAATTAAGAAATTATTGCTCTATCTGAAAATAAATTCCTGTGACGTCATATCAACTCAAAAATATTCCTGTTTTTAATTAAGAAATTATTGCTCTATCTGAAAATAAATTTTTAGGCAATTAAGCTAGGAGGTTCATGGTAACCAAAGTTACCTTAGGAGCAATTATTCTTCATACCTGAAAAAGAAATAATTAGGCATAATAATCCAGCCAAGATCACCATACCAATGTTAACATTTCCATTTCATCTCCGCCTTGACTGTTGCGTAAAGAAGAGACATAACTTTAGCCGTGAAAATGTCGCTTCATTAAAAAAAAAAACGTCAGCAACGTTCGCATTTTTTGAGTTTTCCCGGCAGAATGATATTCCACTCCATTATGATGGTTTATCACTTGTTACAAAATGCAACAGTACGTTTAATTATTGTATGAGATTACTTTTCCATAAAAAATCATATAAATAGATGATGAGGGCGATTAACTGAATACTGCGGTATAAAAAAATTTAATTATCTGCATATCAATATTTAATTGCATTAAAATTTTAAGGTACTACATTGATATAATTAGCTTATTTTATGAGTGCAGTTTTTATCTCTGATTTTTATGAAGTGAATGAACAAGGCTATCGACTAGGGGGTCTGTGTAGGATGTGGTCATATCCAATCATTTATAACAAGCCCCTTTTCGTAATAGTGGTTACCTCCCCTCGAAAAAAAAAATCTAGCTACCTGTAGGGGCGAACGGGGAAAATGGGACACGGAACAATTGGGCCACCCCATCTAACTCGAAAGATTTGTATAAATGTTTAAATTTCTACAAAAGGTCTTAAATATCTATGTTCACAAAAGCATTTACAGCTATACCACGATCTTGCTCGTAGATTTTATTATCACTTTTTTTTTGACGATTCTTTTTCCTCCTGTTTTCGAAATTCACTGTCAAAGGTCTTACCAGTAAACAACTTAGCTGTTTTAGAAGATCTGAATACAGTTAGATGTTTGATACAACAAATTGATTAACTTTTTTAATGACAACTTTAAAATCATATGTTGGGGGTACTTCGTTTTTTTCCCCTATTTGGTGTGAAATGGGACACTTTGTCCCATTTAATCCAAGCTACATTTTGTGTCCCCCTTCTCCCCGTTCAACAGCTCTTTTTGAATGATTAATTGCATACACAAAATAAGCATGTAGGGAGTGTGTTTTATGGATCAATATATAGCCCACTGTCGATATTACATACCATATGAAAACGGAGAGGATACAATAACTATTCAAGAAATTATAAAGTAAAAAGTCCCGCATCATGATCATGTCCCACTGAAATATAAAATCCATATAGCTTATTATGAGTATTACATACCATATGAAAATGGAGAGGATAAAATAACTACTCCAGAAGTTATAAAGTAAAAAGTCCCGCGTCATGATCATGTCCCACTGAAATATAAAATCCATACCTACGTGTAGCTGTGCATACCCCATTGGTGTACCCATAAATTGATAAAAGAGATTCAATGTTTTTGGTAAACCTCTTTATTGCACCCCATGCCTCCGATATACGGATTTGGAGGAGAGTAAACGAGAAATGGGAAGGAGAGCTATAACGATTTCATTGTTTACTCAATCAGTAAATTTGGCGGACATGTAGAGGGCCGATGAGGGGGGGGGGGGGGACGGGGAGGGTTTCACATCATCAACTTTGAAAACTGTCCCAACTCTATGCCCCACTCGATCGACTGCCCCCATTCGGATAATAAAATACGTCTAGGCTTTTGTGTCCAGTGATAGTTTGCAGATACAAACCTTATTTAGTCGTTATACACATGTAGCGTATAAATATTCCACTTGGTAAATGATGAGTAAATAAACATATATTGTGTATTTATAAAAAATATTATTGAATATAATTTAGCGTTAATTGAAGGTAAAGAAGAATTGAAGATAAATAAGCCTATTTATGCATTTTATTATTCCTGCTTTCTTTTTGCAGAGTTTAGAGTTGGTACTTGCAGAATACATTCCAAGCAAGTGATAATGCAGCGCATGTATTTGGCATTAAATTGTTTGTATTGCATGGATAATTTCATCTGCAACTAAAGCGGAATTAGAAAGAGTTAGCTCTCGATCATGTCACTGTCTCCTGGTCTTAGTTAACGACTTAATCCATATCACTTTGAAAACTATTATTTAACCTACAATCATGATAATAAAACCCTTTGACTATATATTTATTATTTAATTTAAAAAAAAATTGTTTTGATTTAGCGTAATTTTACATTTGGTCTTAAATTTCCTATCACAGTCGTCAGAGTTATAGTGGGCATGTTTAAAAGTGAATTTCGATGTATTTAAGAATTTCTCCGTTTTCCCCAATGGTAATCGTATGTTCAGTAGACCTATACAGTGAAAATATTTTCTGAATGTTGTATTTCATTATATCTGCATGAATTTTTTCTAAGAAATTTTGGATAAACCGGAGTCTATACAGTCAAATTGCACTAAAGGTATTAACAATATAATTTGACGTTATGGTGAGCACTGGCTAATTTCGAAAAACTCGCGAATTTTTTTTTTCTCAAAAAAAAATTGCTTCAGCCTTTGATTGGATCATTGTGCAAATCAGGCAGTTATTGCATAAGTTATGTTATCTCTCATTAATTGATTTGAACTATCATTTGATCTTAAAACATATATACCTAGCTGTACATACCCCCGTGGCGTAACCAAATAATGATAAAAGAGAGGGACGGAATCCTCCCAAGACAGCCAGTGTATCAATGGCCCTTCAAAGAGGATCCACACCAGCTTCACTGTCAACTCACCATCAACACCTCCATCATTGCAGGTGATGTCTTTCCAGCACGGATCATCTGCATCAATACCCATTTTTGTTTTAATAGGACCGGAAGAGATCCTTACGTTTACATGTTTTCTTCTTTGAATTCATGATTCATCTTCGGTGAATTAGAAATTTAGGGAATTTTCAAAGAAAACACATTTATAGAAAAAAAGATAATGCTTTGTTTTCTTCAATTAAACATGGGTGCTGTGAAAGATATCGGCATGCCTTACACAGTATCACTGCATGTGTTCAACATGATTCAGACAGCAACAGATGGAAGAGATGTGGCAAACAAAGAAAACAAAGTATTGGTTTAAAAAAAGAGATTTCATCTTTCTTTTAAGAAAATTGTACATTTTGTGTACATTACTAATTGTCAAAATTCTAAAACCAAAAATCACAAGTCAGAGCAAAAAATGTATCAATCTGCAATGTTATGTGCGTGTGCGCCACGCGCGAGTGTGGGCGCGTGCGTGTATGTGTGTGTGTGCGTGTGAGGGGGGGGGGGTAGTGAAGCACGACTGGAGATGTAAGGTCAAAGATCATCTGAACTAAAGCCCTTTTATTCTTGCCTCCTCACTTAAAACGTTATATTTCATTGTTTGAAGAAGACAAAAATATAGTACACTAAACTAGCCAGTTTTTCATTTAATGACGTTTCTTCAGCCAAGTGAGTTGAATGGGAAAGATTGTTTTGGTGGACTTTTTAGTCCGATTGATTTATATCAAATATTATAGTGGACTAACTTTTTATTATTTGTCTTGTCGCTCGTTAATCAAATTGGATTCAGTCATAAGGAGATAAAACATTTGCTTACTATTCAAATAACAACAATCCACACGTCTAATTTTTACAAAAGACAGTTTAGAATATAAATATTATAGACCCGTGAATTTGAAAATCATTAACAGGCACCTGTAAACGTTTTATTTGTTGTACAATGAGAAAATAGCAAAAAGAAAAATATTTATTTATTATTATACACATCAATTCGATACATCGAAATAACACAATTTATCATCGTTGGAAGACCTGATACATGTTTTGTTTGTTTCACATCCAGTTTCATAGTATTAGATCAGTATATAGGTCTGTCCTTTGTATTACCCCCCTAAGTCAATCTTAACATTCATGGGGAAATTTGAAACACAGGCATGGAAGAATTTACATTCATCAGTTGCAGATAGATGGACTGCATATGATGCATTGAAAAATTAATCCATGAAGACCTATTGATTATAACAGTAGTTATAACAGAAACCCGCTCCCAAGGGAGTCATTCAACCACTAGCTTGGAGTAGATTCCAGTATAATTTTGGAGTGGATTTAACTCCAAAACGAAGTGATCCTTGATAAGACTCCTAAGAGAGTGGATTTCCTCTCCTCTACATGAAGAGAATATGAACAAATCCATAATTAAATATAATGATAGGGGTACTTACACTCTCGTATTAAAAAGCAAATTCAAGTGTTCTGTCAAATTTTTCTGGAAATTGCTATTGAATCACAAATTTCGAAGGGGTTATCATTATGTTATTATAATTATTATTGGTATTGTTATTATTATCATTACTAGTAGTAGTAGTACCATCATTTTCATTATCATGATTATTATCATGATTATCATGATTGTTATTAACATAATCATTATTATTATTAGTAGTAGTAGCAGTAGCATCACCCTTAGGAAGAACTTAGCCAGGTAATAAATGGCTCTAAATAGAGCAATCAAACCAATTTCTTTTTAGAAAATTTAATATTTGTTTATGTTAATATTTATATATGTACATATGCTTTTGATACGGCAAAAATATAACAAACCAAAACAATCATTATCTTTGTAATTATTACTACCATTATTATTACTATAATTAGGCCTACTTTCATTATCGTCATTACTATTAAAAGATTTGTTGTTACTATTTTATCACCGTCGTCATCATCATCAATATGCCTTTAATTAACAAAAAAACTTTACCAATGATAACATACAGTTTCCCTTACAGTTTTTTCAATTACAAGTATGCCTTAATTGCATTATAAAACACTGATTATTAACCATTCAACAATAAAACTTCACGACAACACATTTAAAAGTTATGACATTTAGTACTTATTTCCTTGATATACATAAACATAATGAAAAGCTCACCGTAAATATTGTGTATTCACAATATTATACTCTAATGTATTCAAACCAATTATTGCGCATTTTTAAAACGTTTTTCTACGTTAAAACTTTTCAAGCACATCAACAAAAGTAATATGTTGTAAGAAAAATCAGCGCAAAAGCAGGTAATAAAAAACATCACACACGAAAAACATGTATGGATGTGCTAAGGTAGTGTATGTGTATCATCTGAATATATACGAGTATCTTCATAATGATATCATTTTGCCAATATTTCAAGGTTTTTCAAGCTTTCAAATTTTCGTAGACGCAAATTTGTTATAATATCACAGCACGAGATATTTATTTATCTCCAAACGCTTTAAAACCAAGAGAATACGCTTTGCCAAAAGAAGCCTAAAGTCTGAGTAAATAATTCGAAATATAATTTCATAATATAGTCATTAGAAATAGTACATACAGGTAATAGATTAATCATGAATGTATATAGAATTCTGTGTTTCGTTCAGGATAAAAATTAGTAGAATAATTCTATGTTCTAATATATGATTAGTCTTTTTTTATTTGAAAAAGACAACATGTACATAAATTATTTAACAACGACGGATAGTCAACCTGTTCGAAACGTCGAGCCACTCATCCTCTCCAAGCGCTATAGTTCTCCTTATAACTATAAGCTAAGAAAGATAACCGACAAACAGTCCTTTTCAGGACTACACACCCCCAAGAAAGATTACCGAGTCAGAGTCCTTTTCAGGACTCCTCAATCCTCTCTCTATCTCTCACATGGTGCACCCGCAAGCCTACTGTTTAAATTATTTAATGTTTATCGAGACCTTAAAAACCAATTATGTAAAATGACATCGCATTTCAAAAAGCAGCAAAAGCAAACTACTTCAATTTAATTTAATCTTATGAGTTATTGTTTGTGAATGTCTTTATGAGTAATCACAACGGAATTTGTCTATGTATAGCATAATTTGGGGAAATATATTTTTAGGCGTTAATTGATGTTGAAAGGGAAAAATGTAATTGCCAGCCAAAGCGCATACAAGGTCAACAAAATCTGTCAGATTTCGAAACGACGGCATTTGCTCCGTGCTTCATTTTACCAAAAAATAAAAGGTTAGGGCTAATTTTGAAAGCTGGTTAAATTTAAATTTAAAGTTAGGACATTAGCACATACTTGAAGGCCCAAGGAGCTACGTGCCAACCTCCTGACAATTTTCCAACAATCAACAATAAACAATTATAATTATTACTCACATTTCATTTAAATAAGGAAATAATTGGAGGGTATGTCATCGAATGCTTTTGCAACCTCATGAATAGTAATCCTTTCAGATATACTGTTCTGCTTGGCTGCAAATTGGTCTCACACAACGATAATGTCAAGCATCAGTCATGAAGCCGACTTATAAAAAATACAGAGAAACTGGGCCGGGTTTACGTATCGAGATACCATAATGGGTATAAAGGGTTAGTGTCGAGTAGAAATTCGGTTTAATGATAACTGAGCAATTGTCGCCGGAGCTTTTACTGTAAAGCCCCTTAATCCTACCGCTAAAATGACACCATACCAAGCTTTTACTGTAAAGCCCCTTAATCCTACCGCTAAAATGACACCATACCAACTCAAATCCGATGTATTCTTGGTCATAGGGGTAATCATGAAATGCGGCTTTTTAATATAAATTCCATCATTATCATTATTATTAAAATTATTATTATTATTATTATTTTTTAAAAATATTTTTTTAAAACTAATTAATTAAGTAATTAATTAATTAATTTATTTATTCATATATTTATTTATTTATTTATGTATTTATTTACTAAAATATATATAAATATATATATATATATATATATATTTTTTTTTTTTTTTTTTGGGGGGGGGGGTTGTTTTTGTTTTGGTCTACATGGTGTTGGTCTTGTCAGTGTGACTGGACTATTAGTGTGTTGTTTGAATAGGCAGTGGCGGAGGGTTTAAGTTTGCATCGTGTGGATATATACGCATAGTTTGTTGACACGCCACACCAGAGTTTCCATTCGATGCAGTGGCTGTTTGGATGTTGGTGCCTGCAGGATGAGCACTCAGGGTATTTAGTGGAATCGCTTGTTCCAATGGCCGGGGTGTAACGGCCGTCTTCGATTTACTGCAGGTCCAACATACGGCTATGATAGCTAGCATGGTCAGCAAGGACAAGCACACACCTACAGATGCCATGACGCCCAGGACACGTGAAGATGTTTTCACTGTAGGCGGAGTTGAAGAATCTGCAAGACAAACAATAAAATAAGCAATTAAAGAAATACAAAAATTTAAAATCGTTATAAAGGATAGTTTGCTATTTGTTCATGTTTGAATTTAGGGAATTGTACCCGTGTTTAAAAAAAAAAGGAAACAGAAGAGAGTTAAATGTGCAGGCGCGTACACAGGGGGGGGGGGGGGGGGGGGGGGGTTACCCCCCCTCAATTTTTGTTGTGCTAAAGGGGTAAACAATAGTGTTCTCCCCCCCCCCCCCCCCCCCCACTGAACGAAAAATCTGACGACGTAATTTTTCCAATTTCCGGCACGATTTTCAAATTGTAAAACACCGCCCTGAAAAATTCTTGCGCACGCCACTGTAAACATGACATAGTTCTTTCATATTACGCAATATGAAATATCTTACACCTAACAGACAGATGTACGAACGGGACATACAGATACACGTACATCTGCCAGAACTATCACTGATCGAGAAGAGGGATGGTTCAATGGCAAAACGAAGAGGGGTTAGAACTAAAATAAACAAAGGCTTCATTCTCTACTTCAAACTCGATCAGAAAATTAGACGTTGTGGGAGAGATTTTATGCTGGCATTTCTTTGAAGAATTAGCTCAACTTACCTTCACACTGTACACCAGCATCTTCAGAATGTGCGCAGAAGTGGTTGTCCCATCCGGTATAACTGCAATCGGTCAACCTGGATTCATATCCCGAACAGCCGACATTATCAAGGTATATCGGGTCAGATCCTTGTCCGTATGTACCACCACTCCTGGCTACACTTACACTGCCTGAGTATCCAAGCTGTCGACAAACAACCCTCGCGTCAAGGTCATCCCAACCGTCATCACAGACTGTCCCCCATTGGAAATCATGGAAGATCTCAACCCTGCCTTCATCTGTACCGTATCCGTCAACCAGCCGGATATCTCCCTCTATGTCATCTTTAAAAAATAAAGGAAACGAAGGTATCATACCTCTAGTATGAGGCTGTTCAGAAATAGTCACCCAATTTACCCGCAAGATTCGACCTCTCATTGCCAACAAGGTTAGAAGCTCGAACGTAGTCGTCGGGTTAAGCCCCGAGAGTCCCCATAACGACCTTCAAAGCCGGGTCGACTTTTTGCCATGTACCTCAATCACCAAAGTGTGTCAGTAGAAAGTAATAGGAATGATCATTACTTAACACACAAACACACACAAAAACAGAAGAAATTTTCTTCGGATGGGATGTCAGATGCCCCCTATAGAATCTGGTATCAATTTTTCTTTTTAGACCGAAGGACTACAGTTTGTCACGAGAAAATTTGTGACTATACATTACAAAAACATAAGAACTAAACAATAAATCATGCTTTGCTGCCCCCAAATGCTCTGGTTTGGGTCTAGATAGAGTGTGTGATTAAGTCAAAGAAGAAGTTTCCGATGAAGATATTTGGACCTCACTGCAACAGTTTTGAAGATATTTATAAAAATATTGGAATAATAAGTTCGCCTATAGATTGGAAAAATTGACATGTATATAAACACGGGTTATTTGTATCGACAAGAAAAGGTGCTGTAAATACGTATGAGTGCTCGCGACCTACCACCACAGTAAACACCAGCATCTTGAGAATGTTCGCAGTCGTAGTTGACCCATCCGTCATTATAGCAATCGGTCAACGTGGATTCATATCCCGAACAGCCGACATTATCAAGGTATATCGGGTCAGATTCTTGTCCGTATGTACCACCATACCTGGCTACACCAACATTGCCTGAGTATCCAAGCTGTCGACAAACAACCCTCGCGTCAAGGTCATCCCAACCGTCATCACAGACTGTCCCCCATTGGAAATCATGGAAGATCTCAACCCTGCCTTCATCAGTACTGTACCCGTCGACGAGCCGGATATCTCCCTCCATGTCATCTGTCATAATAAAGGAAACGAAGGTATCAGACCTCTAGTATGACGCTGGCCAGAAAAAGTCTACCCATTTTACCCGTAAGATTTGACCCCTCATTGCCAAAAAGGTTATAAGCTCGATCGCAGTCGTCGGATCTAGCCTCAAGAGTCCCCCAAAATACCCTCAAAGCCAGTAAAAAGTAATAGGAATGAACATTACTAAACACACAAAAAGCAAAAAAAAAGACAAAAAAAGACAACATTTTCTTCGGATGGGATGTCAGATGCCCCCTAAAAACTGGTTTCAATTTTTCTTTTTAGGCCCAAGGACCTCTGTTTGTCATGAGAAAAATGTGACTATACATTATAAAAACCATAAGAAATGAAAAGTTGATCATGCTTTGCTGCCCTCAAATGCTCTGGTTTAGATAGTTTAGATTAGAGTGTGTGATTAAGTCAAAGAAGAAATTTCCCATGAAGATAATTGGAGCTCTCTGCAACAGTTTTTGAGGATATTTTCAAAGAATATTGGAATAATAAATAAGTTCGCCTATAGATCGGAAAATGTACATGACTGTATCTACAAACATTTTTGTTGTTGTTGGTATCTACACGAAAAGGCGCCGAAAATAAGTATGGGTACTCGCGACCTACCTCCACAGTAAACTCCAACATCTTGAGAATGTCCGCAGTAGCGGTAGTTGCCCCATCCGTCATTATAGCAATCAGTTAACTGTGATTCATATCCCGAACAGCCGACATAATTAAGGTGTATCGGGCCAGATCCTTGTCCGTATGTGCCACCACTCCTGGCTTCACCAACATTGCCCGAGTATCCAAGCTGTCGACAAACTACCCTCGCATCATAGTCATCCCAACTACTATCGTAGGCGTAGACACAGACTGTTCCCCATTGACCTTCATGAAAGATCTCAACCCTGCCTTCATCTGAACTGTACCCATCAACCAGTCGGATTTCTCCCTCCATGTCATCTGTCATAATAAAGGAAACGAAGGTATCAGACCTCTAGTATGACGCTGGCCAGAAAAAGTCTACCCATTTTACCCGTAAGATTTGACCCCTCATTGCCAAAAAGGTTATAAGCTCGATCGCAGTCGTCGGATCTAGCCTCAAGAGTCCCCAAAAAGACCCTCAAAGCCAGTAAAAAGTAATAGGAATGAACATTACTAAACACACAAAAAGCAAAAAAAAGACAAAAAAAGACAAAAAAAGACAACATTTTCTTCGGATGGGATGTCAGATGCCCCCTAAAAACTGGTTTCAATTTTTCTTTTTAGGCCCAAGGACCTCTGTTTGTCATGAGAAAAATGTGACTATACATTATAAAAACCATAAGAAATGAAAAGTTGATCATGCTTTGCTGCCCTCAAATGCTCTGGTTTAGATAGTTTAGATTAGAGTGTGTGATTAAGTCAAAGAAGAAATTTCCCATGAAGATAATTGGAGCTCTCTGCAACAGTTTTTGAGGATATATTCAAAGAATATTGGAATAATAATTAAGTTCGCCTATAGATCGGAAAATGTACAAGACTGTATCTACAAACATTTTTTGTTGTTGGTGGTATCTACACGAAAAGGCGCCGAAAATAAGTATGGGTACTCGCGACCTACCTCCACAGTAAACTCCAACATCTTGAGAATGTCCGCAGTAGCGGTGGTTGCCCCATCCGTCATTATAGCAATCAGTTAACTGTGATTCATATCCCAAACAGCCGACATAATTAAGGTGTATCGGGCCAGATCCTTGTCCGTATGTGCCACCACTCCTGGCTTCACCAACATTGCCCGAGTATCCAAGCTGTCGACAAACTACCCTCGCATCATAGTCATCCCAACTACTATCGTAGGCGTAGTCACAGACTGTTCCCCATTGACCTTCATGAAAGATCTCAACCCTGCCTTCATCTGAACTGTACCCATCAACCAGTCGGATTTCTCCCTCTATTTCATGTTTCAAAAGAAATAAAAAGAATATACAATTAACACCTCTAGTATGAGGCTGTCTCGAAATAGTCACCCCATTTTTACCCGTAAGATTTGACCCGTAATTACCATTGCAGAAAGGTAGCTCGACCGTGGTCGTCGGGAATAGCCCTGAGAGTCCCCAAAGCTCAGCAGCCTTTGACCTAGCGGCTTCGATTTTTGACCTAAATCGCTCGACGGTGAACGCTCGATTAGGTCGGTGCCCGGACGGCGACCGCCCGGGAAGCGTTATTTTTTTATGCGGCACAGATTGGGGCTTTTTTAAAAAAGGGGTCTTGACGCAATGTTCCCGGAACCACCGGTAGGTGGCGCACCACACGACTAGGGCTTTAACGGAATACTCTCAATTACTTTCGTAGTAAAATACCAGGTAATGACCTAAAATGCCCCAGATATGTATGTTGTAGCCAACATTTTGACATTGTATCGCATGGAACGCCTTAGAATGGTTTCAAGAGGGTTAAAACGCTGAAAAACATACGAAACAGTATATATCTGAGCCAAAAAGTGAATTTTATTATTTTATTTAGTAGACCTGTGACGTCACACAGAACGTCATCTTCGGCATCATAGGTCTTGGAAGCAACGTCTTCGGAAGCATTCGGATGCTCGGAATGTCACCCAAACAAAATTGAAAGTTCAAGATGATCATGAGGCAAATGGCATCAATGATGGGTAAGTGAAAATGTGATTTTTTTCTTCAAATTGATACAAAATTTGAGCGATTTTGAGCGAGTAACTTTTTAACTGTTTAGATTTTACACTAGAGTCTACTCGAATCATTATTTGCTACGCAAAAGTGTAAATGTAGAAATCGCGTGAACTTGACCAGATTATTTAGCATGTTGGCGCTTAAAATTAAAATGCCATGCACATGGTCATGGGAAAGTGTACCCACGTAGATCTAGTCCCTGCACATGTTATGATTCTTATTTCGCGGCGCTGAAAATCGACCTGTATTGCCGGACACCGTGTTATGTCTATGGCGAAACGCAAAAGTCGCGAGTCGCGCGAGAAGAAAATGCACGGAAAACAAATAGCAAAATGACATTCTTAAAACAAACTTGACAGCCATTCACTTTGCACGGGCATTAGGAAAATTGGATTATTTCATGAAAAAGGCATGTATTTGTCACTCATACGTTAGGCTAAGTTAGATGTGTGGTGCCGGAGGCATCATGTTTTCGGGTTGTCCGTCCGTACGTCCGTCCCGTTTGACCGTTATCACAATATCTCAAGAACCATTTAAGATTTAAACTTAAGACTCGGGAATAGTATTTATCACCATAGGAAGACGATCTGATTAGATTTTGGAGTACGTAGGTCAACTTATGAAATTCCTTGTATTGAGTTTGTCAGCGATATCTCAAGAACCATTTGAGATTTAAACTTCAAACTTAAGGATAGTATGTATCACCATAGGAAGACGATCTGATTAGATTTTGGAGCACGTATGTCAAAGGTCAAGGGTCACAGAGGTCAACTTATGAAATTCCATACATTGAGATTGTTATCATAATATCCAAGAACCACTGGAGATTTAAACTTCAAACTTAATGATAGTGTGTATCACCATAGGAAGACAATCCGATTAGATTTTGGAGCACGTAGGTCAAAGGTCAAGGGTCACAGAGGTCAACTTATGAAATTCCATACATTGAGATCGTTATCGCGATATCTCAAGTACCACTGGAGAATTTTCACTTCAAACTTAATGATAGTATGTATCACCATATCATAATATCTCAAGAACCACTGGAGATTTAAACTTCAAACTTAATGATAGTGTGTATCACCATAGGAAGACAATCTGATTAGATTTTGGAGCACGTAGGTCAAAGGTCAAGGGTCACAGAGGTCAACTTATGAAATTCCATACATTGAGATTGTTATCATGATATCTCAAGAACCACTGGAGATTTAAACTCCAAACTTGTTTAAATTGCTCTATGGCGGAGGCATCATTTTCGACTGCGCGCAGTCAAAATTCCATCTAGTTTTTTGTGTTCTTACGATGCGTCATACATTTCTTGATCACCCCACTCGACTTGCACATTCGATACGTGTAGTCCCGAGCGTAGAACGCGCGTCCGGTAATTCAATAGTGTCCGGTAATACCATGTGTGGGCATACGTGTTCATCTCGTATGACGGGGGCCCTATTACCATTACCCTATTACTATTACACGTACAACAACCTGGCCTACCTTGATCTGGTGACATTATGCCCATGTGGCCAACATTGGGAAACTGGACCACAGTTCAAAGCTGGCATATGGCACTATCCAGCCCAAATTGGTGAACACTTTGTTCCGACTGTGCCTCGCCTCTTTGTAGCGATGAAGTCCAGCACAAACGTACAGGTATGTAATAGGAAGTTCCAAGTTTAATACTTGGCCAAGTATGCTGCAGGCGTAGAAGAGAGACGCCCTGTGCAGCTTTCCACAACCACAAGCCCAGGTCAGGTATTGGTACAAGCACACAACCTCATCAATACAAAAATATCAGGCCAGCGCATGCACCCTCTCAATGACACATCTGCAGCCCTTGCCAGAGAACTGGCGCTTACTGAAATGATATGGTATGCACTTCGCTTCCCATATGTCATCTCCAGCACCACATACGTCCATGCATCCACTAAATCACCCGAGTGTCGCTCTGCCATCTTCAAGCACAGACGCCCTAATCTTCAAGATCACCAACGAGAACAAGATGGTGGTGGCCGCTGACCGATTGGCCCTACCGCGACCGTGGCGGCAATTCACACCATCTCAGGTTACTGCCATCTGTAGTCACCACCAAGGCCAGTACTACCTAGACAACACCACCGCGTTTTCAATTAGACCACCAGAGCTCCTTCTCATTTCCACTTTGGAAACCTACTTACGCTGGTTCACGTGGAAAAAGGATCCTAAAGCACATCTCGATCCAATCCTAAACGCTTCTCATCTTATTGACGGTGTTGGTCGTTGTGTTCGCATTCGTGCTGCTCATGTCTCGCATGCGGCATCCTACATCCATGCCCTCACAACCAGCCCTGATCCAAATATCGCTGTCATTGCTATGGATCTATATGCCCACATATTTGGCCCTGTGCAACAACAACAACAACAACAGGAGGTTCCTGCAACTCAACACTACCAGCGATTCGTTGACATAGCAGACATGAGACGCAATGTAGTTGTCTTCAAGGCACCATTCCCATCAAATCTACCTGAATTCTTTGTCCACATCATCTTGACCATGGGACAATTCAGTACTGAACAAGACATATATGGTCAACCAAACATGACTGCAGCCTTAAGGGCAGCGAAACTAATTAGTGATAATGGGCGTAATGAAACTGATGTCAAGAACATCGCCCGTGCATATGTCACAGACCAACTGCTTTGGTATCCTTTTGGTTCACAAACATTCAGCAAGCACCTCAGTGATGCCCTTCATACGTTGCGCACTATACTGCTTGACCCGCAAGTAAACATTGCGCTCCCGTCAACTACAGAAGAAGACATTGCAGATTCTGTTAGACATGACCTTATCCGGCATGAACGTTTCCTACGAGATACTGCTATAGATGCCTTGGGAGGAGAACCTATTCCCAATTTTCCAGACATTGAACACTTCAAAGAAGGAGCAGTTGAGTTCCTACCTCAAATTACACCAATCAGAAATCAAAGTGCAGCATCATTAGAAGAACAGAACAGGGCACTCAATACATGCATTACAGCAATAAACACATTACACAATAACCAACCCAGTAGCCGTAATTGCTTCGTACTTGTTGGTCCCCCTGGAGCAGGGAAAACACACATTTTGCTCCTTGCAAATACGTATGCCCTCTCCAAGAATATGCCATCACTCTTGGCAGCCATAAACTCCGAACGAGCAAGACGCCTTGGAGGCACCCATATCCATATGCTCTTTCACATTCCGGTCTTAAATGCCAATGTCCAAACAGTGCAAAACATCGTGTCCAAAGCTCTCTTGAGTCTCTCAAAGAAACCTGTACAACTGGCTATGCTGCAGCGACTAAAAGTGCTATTCATAGAAGAAATAGGCCTACTTTCAGCTCAGCTCTTTGCTGCTCTTGACAACATCCTCAGATATGTTACAGGCTCCAACAAGCCAATGGCAGGCATTTTGGTCATAGCCACTGGAGATCCATACCAGTTGGCTCCAGTTGATGGCACACCCTTTTGGGCCAGTCACCATCTTATGACCTCTTTCCACATTATCACAATGAGCCACTATGTCAGAGCATGCCAAGATGCAGACCTACAGCAACTTATACAGATACTGTGCAATGTCAACATCACGAATGAGGACATTGAGAAGTTCATCCACATCATTGGAAATCGATGCCTGCCTCATGCTGTACCATCATGGGATGATGTACCACAATATGCCTTGAAAATCGTGGGTACTAAGGCTGCCTGCGAAGAAATAATTGGCAGATACATTGCACAAAAACAATCTGACCCAACTGTACAATGCAAAACATTCCTTGCTACTGATGAGGTTGAGACTACTCAAGGGGTATGGGGCCATGCCAATGCCAATGTTCAATTCCAGCTTGACAAAGCCTGTCTTGAGCCTAAGAAGTTGGTACTATTTAAGGGACAGGTACTTCGACTGGCATACAACAATACTGTTGCAACAAATGAACTACCTCGCTTCTCTCAAGGTCAACTCTGTATTGTTATGGACTTGCCAAATGAAACTGAACAGCTACGTTTGATGCTTGTTGGGAAGGGTCATACTAAAGCACGCCGCATCCAATTCCGTGTAACCTACTATGTTTGTAGCACGGTGCACAAGGCACTCGGGGAGACATGTCCACAAATTGCTACTCAGATTTCAAGTCAACAACGAAAGTACCGACTTTGGGAAAGAGACCAGTTATTGGTCCTCATCAGTCGAGTCAAAAACTTGGACAGCATAATATTTGTGAAGCATGAT